CGGCTTTGGTGGCTGCTCTCGTGGACTTCAAGAGAGATTTTGCTCGACTTGATTACTTGTCCTGCACATGCCCTAGACCTTACCGTTCCTGTATAGCATACGGTCTGAAATTGCCCATGCTTAGCATTCCAGACCTTCCTTTCAGGAACCTGGGAACCTGGAATCACGCTCATCAAGCTAATTGCTACCTCCCTTCCAGTTCCTTACGACCCGCCAACGCAGCAAAGAAACTTCGACTCTACTGCACGAACATTTGGGTGCCCGCAATTGAATGACGCATCGAATGGGTCAAAATCAGGGATGTGTCGATAACGGCAATAGAAAGAGTCTCGATTCGCCGGAATAAACCCTGATATGAAACAATAAGGGTGGCGAAATTGCGATATTCGGCAGTGATACCTGAGAATAGGGGACATCTTCAGGAATTGTCAAGAGCATTCCTCCGAGAGTCGGACATCAAAAGTTACTCGGCCGCATTTTAGAGATGCAAGGAAGTGTAACTCTCGACCGGCAAGGTGAAGGCAGACCTCGAAGTCTGAGCGGAGGAACCGGGGCTGTGCATCAAAATTTGGGATCACATATTGCCCTTGCACAGCCTCCACAAGAGGAGGGGTTTCTGAACGGAGCATGATACAATTAACACCGTCAAGGATCGTCATCCAATGAAAAGTAGCACCAAAGATGATCAAAGAACATTTGGACTGCGAGTTGCTGGACAGCAACTGACTTGAGATCGCCAAGGGCACGGATTAACAAGAAGCTCGCTAGTATCCGGCCATTTCCTCACTGGGGGTCCAAATGGCTGCCGTGGTTGCAGGGCGTTTCGGGAGGCATTCCCGTTTTTGGGGTTTGGCAAGCCCTTGGACTCGTATAGTGGAAGCCATTTCCCCCGAGGCGACAACCAAGTCCAATCGCTGGAACACAGTCCCAGTGGATGTTCATCCAGTCTTTTCCCAAGCTCGTGACATTGATACGGCAAACTGAGTCCTCCATTTCTCCAAGGGTGGAACAGAACCCGGCCAACCCGGGCTTGATCCGTTTTCAAACTACAAATTCTGTGTTGCTGACGGCCATGACGATGGGAATTTCTCCGGCACTTCTGGTGCTGAATGCCCACCTTCCAAACAGTCTGTCAAGGGCGCAAAGCGCAAAATCCACTCTCCAGAGTTCCAGTACAAACTTGAATTTCCGTAAAATCAACAGCTCTTTGGCACGCACTGGTCGTAGACGATATCCACCAGGTGCATGGTTCAACTAGAAAATACAAATTACCCATTACACCTGTTATAGAAGAGCTGTCTTTAGATATTAACTAGATAAGTGTCCTATACATGTTGTTTTGTATCACGTTAATACTATCTATCATGATAAATATAATTAATCTACTAGGATGTAATCACTGCCATATTACTTTAGAAGTAACAGCCACTGCTATTCACAAGAGAATAATAAATACGTGTACCAAACAGTCTCCGTGTTATCTTACATGGTAACTGTTAACTGAATCAATAACCTTTTAAGAGGGTGTCTCCAGGGCAGATAGCCTTTAGCAGCTGTGATTTTAACTGACGCCTTCTTTTATCAAGTAGAATTTATTACTGTACATATAAACGCTTAGGTAGATATATGTACTCTCTAGTTATCTATCTACCACAAGGAAGGCAAGTATATTAAAACAATATACTGTGGACGCCATGAAAGGGACTTGATAATAGAGGAGCAAATAGTCTAAAGAATTAAGGATTACTTATAGTCTTTATTATCCCTCATGTTAGAGATTGACCTCCTAGATATCAGTTTCTCTAATTTACTATATTTTATTTCTTGCTGCTAATCACTAGTACTATACTGACACTCTCTACTCATCAAAAAATTCTTTCCCTATGTTCGAGTAAATGCAGCTTTCTTCTTTCACCTGGAGAAGGGCCCGCTGAGCATCATCTCGCCGTTTTCTATGGGTGCAGTACGCAGAGAACGGCATTATGGTGACATATCGGAAGAAAATTTCAACCTATCCCTTATTGGCTCGAGCAAATAATACGAAGAGCATCGCCGCCTCTGCAGAGAGAGGAAGTGACCAGAAATCTGGTGCTTCGGCGGCTGCAAGGGCAAGCCGATAGCATTTCTCCAAAAGCTGGTGTTCTGAGGTGTGACCCTTGGTTTTCGTGCGCAACCCAACCGCCATCGCCATATAGATATGGAATCTGGATATTCTGTCGATATTGGGAATGTTCCAAGCACAAGAAAGAGGAACGGCACAGTATATAACGTCCAGGAAGAATTGGAACATCTCCGTACTGACTGAATATCCGGTCCCTCCGACCTTGTCGAAAAATACGTCCAGGAGCGTCTCGGCTTCGAATCGGGTGGGCGAGGTAATGATTTTGCAGCTGTGCTGGTAGCAAAATTTCCGAAGTTTTGAATCACTGGGGAAGCACAATTCGTGTCCACGGGCATTGGCGAGGCCGGGGTAGGCGGAAGATACTGGGGCGGGAAATGGGTCGGATGTGAGAAAGATGTTATTGTAGGCGACACACTATATGCCAGCGGAGGTGTCTGTAGGATTTGGTTGAAGCTAACGGACAATGCATTTGAAGACTCAGGGGGGAGCGAAGACGGAGATTCCATATCGTGTAAGGATGCTGAGGTGGCAGAGACGCTATCCGCGACTGAAAGGAATGACTGATACGGCTCACTGGAGTGCCCAATACTTTCGGAAGGCTTCGACAAGTAGTGTTGGGTTGAGACACGTTGCTCCGTCCCAGCAAAATTCTGACCTGGGGCAGTGAACAGGTTGCTGTTGAGTTCCGAAATCAGAGATTCCAACTTTTGAATCCTGGGTACCAGCATCGCATGAACCTCACCCTTTCCGTTGGGCCGAATACAAGCACGGGAGAGGCGCTGACAAGTTGCACAGGGAGTCTCCCCGTCACAACGTCTCTTTTTCTGCCGACATATCTCGCACGCCGTCAGAGGCTTCCGTTGCAGTGAGCATGCTGTGGCAGCCGTTTCTCTAAGGGTACGTCGCTCTTCAGCCACGCGGTCCAAGTGCGTCTGGTCCATGGCACCATACAACCGAGGGATGCTTCCAGTTCCCAGCAGACCAGCTCGATAGGCCGATATTGATTCTGGTTGCGTTGGGATAGTGTCCGGTTCCTCCACACAGTTACAGGTGTAGTCAGACGGCGATCTCCGAAAGTTAATGGAAAAAATGAAGAAGTCTTTGCCGAACAGCGCAGCACTTACTGTGACTCCGAGAATCTGGGGACCCGAAAGTAAATATCAAATTTTGGTGCTATATCCCCGCAGACAAGAGCACTGCCACCCTTGTCATATCCGTAGTCCCCAAGATCTTCGCTTGGCGGCAACGCCTTCAGCGCCATGCTCTTCCCCGAAATGATGGGTATCTGAGATTTTAGTTTCCCATCAAGACTGACAGCGGCGACGCCTGGTCAATTTGCTGTTCTAAGATGCAAATAAACAACACACTACACCGACCAATCTGTGATAACACTAGCCCATTAATGCAAACGCGGTGGCTTAGCATGAGGTTCTCCCCGAGGCTTTCTTAGCTACCACCATAGAAATCCGTCATCAACAGATTTCACATAACGTTGATGCAATAGAACTAAGGTAGTGAAGACAAGCAGCGAAGTCCAAGTGCGAGTGTCGAGCTCCTGATGATTGACGACCTGGTATCGCATCTGGCCATGGAACCCATCAAAGCTACTGTTCCAGAGTTGACTCGCATGTTTCAAGTCGTTCCAAATATGACTGTGGTTCTTATACATCATATCTAGACTCTCTCGACCGAAATCGCGCTTCGAGGCTGTCAGAGCGAGCTGCTGGTGGCGGTTTCCACGATGCTTTCGGAGTTCGACGCTCGGCCACCCAGGTAAGGCCCGCCTTTCCTACAATCGTGGAATATTTGGGCAGGCAAGTGGACCTAGAGTAACTGCTACTCCATCCGGGAGCTATAAATACTAGTAATCTGCCTTATCTAGTACTTTGAAGCTATAGCCATAAAATATAGTAAGGTTACAGTTATAATCCTTATAAAATAGTAATAATTAGTAGGTCTAGCTATTCTAACTACTTAGCAAGTACCTATTAAGTGGCTAGGTTACTTTAATCTTTATGAAGCCTTTAATAGGTTACTTCTACTAATACTCTAAGTCTAGAGTAGTAGTATCAGAAACTTAAGCTTTCAAAACTAAAAATGGCTACGCAATTATGTAATAACCAAGCTATTTAACAGGCTTGCGAGGCAGAAGAAGATCAAAACTAGTTAATACACACTATCCATGATACGAGAAGGCTTTCACAGCCTACACGATCATGATGTTTCGACGAGGCTATTCCGGCAAGCATCCATCAACGTCAAGGCCACCCATGCCCTCCTCGTTGAGGACCATGACACATTATCAAGTTCTCGTTTGTACCAGGGAGATCCACATGGGTCAGGATTCAGAAGTAGGGATAACACCTGTTTTAAAGAGTTAGACTTGATCCAGGCGCCGTACCATGATCCAAGCACCATGTTTTCTAAGATGTTTGGCACGCCACTCCTGTTAATCTAACCACTATCTCTGTTGGAGAAAGGACATACTCTTTATAATAAGATTACCTATTAGATCAAAGGTGGTGTTCTCTTCTGGCTTAGCATCTTGAATATTGGTCGCTGGTGCGGGTGTTTTGCTGAAAACCGATGGGTAAGCTGGCGTCGAATACAACAGCTGTTCTTGATAATGGGGTCTCGATGAGCGCTTGGCGTGGAGACGAGGTTGTGTAGTCTACCTTCTCTCCAAACCATTCTGACAGAGAGACAAGAGACGGAATATGTCTACTGATCCAAGCGAGAGCTTAACAATACACATAACTTCAAATCAGCGAGGAGCCCCCTGATAACCTGCGTCAGTGCCCCGCAGGCCCAAAATCAAATTCGGGGATTGTCCGGGGGACGAACCAGGGGATCGCCACTGATGATCGACAGCCTCCGGCAACGGATTTCGGTACTTTGAGTCCGCATTTACTCTCATTTAGGAGTTCCTCGACTATGGTCTAATTTGGTGCATGCGGGGTCGCGCGGGGGAATGGAGCTTTGCTCTCAAGCTGCTGCTTCATTCTCCACTGCGTCCCTTTTCTTCTGGTGCTCTGCGTCTGTGACGGGTGGTTGCACGGCGCGACTACCCCAAGTATTCGGCATTGGCTGGGTGATTGTTCGGTAATGTCGCATGATGATCGGTGGTGTCGGATGGTGGGTGAGGGAATTGGCTGTTGCCTGGTCTTGTGTATATAATGCCTTCGTTTGAAGTTGCCCTTGATGGAGTGTAACAGTCTTTTCTTCGTCACTTTTTCAACCATAGCGATACCCCGTATACCCCTACCCCTACCCACACAGACAACCACACATCATGGCAGTCACAACACAGGCCCTCGTCTCGAGAGAGGTGAACGTGCCTCCGAAGCTGGAGGAGGTGACCCTCGACGCCATCCAGGCCGACGAAGTTCTCGTGGAGATCCACGCGACTGGCATCTGCCACACGGATTTCTCGTGCATGAACGGGACACTCCCCTCTGCTTTCCCCAGCGTCCTCGGACATGAAGGTATACCCCCTCCCACACCCCAACCACAATCACGTTTGAATGGACCAAGCTCACATTGAGCTGCAGGCGCCGGGGTCGTCCTCGAAGTCGGCAAGAACGTAACACACGTCTCTCCAAATGACCGCGTCCTCCTCAGCTTCGACCACTGCGGCTCCTGTACACAGTGCGATGAAGGCCACCCAGCCTACTGCACCGAATGGGTGGCGCGGAACTTCGGGCAGAAGCGACCGGACGGAAGCACGACGCTCGCGTCCGCCGACGGGTCAACGAAAATCCACGGGAGCTTCTTTGGACAGAGTTCGTTTGCTCGGCATACGGTTGCCAGCAGTGCGTCGGTCATCAAGGTCCCATCGCACACCAGGTTAGACCTGTTCTCGCCGCTGGGCTGTGGGATCCAGACGGGTGCGGGTGCGATATTGAATACCTTGGATGTCCAGGCTGGAAAATCCGTCGCGATTTTCGGTGTTGGGTCCGTGGGTATGAGCGCAGTCATGGCAGCGAAGCTCCGTGATGCAAAGATAATCATCGCCGTCGATCTGCAGCCGCAGCGCCTGGAGCTCGCGAAGAAGCTCGGAGCAACACATACAGTGCTCGGGTCTGACCCTGATGTTGTCGCGCAGATCCAGAAGATTTCTGGGAAGAATGGCGTCGATTACTCGGTTGACTGTGCGGGGATTCCACAGGTTGTTGAGAAGGCGCTGGACTGTCTCGGGACGAGGGGGAAGGGGGCGACTGTTGGTGCACCGACGCCCGGTGTGCGTGCGGGGGTCGATGTCTTTTCGCATTTGGTGATGGGGAGGCAGTATCTGGGGTGCTGTGAGGGGGATAGTGATACGCAAAAGGTATGTCCGTATTCCATGGTCCGGGGATTTGAAGCTGACAGTAGTAGTTCCTCCCGTATCTCATTGAGCAGCACGCCCAAGGCCGCTTTCCCCTAGAGGAGATGATCACATACTACCCGGTCGCAGAGTACGAGAGGGCGTTCAAGGAGGTCAAGGAGGGGAAGGCGCTCAAGGGCGTTCTCCTCTGGAACTAGAATATTCTTTGGATTTGTTTCGTTGCGTTGTAGATATCCACCTGTTTCTGAATGACAAGTATTCCAGTTGACCAGAAAGAACGACGTCTACTTATTGGTCAATGCTGAACCCAGGATGATCGTCTTGTGATCTGCAACCAACTGAGCTTGTGCATCCACCCCCAGCACAAGAGTTATGACTCTGTGAATCGCGTTAGCTCCGAGAGGCGACTTTCGGATATTCCTTGTTCGCTCCAGCCCCGAATGATGCTCGGAGACAAAAACCGGAGAGTTTGCGATTATCCATCCGCTGCCCGGAGGCGCGGAGTCCAAGCTCAGAACAAAACTGTGCATCGTCCTCCCGTTGGGAGTTGACGCAAATGTTGGATATAGCCAAGACGAGATTGGCACGAGGCTCGGCCTTTCGCCACATATAGATCTTGTCTACCCTGAAGGTGGAACTGCAGATGATGACTCCATCTTCTGCTGGGTTCACAAGTCTCCATTTCGGCCCCCAAACTGCGGGAGGCCTAAAGAATTCTATTCCCACCTGGCATACCAGCCAAGCACGCGATATAGCTAACGACATGATCTCTCCGATTGGTCTCTCTGGGTTTCCGCGCCTCCGTCCCAAAGTCTCCGACGAAGACTACATAATCCCCTCCCGCCCAGCCAGGGATATCGTCTTCTCACCAGCGCTCAGCCCTGATTCCAACTCTTCAGTCCCATCTCAATCCCAACTCAACATGACAAACACAATCTACCTCATCACCGGTGCAAACCGTGGAATCGGCCGCGGCCTCGTCGCAGCGCTCCTGTCCCGCCCCAACATAACCGTCATCGCCGCCGTCCGCAACCCCAACGCCGAATCCTCAACCTCCCTTGCAGCCCTCCCAAAAGCACCCGAGTCGGTCTTAATCATCGTGCAAATCGACTCTCAATCCCCCACCGACGCAGCCACCGCCGTCGAAACCCTCCAAACAACCCACGCCATCACGCACATCGACGTCGTCATTGCTAACGCCGCGGTAGGCAACGACTACTCGCCCGTCCGCAGTGTCCCCCTCTCCGTCGTCCGCGAGCACGTCGAGACCAACGCCTACGGGCCCTTGGTGCTGTACCAAGCAGTGTATCCGCTCCTCATCAAGAGCGCGAAGCCCATATTTGTTGGTGTCGGTAGCGCGATGGGCACGATCGGGGCCATGGAGCAGAGACCGTTCCCGAGCGCCGCGTACGGGCCAAGTAAAGCGATGCTGCATTGGATCGTTCGCAAGATCCATTTTGAGGAGGCGGACTCGGGCGTTGTGGCTTTTGTTGCGGATCCCGGGTAAGTTTTGTATACTTGCGTTCTTTATCCTCATGATTATTGTTTAGGCGTGTTCGTAGCTAACCAGGCTACAGCTGGGTCGACACCGATATGAGCGATCATTCTGCCAAGGTACTGGGCGTTCCGAAGCCCGCTCAGGCTGTTCCAGAGACTGTCGATGGCATTCTGGGAACAATCGACGGGGCGACGAGGGAGTCGGTTGGTGGGCAGTGGCGCGTTTGGGATGGGTCGGAGTTCCCCTGGTAGAGCGATTCGGTTTACTTCTGGGGAGTCCAGAGCAAGACAAGGACTGTTATCTCTCGACTCCTAATCCGAAGAGGTTATCCGTGGTGAGATATGCCAAATGGGGTGGATTGGTTTGAGAAAGGTTCTCGTCTCGGACCTACACAAGCTTACTGATTGAAAGGAAGCTCTGCAAGGGAGTCCGACTGGATCTTAAGCTTCTCTAACTCGCATAAATATGGGGTACCTAGAATGTACATCAAGACCCTGATACCACTATAGATCCATTATGCTATATCCACCCATCCACTCAACATCGAGGTAGTTTAGCGTGGAGAAGTATGTCGCCATGCATACAGCGCGTTGAGACCCGGTAGGCCGATGTTGCGATTCCCATTCATTGTGCCGAAAGATTTCTTGTCGATGGCCTTCTCGAGACGGGGAAAAGGCGGGACTCGGCGGCTGAAGTTGAATACCAACAATGGGATGGATAAAATCCGCCGTAAGCGGCTATTCAACCTCGGAACGCGGCTGATTGTAGATGTAGACGGTATCCATGGATCTCACATGGACGTCGAGTCGTACGATGGCGATTTGATTACACGGCACGTAGAGTAAATTGTCCCATTCGCCCCTTGTTGATGAATCCTGGCATCATTCGATGCACTGGGCATGCTTCACATGGAGTTCGGATGAGAATGAAGGTCAGCGAGGTACAGATATAAGGGCTTGAGCGCCGTGCTCCGTTGGGGGGGAGAGAGGCGGCGGTGCAACCCGATTATCGTCTCGGCGGATGAAGGCGTTGAGAAACTTCTGTGCAGAGAGAAGTAACGCGGTGACTCTCGATGAATTTGCACTACCAGTCTTCGGGTGGAAGAGACGCGCGTGAGGGTGAGGGCGAAGGCGAGGGGGAGGGGGATTAGGGTGAACTGTATTGACGGTCGGGATAGACGATGGGATGCAGGAGGGCTGAGGTTCCGGCATCCGCGATGAAGGAAGAAATTCCATTGGACTCGTCAACAATGTCTTCAGCGTATTCAAGATGGCAAACTCCATCTTCAGCTTTATCGCATACACGAGAGAAGTGTACCCCAACTGTATTGTCATCGGCGACCCGAACGTGAGTGCAATCAACGCGATGTCCATCAGATTAATCGCAAGCTGGACAGCAATCAGTTGTTGCATGACCTTCTCGCCGGCGCGCCCTTTATGCGCGGCGATTGTGCTCAGTTCCTTGAATGCCTGGAGGCAGTATATTGTGCATACTACCATCTCGCGCACGGTGACTGTGATTCGCACCGAGCGCGTAATGATGCCGCATGTCGCTACCCAAGAGGGCGTGACACTCGCGTAGATGCCGGAGATAACAAGGAGGGGGATCAGGACGATGCAGGTGATGACAATGAGGATCCGGACGGTGCGAACCACGCCGGGATTATGCGGGCAGACGAGGTGAAGACGGGTATAGAAAATGAGGATTTGGGCAGTTTGTAGTACTGCGCAGACTATACCCCAGAGACCGGCTGGCCAACCCGGGGAGCATCCGATGTAGAGCATCAGGAATGAAAGCCCGATGAATCCCATAAGGCTGATATCCGTGATGAGAACGCTGTAGAAGTAGAGGCCACGGAAGTGCCGGAATGTACTCAAGATCCAGATCAGGACTTTGACGACATTGTACGAGGCGATGGAGAGGAGGATCACGCCTGCAAAGAAAATGTCATTGGTCGGGTCCTGTGGCTTCCCAGCTTCCCCCCCTAAAAGCAAATGTTCCACTCGGGCCCTCCCGTTGCCCATCGCTCGACATGCCGACACCTACGTGGTGGTTGCGCGAAGAATGTGCAATCTCGAAATGGTCGCTGTCAAGGTGACTCGGGATGCAAACCGAATCTCCAGGGGCAGGCCGTCCCCTCAGGAACTAAACTTGCACTTTATCCCACCGTGCGGCGAGCTTCGACAGCTGTAAGGCTCGCAATGTGATCGACAGCTGCGGTGACAGGAGACAAAGAAAGTCTATACAGCGGCGCACCCTATCACAATCAACTCTGATATTTCCCCTTCCGTCCTTTCCCCTCAAGAAAAGGTCTTCACAGCAAGCTTGCCAACAGACTATTCGTCATGTCGCTTTACCAAGACTCAGTCATCGCCGCCTCGAACGATTGTCTTTGTTCCCAACTCGAGCCTCGACACTGGATCGCGTATCTACTGCTTGCCACCCCCCTGAGGTGATGTCCGAAACTCCTTGAGATTGGCCAATATCAGCAGAGTCTCCGCTCTTTTCTGTGGATGGTGCCCTGCCAAGTTCCCCGCTCGACCGCCGGAATAGGGTCGGGCTTTTCAGGGGAACCCGCGCACGCCGCGAACATGTTTCTCTTAGTTTTTGTTCAGAGCAGGCGACGAAATCTCGCATCCGCTCCCGTGCCGAGATAAGCCAGTGAGCCACGTTCCATTCCTTGCCTGGCCAGCGAACCATGAGTGGTCATCGAGTCTGGACTCGAGGCTCGAGCATTATTATTGTGGACCTGACTCGTGCGGAATTGCGATGCGCAGTTTCAGTCACCCGTGCACCCTTCCCGGGAAGGATGGGTTCGTCCTGAATCTAGGTGAGGACTGTGCTCTTTCACAGGAGCTTCTGGCTTCTGCTACTAGTCCAAGCCATGAATCAAACTAAGCGCTATACGCATTTGGAAAATTGTACTAACAATTTGGATATCGTACAGCCTCTCGCTAGCTACCCATCACCTTCTCACCAAAGAAGCCCCTGTAAATCAAACACTAATCATCCTCACAAACCTATCCCCAAGCTGCCCCGCAGCGAGCGGATTCTCCCCCGTCAAAAGCTCACGATCCAGCGTCGTCTGCCCCATCTTCTCTCCAACGCCCGTAACCATCTCCGCCCCCTCATTCCGGAGCGACGACTCCACCTTCTCAATCTCTCCACCCAGAATCGTCTCCATCACCTTCTCCTCTGCATCGCTCCACGCGGTGATCTTGTACCCCTTGTACGCAAACGTCCCGTCACCAGCCTGCTTCGTGCTGAGCAACGCATATGGCCCGTGGCAGATCGCAGCTGTCGGCTTATTCTCTTCATGGAAGAAGCGAAGGATCCGGCCGAGCTCCTTGTCGTCGCCGAGATCGCGTAGGGGCGCGTGGCCGCCGGGAATGAACACCCCGGCAAAGGTAGAGAGTTCATCGTTGGAGATACTGGCCAACGTCCGCGGCCGCGAGAAGCCATTCTCGCGCTTCATGCGCTCGAGCAACTCATTCTCGCGGCGCCGCTCGTAAAAGTTCCCCGCGAACGCCGCGAGCGATTCGCTGTTGGGATCGGGGACGGGTTCTTGGCCCTTGGGGCTTGCGAATGTGACCTCGTGTCCGGCGTCGAGGAGTTTCTGGAGGGGTTTGGCGAGCTCCATTAGGAAGAAGCCCGAGGGCTGGTCGACGGTTTTGGCGGTCTCGCCGCTGGACCCGGCGGGTTTTTTCAGCGGGAAGGAGGTGGCGTCGGAGAGGATTATCAGGACTTTCTTTGTAGGCATTTTGACTGATATTTGATATTCGGATTGTGTGATTGATCGTAATAGTCGGGATTTTCGCAGCGAGCTTCATGTATATAAGGGTCACAGGGAGGGAGTCATGACATCATCATGACACCATGACATGACTACACCACGAGTAATGCAAAACATAAATAATAAATAATCCATGAATATCCTCTAATATCATATCATACGATGTACAATGTCACTATGACGAGAACGCCTATCCCAACAAATCCAGCAATAATCTACAAAGCATCTACACCTTCAACCTCTGCACCAACAAGCGCACAACCCAATTCGCCGTCCCCGTCTCCCCCTCCAACGCAACCACCGAATCCGTAATGATCTCCATGAGCTCCTGCATCTTGGCCTCTGTGTACCGCATGCTCCCCGCCTGCTGCAGGTGTTCCAGAACAGCCTCCTTCATGGGGACATCGAGCCCGCCGCCGCCCGCTGTCCGAGATGCTTGCAGGATCCCGCGGAGCTGCATGTTTTTCGGCTGTGTGTGTAATGCGTGGATTAGTGGGAAAGAGAATTTGCCTTCGTCGAGGTCTTCGCAGAAGCCCTTTTGGCCGGTGTACTGCGCGTCAAAGGGTTAATAACTGGTCGACGGCGGAGTATAGTAGAGTTGTCAGGGGGTCTTACCTCTTCAGTTAGGTTCTTGTAGTCGTCGCGGATTTGGAAGAATTCGCCCAAGACACCGCTGAGCGATGATAAGATGCCGTCGAGACTATTATCGTAAAAGGTCAGCTTCAACAACCTGTAGATATGGGAAAGGAAACGCACTCTTTCCGCCGCACCGGCGCAATCTGCACCATCAACCTCGTAAGCAACCGGAACAACCCACCGGTCTCTACACAAGCCAGTCAGCACTTTGCCTCTCCTCATAAACACCAACAACCCATGAAAAGTGTCAACATACTCTGCCTAACCATCTCCAAATACTCCTCCTCAGACGGACACTCGCCCTGCCTCGTCCAATACAGATCAAAGCTCTGCCCGACAAAGAGATTGCGCATCTCCTCGAGATAGATATCCAGACACCCCGGATCGTCCAGCTTGCGGATCTGGTCCATCACCTCAACGAGTAGGTAATTTGCCGAGTTTATCGTTTGCCCCACGCCGAAGATTGTGTGTGTGGCTGGGCGACCCCGGCGGAGCGGGGAGGAGTCTTCGATGTCGTCGAGCCTAGAGGGTTTCTTAGTTCGCTTCGTGGATTGGGGGATAGGAGGGGGAAGAGCAGGGGAGGAGCGTACATGAGCGAGGCATTGTGTAACGTCTGTGCGATGTTCTTGAGCTGTCTGACGCGGTGGTCGGGGAGGACGAGCCAGACGTTGAGGCCGTCGATGAAGGCTTCGCGGACCCCTTTTGAGGGGAGGGATTTGATGTAGTCGGCCGGGGCGAGGAGGATCTAGACGCCATCAGCCTGTGTGAAAGATAGTTGGAGTCTATTTAGAGACGTACCTCGTCTCCTAGCTGCACGTGTTCGGTTTGCTTCTCGTGTAGGGAAGCGGCCGACGAGACTGACGATCTAACTGACGACCTTGACGAGCCAGACCAGAAGGTCGGAGAGCCCTCGGAAGCATCAGACTCGGATTCACTTGGGCTACTACCCCAACGGGTGGTTTCGGTCTCATATATTGGCTTCTCCTCCCTAGATTCGGCGATCGCATCTCGTAGCAATTCGCCGGCCTCGCGGCAAAGCCAAGGATGGTACCGTGGACACCTCAAGCTCCACGCAACATTCCCCGGAACCTGGTGTCCCTGCGCCCTGAGATACTCCTGCAGCTTCGGCTCGTCTTTCCCCTCACTCGCACAAAACTCCTCCACATTTTTCAGGTACTGCCTCTCATACATATTCGTCACCTCACGCACCCGGCGCTTCGCATCTTCGACACTGAGTCCCTCCCACTGCATAAACAGCCACACGGCATTCGTCATTGTAGTCTTGGCTCCCTCGCGCTGGAACTCTTCCCACTCAATGTCGAAGGAGAAGTAATCGTTCGCGAGGCCGAGGGCTGCGTAGCATGGTTTCACGATCGGGGCAGTCCGTGCTTGTTCTTCGGGGGTGAGGAGGATGCCCATGCCGAAGCGCATGAGCATGTCGACGAAGCTGCGAGTAATATTATTAGATATATTCTTGGACCTGGGAAGAAGTGTGACTACTTACGGGGCGCCGGTATCGATGATTCGATAATCCACATATTCCTCCAGGGTGTCAAACGCCTGCGTCTTGTCCTGCTTCGCCGTTGTCGAGATCATTTCCTTCCATGAGTTGATTACGACTTCTGCGCAGCGCGCATCGATCGCGAGTAATTCGAGCAGCATCTTCGATTGGATCTGCTTTGTGCCGAGGATGGAGCGGACAGTGCGGTACTCTGTCTCGTCAAGGGCGATGTTGTCCGTGTCCATGTTCAACTGCTCGAATCAGTTCGGCTCGTGTATGTTATGTAGTGGGGGAGAGAACAAACCGTAGAATTGGCCGCCGACTCGACAACATTATCATACAGAAACGCATCTGCGCACCATTAGCACACTCCGCCTGGCTCGCATCCCCTCGGCTCAATCTGGAACGCACACTCAAAGATATAACAAATAACGGCCAGCCGCTCGGGCTTGCAAAACGGGAGCACGACGGCCCCGAAATGCCCTTCCCACGGGTTACATGACCCCCAGCGTTCGATCGGGCCGATGTATTTTTCCCAGTCGGCGCGACAGGCCAGCGACCCCTCGTTTGCTTTGTCCTCGTGATGATGCCGTCGGAGCTCGTAGCCTGCGCAGAAGCCGGCGATGTCGGGGGTTGAGCGGGGGACGGGGGTGGATAGTGAGGGGTTGAGGTATGATTCGGATTGTGTTTGTGGCATTTTGTCAGTATTTGCGATTAATCTGTGCTTCTCTCTACAGGCACGCTTGTTCTCTACCCCAGCGTTAAATACGCCTCCAGCGATTCTACCTGGCCATGGCTCGTGCGATTACCCTAGTAGTCGACAATTACCTCACACACGCCGTTCGGACGTACCTGACCCAATAGAACGCAACCCCCGGCGTCAAACTGGAGGAAATGGAGATAGGGTTGTTGACGAAATCTTGGAATCGCGCTGGTGAACTATGGTTTGCATCGATATGACGTTCGGCACAGTCTCCACCGGGCTCCATAGCCGCGCTGAAGAGTTCCTCTCACGCGGGTCCAACGGGAAGACCGTGGAGAACAGCATTGATGTCATGGGAATGGGCGCAGCGGTTTATCCAAGGCGATTCGTGCGTCGATGGTCCGAGACGAGATCATATGTACAAATGATTCAGGGAGTACATTCATCATAGATCGTGCTCGAGCCCCCAAGGAACCATGATCGACACCGGATTTCTAGTTCCTGTCCCAGAATCCTGGTGAGCGTGCATTTGCCCATGTGCCATGTATGTATGACCATCGGGCCGATCGCGCATGTTTCACGCTGTGCAACGTCATTATTTTCGCGCCTCAGCGGTCAAGGGACTTGCAAGACTTCCCCTCCCCCTATCCTCGAAATCGATCGCATCCTTGAGAGGAATCCACCCGGTTTACTCCACTATATTGAGATAAGCCCTCGATCGCACTACGAAACGACGCGAAACATGGTCGGTATAACAACCGACGAAGCAGCTGCGACTGCTACATTCAGCAAGGTATGCGCCGAGAAAGGCCTCCTGAAGCGCGCGGGGTGGAAGGATGGTGATATCCAGGATGGAATCACGGATCAGCATACTCTTCTGTAAGTGACTACCACCCTTCGAGATCTGGCTCATTTGGAACGGTATACTGAGTCATGAAGACGCTTCCTCCAGGCGAATAGCATGAACCCCTCTCTCGCCCTCGAACAACTCCAACAAGCAACCGATTTTCACACGAAGAATGAGGTGCTGAATCTGTATGATTTGATCGATATTGAAGATTACGAGGATACACGGCGACTGGTACGCACACCCCTAAACCTCAGATACCGCTAGAAAGCCACTCACATAGCGCTAACAACCACAGTACCCAACTTGGACAGGCCGCCGCGACAACAGCGGTCGACCCCTGCTGATGATCGACATAGCCGCCCTAGAAAAGGAACATATCAACCACTGGCGCGCAACGCGAATGATCCCCTCAGGTCGACGAGATGGGGACAACTCGCGGTACACATCGAACATGGCGCAACGCGCGCTGGTGTTCTTCGACGGGCTCACGCGCTTTGTCCTCCCGCTGTGCACCGCTGTTCGGGACGCCCATTCCGGCCGCCAGGATAACGATGTGTTGAAATGCGTGGTTATGATCGAGGCGACGACGGTCTCGTTGAAGCAGGGGTGGGATGTGAGGGATTTTGCCAAGGAGATTAGTTGGATCCTCGCGACGTGTTTTCCAGAGGTTATTGATCGGATTTATGTGGGTGCCCTCCCCCTGTCCAAATCAAGGGGCGGCTTTTCTTGAGATGCCACTGCTGATTGTCGTATCTGCACAGGTCTGCAATGCGCCATCATATTTCTCAACGCTGTGGAAGATGCTCAAGGGCTTCGTCGAGCCCAAGACTGCAGAGAAGATTGTTGTTTTGACGAGCAATGAGACATATCCTGCGCTTAATGAGGATATCGAGCACCCCAATATCCCCGCGAATTTTGGGGGAGGTTTCGCGTACGAGACTGGGATTCTCCCCGATCTGGATGAGGAGCTCTGTCGAGCACTGCAGTGGTCAGTGCCGGAGGGGCAGCTGCCGCCTGGTCCGATCAAATGGGTTAAAACTGATGGCGGCAAGTGGAAGGCGATTGCTACGGGGACTATCGAGGGGGTAGCGAGGGCCGACGAGGTAGCTGTCTTGTCGTTAAATGCTCTCAATGGAGCGCAGTTGTGAGTTTTAGATGAATACAAGGATCTTATGTGTCTGAAAACATGACGTAGCCCACAAGACGTAGTCCGCAACCTCTATCTCCCTTGGACTAGCCTAGTTGAAGGTGTTGCGCTCAATGATGCCGACCGATTGTGGGACACTAGATACATAGTCCGTACGTATCCGGGGAGGCCATTGATGAGAGATCAGATCAACAGCAAACAACAGTCATATGACATATTACTCATAGCAATACACTGGAGTAGCCCCCCCCCCCTACGGGAGATCTGAACCCCCACAGGCAGTGACTTACAACTGCGACTCTATACCCTAAGCTGTAAGCTAGCTGGGATGTAGGATGGCGAATATCAGGCGCCCCCATGTGCTTCAAACGCCGTGTCATATGCTAGCCCCTGTTTTGTTTGATAGTAGCTAGTGCATATGCTCAATAACCGTACGACGACTGTCTAAAAACAAGTTAAAACAGTGGCCGAATCTCATGCTGACTAGTCTTTTAGCACAAGGAAGTGCTATATGGACGCATATGATAGTTGACCTTTTTTAAATCAGGGATATTCATGCAATTAGTCTAATAAGATCCTTCAGCAGGCATGCCATTCCCTGGCCAGCTCTTTCATCTATAGCGCTACTTCTTCGTTGTCCTGGAAATCATAGTAAAATCGAGGAGCTCGTCAGCATAGCCCTGAAAGTTTCTGCCATTTCACATAGACCTTTCAGCATTCTTGAGCTTGCCTGGGCTCTCAACTTGGGTGTGTCTTGAAACATTACCGCGACTAACATAGACCACCAGATGATATTAGCACAAGTGATCTATTTGCCAAGGAGCAAATCGCCATTGCAGAGCTACCTTGGAAGTTTGGGTTTTCCGTTAATAACAAAAAATTAATTGAATATGATCCCGGGTCTTCATGAACATTTGGGAAGACAATAAGATTCGCTGTAGCCCAGCCAGTCCCAGGCTTTTGGGACTTCTTTCGTCTACGCATTAATGCCATTGTCTAACCGGCCCCTCTGTTAACCTGCGGAGTCGTCTTCCCGCATGATTGTGGCTGGAGCGGCCTTCAGGAGGTAATGACATCACCTCAAGAAAGCAACATATGATGCATCTCTATACCACGTGAAATAATAGAACGACATTTCCGTGGTGCTCTCACCGTACCACACTCTTGATATAATCACGATTCGCTGATTTTGGACGTTTGCGGCCACACAGTCGAGGAGGGATCTCTATATCAGTCGAAGCGAAGTATAATGCATCTCTGTACCACATAAAACAATAGAAAGACGTTCCCATGGTTCTCTAGCCATGCCACCTTCTTGATATAATCATGATTCGCTGATTTTGGACGTTTGCGGCCACCCGGTTTAGAAGGGATCTCTATATCAGTCGAAGCAATCCTCCTTTTTCAGAATGTGTCTTGTCGAATCAAGTCTTAGTTAATTGCTATCTCGGCGCTGACAAAACCTAATAAAAATGCATTTGCAAAGAATCATATATGGCACTCTCATAGTGCTCGTCCCTTACTTGACTCACGATACCATCGCAGCTGATTGTAGCAGTCAGGACATTGAAACCCAAAGCGTGAGCTCATGCACATGCGGTGGCGGGGACGATGTTTGCATGACCCAGTGCGATGCTACACAGTCCGCATCATCATTCTGCCCTTTTACAACGATATCGTCCCAGCTCCATCTTGACGACTGCGACGGCCATTGCACTTCGGATAAAAACCGCCGGTGCAAATCCTGTTGGATCTGGTTCAATGCACTGTGCTCCTGCTATCAGAACAGCAACTGCGAAAAGAGTAGCAACACGGGCTCATTCTTCTGGATCCAGCTCAATCGTCATTTGCTCACGACTAATGCCCCCATCCCGAGCATTCTGGACCTTCAGACGAAACACTCCGCGCTCGCACCGTTCGGCTGGGAGTTCGGCCAGACGCAGAAAATATCGGACCCCGCCTCCCAGGCACTCGTTATCAATTCCGCGCACTCGATCACGGAAAACCAGATTCACATGCACACCTGCCCTGTCAACAGTGAGATGCTCAAGCGCTTGACCGAACTCTCGACAAACCCTGGCCCAGCACACTTTAGCAACCTGGTTTCTGTTACGCTGCCTGGTCCCTCTGGAGTTTTGCCGGTCTATTGCCGCACGATGCAGCAAAAAGATACTCCCGTGGAGGGAAAACAAGTGTCAGGTGATATCAATGAGGTGATGCAGAAGGAATGCAAATACTATGTGGGCGCAGCAGTGATGAGGGATAGTAATGGGTATACATGGGATTGTATCACTGCTGACAGCCAGAGCACTGAGTACCACAGGTTCTGCGCGTGATATGGGTTTAGACTCAAGGGGGAACATTGGCTTGCTGATTCTTCTCTCTGTTTTTGCCAATATTTGATTGGATTTAAGAAGGTGGTATTGCGCGTGCGTCGGGCGATACCAGGGCAGCCATAGTCGCTGATGGTAGTCAGTGTAGGGATACAATGCAGGGTGCTAGTTGTTGGTACTACTATCGTTCATAAACTGACTTATATGTCGACCTTGAAAGTCACTTTGCCTTGTACTTGTACGTGAATGCATTGTTGTAGATATCCATATATATATATATATATTTCTGATATGGGATTTATGTAGGGAACGAATTCATTTGCCATTTTTTCTGAGAAATAATTCATAGGCTGACCGTATGTATTCCGCTTCCTTTGATGTCTCACATTCAATATTGATGTGATGCTGCGGTCGCACTAGTATCGCCCCAAGGATCCCCTTCATTATCATACCACGTCCTCATCCACCGCATACTTCTTACCAACTGAATTACACTGCGTTTACTTGCCTCCAGCATCCCAAGCCTCTACCACACTCCTTGGATCCATTCTCTCCTTCTGTAACTTTCTAGCATACGAAACTCCAAACCCACGCCCAAACACCCATTTGATTTCCTGTGTGCGGGGTGAAAAGATGGATGATATCTTCCAATACTTGCTGCACAACAAGGACGGTGAACCGTATACCCTTGAATGGGGAGAAATTGCTGCTATCAACACCGCAGGAGCCACCCAGGTCATCAGGTTCGCTCAGGCACGAATCCAACAAAGCCTACCAATAGAAACGCGCAGTCTTGTTCGTCTGTCCCTCCTCCGCATCGGCCTTCTACATACCCACCAATCTCAGTCAATGTTTCCAACAGCTTAACTTTATCGGGGCCGGGGTCCGGGTCAAGTAGACGTGCAGAGTACATACCATCATTCCCAGCTGATCCGCAGCAAGCTCACTCTCGAATTGCAGCCATTCCTTCTCTTTGCCCGTGAGGTTATCATTATCCCAGGTCTGCGCCCTGTCGGAATCGATCCAGATCGCTCTCTCCGGGTCCCCCTTCACAACCATCATGCTTCTCGGATGAATGTCGTCGTGAATTACTCCAGCCGCGTGGATCTCCGCAAGGCCCTTGATGAAGTTGTCGCGCTTGGCATCCGTGTAGTTTTTCCTGTGAAGCTGCTTCATGTTCGGAATGTATTCAAGAAGGATTGCCTTGGGAGGGTACTCGTCTTTGAGGAACATGTCCAGGTGCGGCTGCAGGAGGTTGGGGTCCAAGTCCTCAATGCTTCCAGAGAATTTAGGAATCGTAGCACAGTCACAAAGGCCATGCTCTTGTAGCCATTTATAGGCTACAACTTCGCAGGTATGTGTATTTATCTCACGATCCTTGGGATCATACCACTGCTTCGGCCCTTGTCCACGATGCTAAAATGATCAGAGTGTCTCCCAGCATGCAGGCGGCGGCGTGTGGCCGCTCACAACTTTGAGAAAATATGGTTGTCCTTATATATGCACGAGGAACCTGGCAGAGTATTCCGAACTTGATAGTTCTCTAGTGAACGTGATGTCAGACGGCGCAAATTGGATGGTCTCCATGGTCAAAAGATATGTGGAGTACGGAGTAGATGTGTTATAATCCAACCTGGAGTGGGCCTGGTTTTGTGCGAATCATTATTCATCCGCTCATTTGAGTTTTTGAGACTGGTTGAAGTTTACGTGAATGTCCCCGTAGTACTGCAGCGCAATTTCCATTTTGATTATCGCGAGTTGACCATGCAAATCACGCTCCATTATATGCGTAAGAATATGCGTAAATATTATGTCTATATGCAGTGAACCATGCACCATTAAAATCCCGTAGATCGGTCCATATATACCGTGTTTTCACATTATGAGTAGCGCTCCAGCAGATGTTCGGACTCTTCAAAGGGCTCGCTGCCCTTAGTCTGCCTGTTGCTGTTGCGGAGGCGGTTGCCAGTAGTCGGCACGGGCTTCTCGAGGCGGAGTGCCCAGAGGAGCAGGTCCTCGGCGGGGAGAAGGATGAGCCAGATCTTGTTGATCAGGAAGCAGATGGCGACGGAGACCATGGCGACGGTCGCATCGAGCCAGTAGTGGTTGGCTGTGGCGACAATCACAGAGAGCACCAGCAAAGGGTACAGAATGGCGAGTGTGACAAAGAACCCGGTCGAAACCATCGACCGCAGGGTTCTGCGTCCACCCTGGAAGATGGACCAGAAGTTCGAGTGGTACATGAACGTGGCGCCGATGCAGAAGGCGTAGGTGAAGTGCAGACTGGGCATCGCCGCCAGCTGGTTGACCATCTTTCCTCCGACCCACACACTCTCGGCATGTTCCTGGCGCACGGTATCATGGAAGTTGAAGGACTCGGGGAGCAGTCGCGGAGGCATGCAGGGAAAGAAGCAGAAGACCATAAAGGCGGAGAAATTTCCAAGCGTCATTGTGCGGCGGACAATCGCGAATCGCTCGAAATCGGGGGCGGCCCAGTAGTACCAAGAAATGAAGCTAAAAGGTCAGCAAGGCCTGGCATTTGGGGCAAGACAACTTACGCAACAGTTCCCGGAATGTGAACGAGGGAGTAGATGCGATTGAAAAAGGTCATCCAGCCTTGGTGGTTGTTGAGGAAGAACGCCTGGAAGTCGGACTCTTCAATCGGGAAGAAAATGCTAAAGATAGACCGGTGTTCGATGTCTAGAATTCCAATCCCATGGTCCTGTGCAAGCTGCACCACGTCCGTTCCTGCGGGAGAAAGCGCCTGCGCAACGGCTTTGGTGCAGGAGTAGAAGGCGTAGTTGAGGACCCAGTAGAACATCTCCACCAAGAAAGGCAGCTTCTGCAGAATGCGGCTATGAATATGGTGGGCGAAGCGGGAGGAGTTTGGTGTCCTGATCACAAACCAACCGTATACGCGTCGCTTGGGCTCGTGAGGGTTCTTGCGGGATTGTTCGTCGCGGAGGGGAACGGAGGTGGCTTCGACGTCGGATTTGAGGGATTCTCGCTCGGCCAGGGGATCACGGTTCTTGTCGAAGATTTTGTAGTGCCGGGTACGATTGAAGACGAGGGAAGCAACCATAATGCTCACGACGATCTAGAAGACATGCAAGTTAGTCCGAGTCAGGGAAGCAGTGAGCAACCGGAGAGACGCACGATCGGTTCGACCCATGAGTGAGAGGCGAACTGGGGTTTCCCCAGATCGATCTTCTGAGTCGAGTTGGTCGACATTTTGGCGATTGAAAGAACAGAGTAGGGTGAACGAGATTCAAATCATAAGATCACCGCTGGATAAGCAGGCCGATTGCGTTGCGGAGGAGCCGGCGAGCGACGGGCGACTGTGACCAGAGTCTGCACGTGAGGTGAGAAAGGGGCGCGAAAAAGAGGGACGAGAACGATTCCAGGATTCTGTGAGGACCCCTTGACACGAAAAAGCACGCAAAAGGGCAAAGAGAGTGCCCTGAGAAGAGTGCAGCGCAACAGCAAAAGGGGGAGAAGAGGAAGGAGGAAAGATGGCGGCTGGAGAAGAGAGGAGAGGAATTTGGTGTGCCAATAATTCAAGTTTCAGGATTCGGACCCAGCACAGCGCATCGCGCTCAGCCTCATCACTGCAGAACCACACAACCGTTTCGTCTCTTCTTTCTATACGATTATCGATTAAACGGTATCTACTGTCACTACACATAAGTTTACTGTTCCTTCCAATACTGTTCACCCCAGATTCTTGCTGCTTCCGCTGCTGTTCCTGCTGGTCTTTTGGGAAACAAGTCAGGAGACCGCCCGACCAAATCGCCACGGAACCAGGGATTTCAGGAGAGATCGTCGCGGAACGCCCGGAAGCCAGAGTCGATTCCTGCGATTGGCTTCGGCCAGGATCTCGTATCCGCAGTCGCTGACGGATACGGAGGCGGTCGCGCGACTCACCCACCAAGCCTCTGCCAAGCCTGGCGCAATCTGGTCATCGCTGTGTTGCATGGCAGAGTTTCTGCCGGTTATGGGCAAGAGGGAATGATCTGAGAGAAATCAAGATGGAAATCTGGTAATATCATCTCTCGCTCGTCTTCCGCCTTCGATGAAATGCCTCCAGTCCTCCTGATCGGCGAAAACGCTGGTCCTCCGCTTTCGTGTTTGATCACGTGATGTCATCATTGAGTGACCCTGATGCACCATTAACATCAAAGGGTGAGGCAGAGCGCAGTTTCTCAGCTAATATCGAGCTGGCGGCTCTTGACTGACTGTAGAAGCTCTTGATCTACTTTGGTTCATCGTGCGCTTGGTCCCGTCGAAACAAGCGAAGCCACAACTTGTGGTTGCTGCGCAACTATATATTTGGCTCAAGCTACCGCAGATTATTCACCGTGGCTACGTCCTTTCTAGGGTCCGTTTTACGCATAATGGTAAGCCGCAATATCGAAGCTCACCTTGAGCCGGAGCTGGGATTTATGTGAGGAATTTTCAGTCCATTGTTTTTGGACCACTGAACCGGGAGAGAAGCTCGCTGCAGTGTAGATGGTCATACAGAGGACTGAGGAAGAGGTAAGCTCCTACCAGATGTCTGCTAGATGAAGCTCAGCTATATGAAAGAAGCCTGTGAATATTCTGCGAGACGAAAATGCTGCAAGGAAAAATGCATGTCAGAGGCGACACTCACAGTACTACGGGGATTGCTATCTGAGTGAGGAAGCGATTCATGGCCAACCCAGGACTCGGCCATAGTACTCGCCCATGTTGGAAAATCTGAAGAAAACGAGTACAAAAGTTGAGGGAGGCGACTCTGCGTCACCCGGCCACTGATTTATAATAAACCTTGATTGTTCGTGCCTTACATCCTGCTTGGCGAATAACCTTTTGACAGCACTCTGCTTCAGAAGCACCACACCTTTCACGAATCATGTCACAGAAGCTTCCGCTGGAGCTGTGGCTCCTAATTGCGGAATACCTCGGGCACGATCAACGTGCATGAGAAACATGTACAATACTCATCTCAAGAGAATTTCAAAGTCTTCTGACCTGGCACGTGCCGAGAAACCTCTACGCGACGAAAGAAAAACATCTGCTTTAGGAGCACTGCACGAGATCTATCCAAGCACAACCTGTTCATCCCATAGACCCAACCCATCAAGCATCCCGATATCCTCCACTCCCGAAGTCCTCCTAACCCCTCTAGTAATCTCCCTCGTCCTCGTCGGAACTTCATCAAGCACAACCCTCGTCTCCGCGTCCCTGACAATCCCCCGACTAACCCTCGCAAACTCCCCCCTCCCATCGGCAGGATACGACGCCGTAACCGTCACCCGCGTCGCAGTCTGCACAACCGAACTCTCAACCTCCCACTCCGTCACAACAGCAACTTCTTCCCCCTCCCCACCATCCTCATCGACATCAACGTAGTGCACGTGAACCTCCTCGTACCAGTATACCGTTTGCTCGTAACAGACATCTGCTGTAATACTGAAGCAGGCTAGACCCTCGGGACAGCAGCGGATTGAGGCGTCATGTACGAAGCAGTAGTCGCCAGGGAGGCAGTTATGGGAAGCGGAGCAGCGGGTGTCTTCAAGGTGGGGTTCTTCGGCGAAGACTGTTTCTGTGTCTACTTGCATGGTCAGGACTGTTCGCTGGCGTGGGTTATGTGGAAGAGACGGGGGATGGGTATGCGGACCTGGGAGGGAGCTTGGTGGAGGAATGCTTCCACCGTAGGAGAAAGTCTTTGTGAAGAGGTTGCGGCTGTATGATGAGGATGTGTCGATGTCCGAGGTGTGGGTGGGATTGTTGACGGTGTCTTGGTCGGTGCCGAGCGCGGCGGAGGTGAGAGAGAGAAGGTAGAGGAGGATGCGGTGGAGCGACATGGTTGACTTTTGGGACGCCATATCAAGTGAGATTCGAAGGGCGATGATGATTTGAAGCAAACAAGAGCAGTCTGACGAGGTCGTGGTCGAGGTTGAGAGCGCTGCTATATACTCGAGACTCTCTTTGTCTAGACTTCTTTCACCTCCATCGCGACTAAACCCAAACCACCAAATCTATAAATAAAAGCGCCCGATTCTTTTTGCTTTCTCAAGAACATAAGCACATATAGTCGAAACTACAATCAAAAAAAAACCAACCCAACATCATTCCAAATTTCCAAGCGCCGAACTCGACCACCTGCAGGCTATTCATGCAGCCGCAAGGATCGGCCCGCCCCCAGCGGCTGCGCACGGGAAGGACCAGACGGATTTCTATGGGCATTCACAAAGAGGTCTCGGACTAAGGCTATGTCTCCCGGTCGGCGCTTGGAACAAGGCTGGGTGGGCTGCGTTGTGGTTGGTGGACACCCAGGGTCTGGACGGTGGTTTGCCGCCGGGGGCGCTGATCGGCCATGTCGATGCAGGTGATGGTGTCACCCTCCAGCGCTTAGAGCCAACAGATGGACAGACAAAGTACTTATTCTGTATTATGTGCATTATGCAGCTCGGGGCTGCTTCCGACAACCCAGCAATCCAACAATCCAACTAACTACTATATACACGCATCCACTCTGAACCAATTACCGATCCAACAGCGGCTAAATCAATCACTGGAATCAAGGAAAAGTCCACCCCCCAGTATGAGTACTAAAGAACCCATCCCCATCAACCTTGGCCTTGAGCGTCTTCAGCTTCTCATACCCGCCATACGTAACCAACGGATTCTGATCGTACGTCGCATCATTAATAAACAGCGGTAACCCCTCAGCCGGCGGGAGAGCCTCAACAAGCTCCTTGAAGCTCGCCTGCGCCTCCTTGAGCGCCTTGTCCGAAAGCAGCGGCGACGCCGTGAGCAGGTAGTTGACCCAGTACCACGGCCCATCGGGCATCTGCATTGCGTTGCCGCCGAAGTTTGCGTTTGAGGCGTCGGTTAGCGATTTCGGGACTGGTTGGATGTCCAACGATGTGAGGAGGTATTTGCCCTTGTTGTTGTTGCCCCATTCGCGCCATTTGGCGTAGAGAGTGGCCAACGTGTCAATTCCCGCGTCTGTTCCTTGCTGAACTGTAACCCGGAATGTGTTCCGGCCCTTGCTCACCTCGGCGCTCCCCGGAATCGGCATGTTCACGACACCGTTATAATCCAGGTGTCCGAGTGTGTTAACCAGGTGCGGGGTATCCGTAAAGTTCTTAAAAGCCCCCTTGTCATCCTCGCCATCATACACAAGGAACATGACAATCGCCTCGTCGAGGTTCAGATTCAGATCCGGGGTAGGGAGCTTCATGTACGTGCCGATAATGGCAGCCTTGGGGTCCTCGTTGTACTGAATAAAGTCGCTGATTGCGTCCAGAACAGCCGGGTTCTGCTGGAAGAGATACACAACGATCCCCGCGTAGAATGTCCCCGCCGGGTGCGATTGGACTGTGTATCTCGTCACGACGCCGTAGGCATTCCCGCCCCCGCCACGGAGACCGTAGAAGAGGTCTGGGTTCTGGGTCTCGGACGCGATGACGATTTCCCCGGAAGGGAGGACGACCTCGAGCTCGCGGAAGGAGTCGCATGCGAGTCCGTACTGGCTCGAGAGATACGACAACCCGCCGGAAAGCGCGAGGCCAGTGCCTACACCCGCAAGGCGCGCACCCACGACCGTCCGGTTCCACTGCAGGAAGTACTCATAGACGTCCCCGAACGTGCCCCCAGGCCCATACGTCGCGAGCTCCGTGGCGGGGTCGTACGATTTCGCATTCAACTCGGTCAGATCGATGAGAACCCCCTTGTCGACGGAGGAGAAGAAGTCATTGGGGTTGTGGCCGCCGGCCTTGATCGCGAAGCGCGAGTCCGAGGCGCGGATTGCCTTGATTGCGATGGAGACGTCTTCGGCGCTTGTGGGGTATACGATGCAGCTGGGTTTGTATTTGCTTTGCTCTGTGTTGAAATAGGAGGTTATCGTGCGGATGTAGTCGATGCTGAGGATGCTGGAGACGACGGTTTTTTTGCCCAGGGTTTGTGTGAGGTTGCCGCATGCGTTGGGACCCGGCCCGGTGGGTTTGAGCAAGGCAGACGCTGGGGTTGAGAGGAGGAGGGCGAAGGCGCTGAGGGCCGAGATGCTGAGGTTATGCAACATTTTGAGTCGTTACAGTGGCCACTCGAGCGCAAGATAATATCGCACAGGGCCGCGTGGGTTTCCAACTGTATAAGTATAAAAAAGGGGCCGAGGATAGGCTATTAAATAGGCCGAGCAATCAGCCGTTTTCAAGTCTGACAGCGACACATTTCCGCCGAGTCAGGGACGCAAATTGGATTGATTTATTCCATCTTATTTTCGATACGTATCGAATTGTATCCATCCATCCCAAGCCAATCTTCGAGTCGAGCTCGAACCACAGAATCCCAGCCAGTCATGGCGGCGGATTCAGAGAGCTCCCCATCTTTGGACCGGGGAATACGCATTACGCAGTCCTTGGCAGGGACAGACGGGTGACCAAAAAGCAGTGCAGAAAATTGAGGAATGCCGCAGACCCACTGGCTGAGAAAAGGGATCATCGTGCAGCGTATAGGCTGCCTTCTCATTGGTGGGAGTTGAACGTGCTGCAGGGGTTAATGCTAGCGCTTGCCACGAGGTCAGCTCGGCTGGGCTTGCTGAATCAAAATGGCTCATCTGGAACTTCAAGGGATTAAGTAGTCTAACTGCCTTGGAAGTTGTCGGTCAAGCGGCCATGAGGAGCCGGTCAGCCCTGTGATCGTTCGTTTGGGCTCCGCTTCCCAGGTGGAGCAAGCTGGGGCGAGTTCTCCAGCTCTCCACTCCGACCTAAAGATCGAGTCTACATAACACGAGACTATCTATGAAGTAGTCTAATAACCGGATTATGCTATATGTAAAGCCCAGGCTGCATCAGAGCTAGATTGCTTCTCGTAGAGAATAGCCTGTGATTGGATCATCTATCTGGGGCTTCACGTGCATCCCCGTGGGGTGGAGTGGGCTACATGACTCGGACATCCAAGATTCAAGACGCGGGGAACGGCGCATGTATGGGCTTGACCGGGCGACCTCGACTTTTGCCGCTGGCTGGTATGTAATCGACATTTTCGGATACGCCATGCCATGTATACGCCTCGGTAAATGCACAATCCCAATCACAGAGCCAGCACCTGCGCCGTCACCGCCACCAAAACTCCAAAATCCCAACAAAAGAAAATGTGCAAGTCAAGAATGTATAAACGTCTGCATCTCCCGCCGCACCTCAATCTCCTCGTGAACCATAATCAAATCCTGGCTCTCCCCACCACTATCGTCGTCCCAGCGCATGAGGACCGGTTTCGGAGTCGTCGGTCCCTTGCTATCGTTGAATATCGAGATGGAATTTCCAAATCGGTGACTCTGGTTGTTCCGTAACTGGCCTTGCGACTTTGTTCTCGATCGCGAGGACCCGTCGAGTTCGAGACTGTAGCCGTTGTTGTAGGTTGTTCGGGTGCGCTTTTTGCGGAGGGTTATGATCGGCCGGAGGCGCGGGATGGAGACTGTGACGATTATCACGGTTCCTTCGGTTCTATACGCTTGTTGTTAGTTCCGGGTGCAAGATTCATGGAGGAGAGGGGAGGGGGGTAAAGTGCTTACAGGAACCATATTGACCACATTGCGTAAGCGTCTGGTAGAACATGGATTAGCTGGTTATTTCTGATAGAGGCCAAGGGAGTACATACAGCTAAACGATGAGGAATTCATCAATTGAAGCTGGATAGTCTTGAGGATGGCTGCAACCATTGCTCTGTTATCCATGTCAGCAATCGGCAAGCTATCGTCGCCGGGCGTCGAGTCATACAATGAGCTTAGTGATAAAATCCCACACAGCGCAATCTTGGTCTGCAGCCGAAGTTTAAGATTGATAATGACCAGCAGGCCAAGCACTATAAGGAGAAGATCGGTAAAGGCGTTGAATGCTGCGATGGAGACATCAGCTTCACCGACATCCAAGACAACCACAACAACACCATCCTCCAACAGGTAGGAGCGCAACATACCTCCCTGAAAATACCCATACCGCTGCACCACCATCGCATCCCGACACGCGGTGGGAACAAGCAAGGGATCCCACAACGCACTCGCGGGCTTGCACTGCGTGAACTGCAAGATAATCGGAATGACATTAATAACCACCTGCAGCGCCACAAGTCCCCAAAGCAGCTTCCGGCGCAGCGCGTGCACAGTCAAGACTGTGTTCTGTAGAAAGAGTATAAACGAGATCCGGCCGAGCATGGGACCCAACACGCCAAAGGGCATCGAGATCATGGCGTATTTGAGCGTGTTGATTATGCGCGGGCGATCGAGCATTAATTCTGCGAGAGTTTGGCCTAGGCCCCAGTGCGTTGAGGCTGTGACGAGGCCGGAGGAGATGGCTTGCATTATCTTTTCATTACCATATCGGTTAGCGAATGTCAGAGGACAAGTGATGAGCGAGATGGAGGGAGAGAGGGGGTAGCGCACCCAAGCCCCAATCATCACTACATCATCGACAAACGGCCGTCGAACAACGAGGAGCTGCGAGTACGCTCTCAGCGCGATCACGACAGTGCATATCCCGAATTCAACCCAGATGACCAAGTACAGCGCCAATGCAGGAACCGTCCGGACATCGTCGCTAAAGTCCATGATGCGCGGACGCAGAATCAATCTGCGTTTTGCGAAGGTTCAATGCTGCAGTTCGGCTCACTTCATGCGGAAAGGTCGAGGAGATGATACATCAGAACGCGGGGAGGGTTAACATAAATCAGAAACGAAAGGAACTGCCGGGGAACGAAACAAGACGATCTGGCCCGTTCGAAACGTCGGCGACAGTGTCAATGTCATTGTGGGGAGCAAGCAGGGCATCGAGAGACGAGACCTGTGGGGGAAACCGGATGTGCAAACTCTGCCAGAACTCGCTTTCAGCTTCAGCCCTCAAAGTTCACCGTTGACAGCGGGGTCTCCTCCTCCGGCGTAATCTGGTGGCGTACTCTCGAAAGCATGGGCCATCACTAGTCTGTGTGATGGTATCATGTTAGCGAAGACCGCAGGGCCAAGTGAAACAGCAGCTGCCGTACAGCGTTGCGCCTGATTGGCCGTGCAGGGCTTCAAAAGCCATCCTCCCAATGCCGCCCAGGGGCTTTTCCGTTATGCCACCAATCACGGCGGCTCCCTCGGCTCGCTGGGTGAAGGTTCCTCGGCAGGATCCTGCGCTAGATCCAGAGGCTCTATACGAGGCGTGGAGTATAGGGTCTGAGCGCGGGAGTCGCCGACAACGGCAACGGAGGGGCCGATGGGGGAACTCTGGATCGCTGGTAGTACTCCTCCGGCAGCTATTCGCCCGGAACAAAGTCGTGGATGTCATGTTGGAGTTCATTTCCCCACAGGGACCGGTTATGTGGATTTGTCTAGGGAAAGACAGGGATTTTTCCTTGGTTGGATCTAGAGATCTGCTGTTTGCGGATGTTGTAAAAAGATTGAAGATACAGGGCTGATAGCATTCAACTGAACTATTCCCGTAATGAGGGAGCTGCCGATACGGATGTCGATGATGTTGAGTGTTGAGAAGAGGAACTAAAGCTGATCGAGTTTTTTAGGTCGTCAGCGGCCATTCTTCATTCAGAGCAGTAGATATAACCCAGAGACCCCGCCAATCCAAGCTTTATTTGAACAGTGTCTTAGGAGCAATGGCGCTATTGAATTTCGTTATGCGAGTGTGCCTTACATATCGGTGTCTAGAAATACTTGGCCCACCTCTTTGGGCCTTTACTAGTAGGGAGTAGCCTGATGTCCTAGAAGAGACCCGGCAATCAATGCGCAAACTTGCAAATACCGAGGCGCACTCTTGTAATAGAATTGGGCCCTAGGGAGCGTATAACTAGATTAAACATTAAATATTAGACACTACTAGTAATTCTTCCGCGGCTTATTATGATACGAAAGGTACTTCCTCCCCTTCCTCACCCTCATCGGCCCCCCGAGACCGAGTACACCCACGTCTTCGCTCTCAGGCATTTGGTCTCCAATCCACCCGGGCACGGCATCCAGCTCTTTGACCATACCGGTCTTGTGGACCATCCACAAGGGTACATGTTTTGCAATCGAGGCGCCAATCCGCATGATCGCGAACGAATCGAGCCGCTTTGTCCATCGCGGTGCCCAGGCCGCATAGACACCGAGCGCGAGGAGGGATAGGACGTGAATTCCGAGAAGAGTAGAGATGACGATGATGCCGACCTGCGAGATGACGGGTTTCTCCCGATCCACACCCATGTCAAGGCTGACAGAGAAACGGTCGAGATAGGAGTCTGGCTCCACAGCGCCCTGATCCATCCAGGCTTTGTGCGCAAGATAGGCGGCGGCCGTAAACGCATTGGCCAGTTGTGGGGCATCAGCTTGGAAAGTACGCAGCCATTCTGCGACTACATCGCGGATGTCGGAGCCGTTTGCCCCTCCTTTGGAGTTGGCAATGCAGTCGCCGAACCTGTTGCTACCTGGCAGGAAATGGCCGAGGGGGGCTAAGTGGTTACAGGCGCTCATTCCGTCAGGATACGGCGAATCGCTGTTGAAGTCGGGCAAGATGGTGCCTGAGTAGGCTTCTGGTTGGCGCGCACGCGTTTCGATGAATGAACCGTCGCCGAAGAGAGCCATGGCTATCACTAGAAGTGGGCCCTTGTGTTGAACTTCCTGGAGAAGATCGGTAGCGGAGGTGATCTTGGTGGTGCGCCGCGCCTTGCTGTTGGGATTTCTGGCAAAGAGTTAACCAACACTCAGCGAACACAAGGAGGATGCTTACCTGATACCGCCTTGATCTTGACATTGATCATCGCAGAGCTCGGTGGGGTCTTTATCCAACAAGGACCCGGGGATGCCGTCGTTCATGTAATTCGGCAGCTCGAAATACCCCGTCGTCGTGTCGAGGGTCACGCGAAAAAAGTCATGTCTTGGAGGAAGACCACCATAGTGGTCCAACCGGACATCGAGATAAAGCTCCTCGGAGAAACTGTGCCGGTCGCGAGTGGGCGTCCATGGCGATTGCGTGACATCGGCAGGCATGCAGGCCCTTAGACCCCAGGTCAGCAGCATGTCGCTAGTGGGAGTATACAGACTGGTGTTGCTGTACTCGACGAAGAACGCGTTGACAGTCTGGTCGCAGCCATCGGGAAAGTCGGCTTGTTCAATCTCTTCCCACCGAGCTGTCGAGTTGACCCGAGGCAGGAACTGGCGAATCAGCCCGGTGTTGAAACCGCTGGGTAATTCGGCGAGGAATGGATCAGGCATCTCGGGGATGTTGCCAAAGCTCGCTCCCTGCCCCACGCAGATATATGGGGCACAAGCACTAGCATTACCGTCTCTTGTCCAGAGATGAGCGTGTCTGTCGCTAGGGCTCGCTGTGTCAAGGGCGGCACGCGTTTCAATCGTGACAAGGTTGTTATCCTTCGAGGGTGTGTAACGCGACGACTCGCCAAACTGCGTGGGGAGATCAATCAGATACCCTGTACCCTGAATGGTAGTCGGCGTCTTGACAACTTCCGACGACAGGAAGATGGACTGTAGCGGCGAGATAACCAGACCAAGCAGGTTCACCACGATGGCGGATAGCAGAAAAGAGCTCCCGTACCGGTTCCATTGAAAGCTCGCGATCCTTCCGTATGTCGCCCAGTCCAGCCACCCTCGGTCGGCCAGGGCCATCAATTGCGGGATCGTGAGTCGTTCCTGACGCTGCATGAAGACCACTGCTGCGCTGGCGCAAACGGCCGAGGTCAGAGGCAGCGTGACGACACTGGCGATTGCTTGGATAATTCGAGCGGCATAGTACCAGCGCTCACTTCTCTCGTAGGGCATCTGTGTCTCCTCCGCGTAATACCGGTGGTAGTTGGTGTCGTCTCCGGTACGGGCCCCGTAGCGGTCGCCGCCAATGGGATGGTTGTTCAAAAGGCAAATGATTACCCAAGGTGCGAGGGTAATGGCAGCGTAGAACAGCGAGAGGAGGAGGGCATGGCGTGAGCGGGGGTGGAGATCCAAACTCGTCGGCTCCTTTGGGGGATGATAGTCTGGAGGTGCATCATCTTCGAGGATACTCGGCGGCCGATCGTGTTCAGTGTCTGATAAGGCATACGCGTCGGGCGATATCCGGGGCAGAGAGCTGAGGGGGATGGAGTCGGACATGTTGAGCCCGCTGGTCGAGAACAAAAACAAATCCACAATGTGGGCGTGAGGCTCATATAAGCTCCCATCCTGGCAGGGCTGAGCATCACACCATGATGCCTGCCTCGGCCTTTTATTGGGCATCTCGCCCTCTCTGGGCTTTCAGCTGAGGTGGCAGCGGCTAAACCCACTGAAAGGCAAAGCGCAGGACTGGGCGCCAAACATCAAATCTCAGAGAGTCGGATTCAATTGGCCTTGTTTCGCCCAGAATTTAGGGTTATCTTCGTGATTGGGGGCCAAGGCTTCCAAGACCCTTGGGAGGGGGACTGGGCTCGGTCTGGGCAGGGGTCACCTCGGAGTTGTCTCCGTCTGCCCTACAGCCTACAAGTAGTACCACTCGAATCCGAGGCTGCATGGGAAACAATTCCAACAGAAAGCGATGATACTATCCACGGTCTCTGTTTGTGTAGGAGCTGTATACCTTCAATTGGATACTGATAGTCAGGCCCGACATTAAGAGGGTAGACAGATTGGAAATGGACACTATGGGAGGGACCCATGACCTCAAAGCAAATGAGGAGTTATACCACTACAAGCCCCCCAGATTACGAAATAAATAGTCGCGTTAGTCACATCAACCAGCAACATCAATGGATTATTCCGATTGCTCAAACACATATCTTGCAATCGAGCGCAGCCGGAAGTCTCAACGGTGTGTCTCTATGGGCCCTTGAGGTTTGTTCGGGTTTGGGTTGTGTAGAGCCTCAAGATGGGGCCTCGATTTACCAAACCTTGGCATCTGAATCGCATTGAACAAGATAGATTTGAGGAATATAGCAAGACTGAACTGCAGTAGATGATGGAATAGGGCAACATAGTTTCATCAACTAATCCGGATCAACATTCAACCGCTTCTCTTTGCCCGTCTGAAACAGGGCCAGGATCCCCTCCTTCCCACACGCAGCCGCAACGTCCTATCGGCACCAAGGTTAGCATAACAACACAAGTCTCAGTCTGACATGATAGAAATGTTATACGAACCACAGCCGTTTGTTGTCTATTGTCCTCCTTGAACGGATCAAGCCCCTTGGCCATGAAGTACTTGAAGGCACCCTCCTTCGTGCTCTCCTTGATGTTCACATACCGCAGATCAAAGTCGTAAAATTCGTCACTCTCTGGGAGAGTAGCACCTGCAATAACGTGCAATATAGTCTCACCGGCATTATTCTGCGTAAAGATATCTGCGCCTATGTCGGTGAACTTGTCAATCACTGATAACCGTTTGAAGACGCCATGGTCGCTTTTCGCGCAGGATATATACTTGAGCAAGGGTGTTTCGCCATCGTTATTCCGGGCGTTTATGTCCAGACCCAGTGAGATGAAAGACGCCATTTGTGGTAAAAATCCGGAACGCTCGTTCTTATACATGTAGGTGGCGAGATGGTGTAGGATCGTGTTGCCATTCGGATCCGGTTCGAGAGGATTGGAGCCACGCTCAATGAGGAGGTCAACAAGGGAAAATACATGGTTGGCTGCAGCAGTATGGAAAGGGGTGTATCCCTTGGTGTTTCGTCGTCTGATCAGGTCCGGCTTTCGATCAAGCACGAATGATATCGGCTCGCTCCAGGCTTCAATATTTGTGTCGCCGTACTGGTTCCCTTCTTGAGATGCTCTGAGCAGTAAATGGATAGCACTATCCCCGTTATTGTCCGTTGCTGTCATGTCCGCACCCATCTCACACAGTTGACGAATGGCTTCTGGCGGACCGGTTTTTGTCCCTCGACTATCGAAACTATCCAGCTTTCTTTTTGAACATGCCGCAAGGAAAAGCGTCCTGCCATTGCCATCTCGCTGGTCTAAATCGAGATTCGGATGTTGAAGAAGGGGCTCGAAGAACCCTCGCTGGTATATGGCGTCGTGTATAATAATGTCCTTCGTGTTCCCGGGGCTAGTGTAAAGGAAGGGGCTGGCGCCGTGGGCCAAGAGAAGCTTCACAATCTCATGCGCCTTGTCCTTCCTCTCGACAACTTCAAACCGCGCGTGGCAGGCATAATGGAGTGGTCGACACAGAAGCAGGTCCTTTTCTTTCTTCTTCTCCTCATCTCCAAACCAAAACCCTCGAAATCGTCTTTCTCCGTAAACCTGCTCACTGACGGACAGTTCTTCTGGCTGGGCCTGCTCTGCCAATGGCTGAGGATCGGTAAATGGTTTGTTGCAGTCGATGCCCGCATCCAAGATGACCCGAACCGTATCGACATCCTGCTTGGTGATTGCAGAAAACAGTATAGGATTCGATCCTTGGTGTATATTCGCTCCATGTCTCAGCAGTAGACGCACAAGCTCGGCGTTGCCCGCTGCCAGGCCTAGTGGAGTGTTCCCTTCCTCGTCCACGAGATTAGGGTTAGCGCCGCCTTCTAACAGAATTTTGACCATCTGGTCCCGACGGTAGCCGCCTTTGAGGGCGATGTGTAGTGGTGACTCGCCCTTTCCATTACAAAGATCTGGATTGGCCCCGTGCTGCAGGAGATAGCGGACCCCTTCGGTCTGCCACCAGTAATCACCCTCTGCAAGAACGCCAATTGCAGTAGCAGACGGTAGGACTCGATTTCCCCCTTTGTAGTATTCCTCTCTGAAGCTCTGGATATTGATATCCGCATGAAAGGTCTCAACAACGACTTTCAGGAAATCCATACTGGGTGTTTTTCGTCGCACTGCATGGAGAAGAAACGGCTCCAAGGTCCTGGACTCCCGCGGTTCACCTGGCACACCATCAATCCACTTATTTTCGCCCCTCATTTTACCCAGGGTCTCAAAAAGCTCGCAAAGTCCCCAGTTCACGACGTCGTAAAGAAAGTCTTCGGGTGGTCGGCAATAGGGAGAGTCCTGTCCAGGCCTTATCAGGCTCAGGTCACGACTGGCCATCTCTTCAATTGCTTTATGTGCGCCGACATTCATGAGCCGGCGACATGTGGAAACAGCATCATAATGATTCAGAGCAGAGAGGCTGTCGACAACTGAGGCTTCGCTGGTATGACGAGCGGCCAAGACCAAGGCTTCGGGGCTTGTGCGGCCAATGCGACGAGGACGTCCTTGTGGAGCAGATTGCAGCATTTCTCGCTCGGTGTCCTCCAACAGGGCCGCGACCATCGCCTCGTTCCTATACTCTACAGCCATCTCCAAAGGGTTTCTTCCCAGGTTATCATGGACAACAATGCTCGCCCCGTGGGCCCTCAACGCAGTGATCACACCATCCACGCCAAATGTTTCTCTTGGCTGGTGTACAGCAGCATCAGGAGATTCGCGTCGATTGCGTGCAGGTATAGAGGGATCAGCCTTGAAGTAAGCACAGGCATGCAGCGGAGTTTCCCCGTTGCTGTCTGGTATCTGTACGTCCGCGCCCGCTTCCAATAGGAGCGAGACGGTTTCCAGATGACCTGACAGACATGCATAGAATAGCGGAGTCTTTCCCTGGTTATCCTGTTGGTCCAGCAGAATCTCCCTTTGCGAAATTGTTAGAGTTTCTAGGAGAAGTCCCAAGGTATTGCTCTGCTTCGATATGGCAGCAATGTGGAGGACATTCTGTTGGGCATGCGTGAGAGCCGTGAGCGTCGCGCCCTTGCCGATGAGCCAGGCAACCAAATACTCCGAGGTTGCAACTGCGTCGTGGATCGGTCTACGGCCCTCATTGTCTGGTATTTCCACAAGGGCCTCAATTGTCTTAGATGGGAATCGCTCAATGAGGTTCTCTTCATGGAGGCTTTTGCTTCCGCCAAACCTTGGCGGCTGGCGACAGCGCAGATGCAGGATAGTTTGCCCTGCATGATTCTGTGCTGTGGGGATGAGTTCCTTGTGCTGTAGCAGCCGTTCCAGGATTCCATCATTCGAGCTCTGGGGGTATAACTTCGAGGAACGATCCATAAACCTGTGGAACAGCGTGTCTCCCCCGTAGTTTGTCTCGAGTGGATCTGCTCCAGCGCTCAAGAGGGGTTCCCATAACTTTCCACCTTCTCTGGATCGAATAGCATGGCTCAAGACACCGTTACCCTCAAAGTCAACAGCATGGACATTGGCTCCGTGGGCCAACAGATGCTTCACTCTCTCCTCATCGCCATAGCCATCACGGACGCTGATCAGCAGAATGGTCCGTCCTTTAGCATCGCGCGATTCAACATCAGCCCCGGCTGCCACAAAAGCCTTTATGTCGTATTTACTTCGGCACAGATGAAGAGGGGTCTGTCCCTCGTGGTTACGACGGCTGAGATCCGCTCCCAGATCTACCAGTTTTCTGACATTGGACTCGGATCGCTCTTGAAGGAGATGCAATGGAGTATTGCCGTTGGCATCGGGGATATTCCAGTCCGTAATATATGGAGCCAGTAGATCAACATCGAGGCTGTAGTGATCTTCAAGACAGGTGTGCAGAGGGGTTTTACCATCCGATTTACGCGCAACTGTCCATTGAGCCCCGTGGCGCATTAAGGCGTCGAGTGTGCGCTGCGAGCTCTTCTTGGGGCGAAAATGATGCAACGGCGTATCGCCACCAGGAGTGTCAGCCTCTACACTCCCTCCGTGCTGCAGGAGCTTCTCCACACCGGGTAGCCCTTTCGTCACGAAGGCCTTGAGCTCACTGCTATCAACAGTACAACCCGCGTCCAGAAGCAGATCGAGACACCTCTCGAGGAGAGCGTCGGATGCGGCGTCATGGGTGTGGAAGCGATCGCGCGACTTGGTCAAAGCCAGGAGAGCAGACTCGGCCGGCTTCCACCGGTGTGAAATGTAAATAATGTTGGAGCGCTTGGGTTTCCACTTGGGATCGCACCCCATCTTTAGTAGAAGCTGAATGATCGGAAAGTTGACCTTCTCGATGGCTCGGAACAGAGCAGTGCGTCCACGATCAGAATCAAACGACAGCCCTGGGAAGGTCACCACGAGCTCGACCAGTTGATCCCTCGAGCTAGCGATGGAGTGCTCGATGGCGTGCCAGGCATCCTTTTCTGTGAAATGAGGCATCATGGCACGGACGGATTCGATTGCTCCAGCCGAGCAGGCATACTGCAATGGGGTATGGCCCACACTCGTCGGAGCGTTTCCGCATGGTCTGGGTGTCGGATCCCTGGTCTTGGGCGTTGTTGGGCTTACATTGACATCCATGAGAGCTTGAACAACGGCATGGTGGTTAGCCCGAGCCGCATAGTGTAGCGGCTTCATGCCATAAAAGTCCGGCTCATCCGGAGCCGCGCCGTGGCGAAGGAGAAGTTTGACTACTTCTGCATGTCCATTTTGGGCGGCCATGGCAAGAGGCGTTGTCTCAAGCTTGGTGGAAACATTGGGGTCTATGCCAGTGGCCAACAGCGTTTCGACATAATTGGCCATTCCTGCCCATGCAGCGGCGTGGATGGGTGTTACTGTAGGCACTTCAAAGTCCTTGAGCTTCATCACCGTACTTATCCAAGCAGAGAATGTGGTACTCTCAGGGCGCATCAAATCAGCCAGAAGAGCCAGGAAATCTTCATCGAGTTCCGGTATGCGACGCGTGTGATCGAACCAGGTCTTCGCAGCATAATCAGTGAACGGGTGCTTCATTTGCGCGCGTTTAAGGTCTTTAGGAAGCTCGGAATCTTTTTTATTGCACTCCGAAAGCCCTGCTGCGGACAGATATTTTAAGCATATCTCGGCAATCAGTCGATGGGTCTCCAAAGAATCAATCACGGGGAATGCCTGCAGTCCGGCGTCTATTCTGGCTGGATCCGTCAGAAACTCTGTGAGCGAATGATGAATGATCGCAACGGTCTCGTCCTCTAGGATCTCCAAGAGGGGCCCACAGGACATGCGAGCCATTGCTTTCGTGTCGGGGTAGGTATCCTCCGACCCGCTGCCCATAGAGAGAAAGTCAAGAACAGTGGCTATCTCAAGGAGGCGCAGGGGCCGAGTCGCATGGGTGACGAGCTTCAAGATTAGGACTTGGCGGTCTTCAGGGACTGAGGCTTTTCGAGAATGTTCGGCTAGCATGTGGGTATAGAGGTCTTCGAGAGAGGCCGGGATGGAGACGAGTGACTGCCGAACAGAGTCATCTGACCAGTCCTCTGCAGAATGCTTTTCGAGAAGCTCGTTGAGCAGCAACCGTGCGTACAAGAAAGAAGGGTGTACGCGGTTGCCGACAGCCTGTTTGATGTCCGCCAACACACGTTCGCTGAGGTTGGGCTGAGCCTGGCGCAAGCGATAGTCGACAAAGATGGCAATGTCCTTATTCACCTGATTGTTCTCCAGTCGGATCTCGAGAACAGTGGGGTCGTTCAGGGCCTTTTGAATATGGGGTAGCGGACGGCTGGACATCACCAGGTTGACTCGGTCCGGTGCAAGCTGGCCCAGAGCGACTAGACGAGGTAAAAAGTCCGAGGTGTGGTTTGTGTCTAGCTCGTCAAGAGCATCCACAACACAGTAGACCTGTTTGAGCGAGCCAAGTGTGTCGAGGAGAATGTGCCACAACTCGTTAAAGGCCACCTCGTGGACGCGACTGGTACGCGTTCGGAGATCTTTGAGTGTTTCCTGCAGCGATGGGGAATAAGGGAGTAACTGAGCAAGCCAGTCACGAACCAGAGAATCAGGCCCATGGTTTGCCACGACAATTTGGCGAAAGAAGAAGAACAGGACGGGGATGCCCTGCGCCTTGCCCTGTTGCTGGAGGAGCGACACAAGACGGGCAACAAGAACGCTCTTTCCCGCTCCGGCAATGGCCTTGATCCAGAGAGCGCCCTGGGATGAGGAGGTCTGCCATTGACGAAATTCGGTCGTCTGCTCGATCCATTCGCCTGTTCCTGGGACCAGCCAGTTCAGGTGCTGCTGGAGCTCACTGGATTCACCAATGTAGGCTGTTGGCTCAAGCCATTTTGTGGTTGCAGCCAGTTCAGGGGGGATTTCGATAGACGAGGGGGCCTCGTTGGTGTCAACCACCACAAAGTCGTCTTCCTCCATGATGGAAATCGATCGAGTTGGAGAAAGAAGGAAAGAGCTTGGAAGGTCAGAGTCTGGGGATGCGGCTTTTACGGCAGCGCGGCACAGCCCACCCAAAGCACTCTAGCCCACTCTTGGCACGAGCCTCTGAAATACCCCTCATTGCTGTACCGGTCATGGCGGTGGGGAAATTTGGTGACCCAAATGAGCTTCAATCAGCCTTGCCTTGTTGGGCGAGAATTTTCTCTCTTCGATTACGAAGTAAGGGTACCAAACGGCAATGTTTGCGCCTTGTTGCAGCCTTCATACCGAAACTATACAAGGTACCCAGGTTTCGTCCCCAAAAAAAGTTGCAGGACGATTTATGGAAACAGAAACTTGATTTAATCTACAAGATGAGCTATGCATGACATGTCAAGCTAAGCTGTCCCTCCTGTTGCATTCCAGTGTCATCCGGGACAGTAGCCTGAGTAGGACTCCATGATAGTCACTATTCTATAGTCTTGGGGGAAATTGTCCCCTAGGCGGGGAACACTTGTTTCTTTAGTCTTGGGTCATAGATGTGAAGTGGTGGATATGATGCAAGCTACGTCTCTGTCTCCTCTCGAGATAACATCATTCCATCCAGAGCGAGCCTCCTCTCCGGACATCAAGACAGCCAGAGCTTGGAGCCGGACACGAAACCCGGCCGATCCCGCCCCACATTCCGTCTCAAGGGCACCAATTAAATGGCCAAACTCTAATGCTGACAGCCAAGCGGCTAACCCGATTTTGCTGCTTCGTTTCTATAAAGCCCCCCTGGAGGACGTGTCAACAGGAATGTTGCCAGTATCCCCTTGTTCCATTTCATTTTCACTTGGAACGGACACCATGGGCGGTTCTCTATCTCGCACACCTCCCTTAACCGAGGCCAATCTCCCCGACCAGAGTGGAAAGGTCTTCATAGTGACCGGGGCATCCTCGGGGTATGGCCTTATCCTCGCCACAATCCTCTACCAGCGGAACGGCAAGGTATACCTCGCAGCTCGCGACACTACCAAGCTCCAGCAGATAGCCGACGACCTCAAGCAGCGCTTTCCAGCCTCCACAGGGCAAGTCCACTTCTTCCACCTCGATCTCTCGGATCTATCAACAATCAAAAAGTCCGCGGAAGAATTCCTCGCCAAAGAGGATAAACTGCATGTGCTATGGCACAATGCTGGCGTCATGATTCCGCCTCAGGGCTCGAAGACGAAGCAGGGGTTCGAGTTACAGCTGGGGACAAATAATCTTGGGCCCTTTCTGCTAAACAAGTTTCTCTATCCGACTCTGGCCAAGACGGCAGCTGTCTCTCCGCCTAATTCTGTTCGTGTTGTCTGGGTGTCGGCACCCATCGTCTGGAGGGCCCCGAAGCCGGCTATTGACTTTGGTAACCTTGACTATAAGAACGACGAGGGCGCCTGGACGAAGTACGCGCGCAGCAAGGCAGGGAACGTGCTACACTCTGTAGCCCTCGCACGACGGGCCAAGGATGATGGCGTTGTGAGTGTGGTAGGTGCAAGCAACTAGGAGTAATGACGGTTGATTCTAACAAACTTAGTCAATCGACCCCGGAGTCGCCATAACCAGTTTGCAGCGGTCGATGCCCAAGCTGGTGCTCCTCCTCGTCGTAAGTTCCCTGGCCCTCATTTGAGCTATCTGATAAGACCTGACCAAGTCCTCCAGCGCCTCTTTTTGGCACAGAACCCCGAGATTGGCGCCTATACCGAGCTGTATGCTGGTCTCCAAGCGGACCTCGATGTCCAGAAACCTGCGCAGTGGAGTAAGTTGCAATAGCCATGTAGAAAAGTTCAAAGAGCTGACATCCTATAGTCGTCCCTCCAGGTAAGCTTGTAGACTGCCGCCGCGACCTCTTCGAGCAAGAAATCAGTGAGAAGTTCTGGGAATGGAGTGAAGAGCAGGTGAAGCCTTATCTATAGTCACGTGTATTTAATTTCGAGGGCCAAGAAGGAGCGACTCGTAGCGTGGAGTCAGCCCCGGTAGCCCCGCCTAATTCCGTGCTTAATGATTCTCCCTTTTCTTTCATCTCCAACTCCATCTAAAGTTCCGAATATGGCGACAAAAGTTATCCAGCCATGGCAGCTGGAACGCAGACGTGAGCAGAATGCAAGGGCACAGCAACGAAGTCGTGAGCGCTCCTGCCACTGAGCGAGTGCGGATGTGCCTCTTCTAACCCCTGCCAAGGTGCGCGCCGAAAAGCGTTGGAACAAGCCCTGAAGGATGAGAGCCCAAATATTCAGCTAGTACCCGCGACAAGGGGATCTAGCCACGTTGGCTGCAAGGGGAAAACTGCGTGCCCGCGACCACAGCTGAAATTCGGTGACTTTCTGCACTACTTCGCTCGTCCTTCCGACCTGGACAATGTCGTCAAGATCATAGACGCCGAGGGGTTGAACATTGGCGCGGTCATCAAATACGGGCTGATATCGATGGGATACTGCCTAGACGATGCATTGTTTAATGCCAGACGGGAGGTCTGCTTCGCATGCTGGGCGTCGACGATCGAGCCTCAGATGAGTGGTCGATTCAGAATCGGCACCGCTCTACTTGCGGGCGTCCAAGTCCTCTCGCGGCTCAGAGGTCCCGCCGCGTGGTATTTTGAGATTGACGGTGGTCATGTCTCGCGAGTACCGCAGCCGCATGCGCACATGTCTGCTTTTGTAGAGATAGCTAAGCATATCGGGGTCCTCGTCGAGGAGATGGCAGTCGATGGGGCAATGTCTCCGTTTACGCCCACTCGGCCCTCTGTGCCGTGGTATGCTTATATACCAGAAACCGTCCAATCTCGAAGCCTTGGCTAAACGACTGCAGGACATCCCCGGACGAACTCGCAGCCCTGAAACCAGACATCCAACCAGTCCCCGAACAATTTACCATCCCCCACCACCCATACCTAGATCTAATTCCCTTTCCCACATTCCGAACTCGGGCACTGTTAGCACTCGCGCGCGGCGATCGGACATTCAGTGAAACAGACCTCTGTTTTGACCTTATGCATGGCGGTCTGCGGTGTAACGGATCGTCAGAGGTCTCGCTACACGGGCGCGGAGATGGCGCCCCGTGGGATGCCCGTAGTTGGGAAGTTACGCCGTGGTTCTATCGGAAGTGGGGAGGGTTAGTTGGGGATGAGAGTGATTTGATTTATCGGAGTAGTGCTTGGTGGTGGGCAAGGCGATGATCTTCATTGTTCATGGCGGAGTTATGGAGTTCATTGTTGTATAGCTAATCTGACCAGAAGTCTAGGAATTGATTAATCAAGAATAGTGTATCTTTCTGCTCATCCTTAGCTTGAACTATGTCGGAGTCAAGTAATTCACGAGCACGCTGTAGAGCCAATTCTCGATTCTATCATCTTCGACAGCCAAACATGGTGGTCGAGCCGCAGAATAATGACATTCCGAGCATTCAGGACAAGATGGGATAGGAGAACAATCATCCAGGATGAAGAACTAGTTCTGTTTTTCTCCTTTGAATTGTTGTTAATGTAGGTCTGTTAAAGCGTGCTTTGGTACCCTAGTCTACCCAAAGCTAGTATATATATATTTGCTGGGATGACGACGAATCCCCCTCCACAAGCAGATGTTGCCACAACCGAATTGTCTCCTTGATATAAAGACCGCATGCCTATATTTCCAAGTTATAGCCGTGCATTGCTAGAAGTCGCCGATGTCATCGCTCGCGCCTTGGGCCTACTCCTGACCCTCCTGCTTCCAAGTTCCGACCCTCGAACAACAAAAGAAGCACCCGTCAGACAGGCAGTCTAGTTTGGAAAAATAAGCTTTGGGTGTTCCTTCGACATCGACACTTGCAGGTATGCTGTTGAGCATGTTTGCGCGACGATCAGCGACGTTCTAGGTCTAAAGCTGACAAACAAGGTGGGCGACGTCGACACTCGATTCAGGTTCTGACATTCTTACAAACTAGATGTATCGGGGTCCCCTATCTCAATCTTATTGGCTGCAGCGAGTGAGCGTTTGGAAAGAAAAACATCACCGGCGCAATGACTGTAATGGTGGTGGGTATGGTATTAAGAGGATGTTGTATAGATATTTGTTGAGTTCGAGACCCCGTCAGATTGTGACTGACAATCCTTGGCCGACCCGACTCACGCTGCGATCACCGTCAGTGGCCATTCAATCCATTCTCTCCGCTCCTCACCCAGAATCACATCGGCCATCGCCACAAAATGCTCAGACAGTCGATGTGTCCACCATTTACCGGCGCACGCCCTGTCAAGTACGATCGCAAAGTGTGCCAGCACAACCATCGCGTATTGATTCCCCTCTTCCAGTAAGTTAAGGAAGTCGGGCGACAGTCGAATGTACCATGTAAATACACTGGGCGCGTCGTACAAGTGGCCGGCACATAATTGTTGGTGAATGTTCGCCAGGTCATTGCTTCGAGTACTAAGCGGGTCTGCCTCGGTATCCTCTGGTGGGAGGACGGTCAATTGGGTCACCATGGCAAAGGTATCTCGGAGACACGCTAGAGAACTAGATAGGGCAGATGATTGTGCCAATGTGATTGTAGGGTCGTTTTCCCACAGCCGGGGCAATTTCGCGAGGTGCACGTCCTCCACACGGATCCATTCCACCGAGGTGTCGCTCAGTGTTGGAGGGAGGTATCGTCGAATCGCAGCCGCCATCGGGCCAGCTGATATCCAGTGCTGGCAACGCCAAAAGATTCCAAAGATATTCTGGATACTCTGCGCGACCCGTGCAGCTGTAGTTCCCAGAGCTCGGACCGTCTTCTCGTCAATGCGTGGCTGACCCTGAGCACTTTGAAGGAGAGCGCCGGATTCTTCGCTGGAATTCGCAAAGGTAAAGAGTACCACAAACATGGCGAAGCTGAAGAGCGGCGTGGAGTTTTCCGCGGTAATATTCTTGATCGTCTCGGAGTAGCCCGGAAGCGCTTGGTTAAGGTGGTATGCACTCTCTGCGAGAAGTTTCTTCGACGCCCCTTGGGGCGAGATAGTGGCGAGGTGGATGTAGGCGATGCTCATAAGGCCGTGACCAACGAAAGGAAAGGATACTGCTAGACCCGGGATGAATTCTCGGTATAGTGGCTCTATGGAGACCGGCTGGGCGAGGCTTGTAGACGTATAGATCTGAAAGTGGCAGTACAGCTCCAGGTCGCGCGAATTGCTGCGACAAAAGGGCATGTCTACCCCAGGACCAGATACCCTTGCGAGGACCCCAAGTGGACTTGAAGCATTGCCGACCGTGGTAATTCTCGACAATTGCTGATTATTCAAGGTAGGCTCGAGGCTCCTGAATGAGCATTCGACCGACCGCTGGGTGCAGTTGCCGCAGACTGGCTTCTTCTCATCACACTGCAATAATTAAGCCTCTTTTTCAAGCAATGATGGAAGATCGAGTACCTTGATTCTCCGCCTTTTACACGGGGCACACCCGTACCGCGACTTATGGTGAAATCGGCGCCCCTTTGTGGCGGGTGGAGGCGTGTTGGTCATGGCGGAGACTGTAGGATCTCTTCATTATCACAGGGCTGGAGACGCGATCATTTCCAACGGCTACGTCGATCAGGGTTCAATGGCAGCAATTGAGTCAAGAACCCTGACTCTGAACTCTCCAGAGGTTCTTATAAGGTCAGAATTAAGGCTGTCAATCGCAATCAAACAGAGTTCGAAAGCGGCGGCCTGAACACCGTGGCAATTTCTCGAGCTAGGGACATGCGTAGCTAATTTTTGGCAGTCAGTCAGCCCTGTTTGTAGGCAATCAACCGAGGATCTTGCTGAGTTTGGCATCCTGGGCGAGATTCCAAGGATGAATCTCACTGTGGCTGTTTCACATGACGCCCCGAGACCGGACGCAGCCAATGGCCGGTTGCATCAAGGATAAATGCGAAACCTCAGGCGCCAGGGCAACGAACGGGGATTATGTTAGGGGCGCAAAAGGACGAATGATGAATAATCACATTCCAGGTTTCCAACTTCCGCGGCGAATGAGCCAAAAGCGTGGCTGCGGTTGAAATGCCGAGGAGGCCGCAATCAAAGTTAATCGGAGACTCGGAGACAGATTCTTCCGGTTCTGGAACATGGTTGTTCCGCACCGGTCTGACCTCCCCAAAGCAGTTAGCGTTGTGGCCTGTGGCCAAGAGCGCCAATGCCGACAAGCCTCGCCGAGTCGCCGCCTCGCCCAAGATTCTGCGAAGCCTCAGGTTCACCTCTGGTCATCGAGTTTCATCAGGAAAAAGGAATCCCCTTTGCTTTCTGTCGATGTGCATTCAGCCAAGGATCACAGAGTACTTGAACTCTCGCTTAGCTGTGGCTTCGGCCATCTTCCGGGCCCAGGGCTAAGCGCTTTTCCCAGTTCTGTGCAAAGACTGGAGCTTTCGGCCCGCACGGCCAACCGGCGGTTCCATCGCGGCCTTTGTGACTGGCCAACTTCGGCCCGATTTGTGGGATTCGCCCTGTGTTTCGACGGCCGCTGCTTACCGGCAAAGTCTTCCCCATGGTAGAGCACTTAACCTGCCCCTGCGGCAGAGCTTTTCGGGCCCCGAGCCCTCCATGACGCGGATAAGAGAGCGATGGCTGGGGAGAACACTCCCCCGGACGAGATCCCCTCGTCTGGATTGAGTAATGACTCTGCGGTGAGCTGCTTACGGTTGACGTGTGAGCTGCTCAGCGTATCGCAGGCTGGCGATTCCTCAGGATGCCCCGGATGTCCTGCTGGCGAACCCCAAGGAATTGTGGAGAGGGCTGGAGTAGCAAAACCCCGAAGTTTCTGCGGATGCATGCTTTTTAGAAGCTCCTCCCACTCTTGAAAAATCTCTTTCCACGACTTTACACCTTTCTCTCTCGCACCGTGTCTGTATACTCGCAGTCATGGGTCTCCTCACACTCGTCGAAGACCGGCCCACGCCAAAGGCCGTTTACAACTGGCGAATCTACGTCCTGGCCCTTATCGCATCATGTGGTTCCAACATGATCGGATATACCTCTGCCTTTATCGGTACGACCATTACTTTGTCCTCGTTTGAAAGCGAATTCGGCCTTGATGAAATGTCAACGGATCATGTCGATCTCATCAGCGAGAACATCGTGTCGCTTTTCATCGCCGGCGCCTTCTTCGGAGCAATTTTCACATATGCACTTGGTCATTTCTGGGGGCGCAAATGGAGCTTGGTCATTGCCTCTGCTGTCTTTACCCTTGGAGCTGGCCTCCAGTGCGGGTCAAAGGGCTCAAGTGGCCTTGGTATCATGTATGCAGGTCGTGTTCTGTCTGGTCTAGGGACCGGTGTGGCATCGAACATCATCCCCATCTACATTTCCGAACTCGCGCCTCCTGCCATTCGAGGACGCTTGGTCGGTCTTTATGAATTGGGCTGGCAAGTTGGTGGACTCGTCGGGTTCTGGATCAACGTGAGTTTCCTTTCATCAGCTTGCCGACGATAGCTAACAGTATCTCTGTAGTACGGAGTCGAAATGCACATGGCACCTACGCACCAACAATGGATCATTCCCTTTGCTGTCCAGATCATCCCTGCCGGACTCCTTTTCGTGGGAGCCCTGTGGATCAAAGAGTCGCCTCGCTGGCTCTTCCTGAAGGGCCGACGGACCAAGGCCATGCAGAACCTCACATGGATCCGTCAGCTCGATGAGACGGACATCTACATTACCGAAGAGGTCGCCGCTATCGACCAGGCATTGGAAGAACAAATCGCTACTGTCGGCATTGGTTTCTGGAAGCCGTTCAAGGCTGTTTCCGCACGCCCAGCGATCATGTACCGATTGTTCCTCGGCTGCATGCTCTTCTTCTGGCAAAACGGATCTGGCATTAACGCCATCAACTACTATAGTCCGACCATCTTCACCAGCATTGGTGTGTCTGATTCGGACGTCGGCTGGATGACTGGTATTTTCGGCGTCATCAAGGCTGTCATGACCTTCGTGTGGCTCCTGTTCCTCGTTGATCAGCTCGGTCGACGAAACTTGCTGCTAGGCGGTGCAGTCACCGGTTCTATTTGCATGTGGGTGATTGGAGCTTACATCTGCGTTGTTCGCCCGGAGGATAATCCGACCGACAAGTTGAACGGGGGTGGCATTGCTGCAATCTTCTTTTTCTACCTGTGGACTGTGAGTATACGTCCCTTCTTCCTGTGGAAGTTTGCACTAACATGAGCAGGCTGTCTATACTCCTACCTGGAACGGAACTCCTTGGGTCATCAACTCGGTACGTGCCTAAAACTGTCCCCTGCACATCATCTATTCGCTAATCCGTGTACAGGAATTCTTTGACCCCAACATCCGCTCCCTCGCCCAAGCCGCCACAACAGCCAGCAACTGGCTCTTCAACTTCCTCGTCTCGCGCTTCACAAAGCAAATGTTCGCGACCATGCACTACGGCGTTTACTTCTTCTTCGCCGCCCTCTCCTTCCTCGCCTTCTTCTTCGCGTTCTTCCTCATCCCCGAGACTAGCGGTATCCCTCTCGAAGCAGTTGACAGACTCTTTGAGATCAAGCCCATTTGGAAGGCACATTCTAAGTTGAAGGCACAGCTCAAGGAGGATGAAGAGCAGTTCCGCTTTGAGATTAAGGAGGGGGTCTTTGGGAAGGATAACGAGACACCTGGGCAGGTGCATGTGGAGAATCCCTCGCCCGATTTGCCGGCACAGGAGCGGGATGCCGCTGAGGTTTAGATTTTTATGATGAAGAGATTAGATATAGACTAGACTTGATAGATATGGGAACTTGGACGTGAATGGACATTAATGATAGCACAACCTTTCCGACTTGTAGTTGAACATATCATGGATAGATCTGGCTCGCGTCCAGAGTCTGATACGCAGGAGATGACTCCATTAGAGCGCCAACAAACCGTCTCTGGCCGGACTTTCATCACATCTGGCGAGAACCTGATGCACTAGAGAGAGCTCACGGACAATGTCTCTGTGATAAGATCGCCCATTCGCAACTTTCTCCCCCTGTTTTCCCGGGTGAGGTCTTCTGCAAGACATTCAAATCGCGTAAGCTGGCCCCCCGCGCCGCTGACGGCATAAAATTAAGAAACCCTAACCGAATCAGTCATGGATCGGGCGCAGAGGCCTGGGTGTCCGGCAACCCCGGAGGTCCCGGCTCAGCGTTTAGACGGACAGACATTGTTCATCTATGTTGCGCTTGCCACGCCCATTTGTGCAAGCAGTCCAGTATGCGTGATCGATTTATGAACGTGATGTTGATGATCTCGGCCATCTCGAGACGCCTCAATACTACGCACTATGATACACCCACAATACTCCCCAGAATTGCGGCTTATCGACCGACGCAGCTGCCGACGCATCAACTCGCGAAAAGTATTTGACCCGGTGTCGCAGTTTTGGTACTCCATGAAAAGTCTACAAGGTCACTCGGCCAATGTGCGTATCTTATATTGCTGCTGTTCGCGGTTAAAGTGGTTCAGCCCTGTCGGTCGTCAGTGTCCATCGTTCAGGACTGCATTGGCCTCGTCAACGTCGATAACTCGTATATCGCCCTCGCCAGCCCTCGCTTTGTCTAGGTAGGATAACTTAGCGCTCGATGTTGTTGCCAGTCGCTGCGGTAATTTGGTGAGATGCTAGGTTATGGATCGATTCGTAGTCTCACATACAATTCGCCCAGCAACGCAGGTGTGGCAGCGGGTTTCAGTCACTCCTTCCCATTCCGTCGAAAAGGCACCTTCCTTGCAAAGCATGTTAGCTTGCAGGACAGGTGTGATAGACACAGCGCAGATCGTTCCTTCCTTCCTTAGAACAAGTCTTCCGGCAAGGCAGGCGGCGTGGTAGCTCTGGCAACAGGTCGCGCCTTCCTTACGTTATTCCGAGAGTCTGGCCATAAGATCCCGCACTTACATGGCGGCTTTGTGCCAGGTAGGACGAAATGCGTTCGTCAGTCTTTAGTCTTTAGACGTAATAACATCGTTGAAGACAACTTAACCTCTCGGGGGAGCTGTTAAGATCCGATCCAGATACTCCAGGCCCATCCATGTGAGCGGCTGATGATCATGTCCACGCTGCAGGGAAGCTTTGTCAATTTTACATTCGCATTAGATTATAAACTGATAGGGGACAAGAAAGCAAAGGGGCGCAGAATTCCTCCGTCGTCGAGCCCTATAAAGTTAATCTACCGCGGATTTTCTTCCAGCTGTATATCCGGAATCGATATGACTGGCGAGTTGCAGCTCAATCTACCCTACCGGGACAGATTTAGAGAACCATATGGACGGGAAAAAGGTGAACGATGCCTGTTCCCGTGGATATGGGGTTCTCTAACGCTGGCACTGAGCGTCAAGGCCGGGGTGCAGGGTTCCGGAGAGGAGGTTACTCCGCAAGAGCTCTTCCTTGTCGCTTTCCCCTCCGATATATACAGAGACTGGCCCTAGTGACCCAGAAATAGATGTATATACATCCTTCTGGCCCGGAGGAGGAATGCAGACCATATAGCTGAGGCTGGGCTATTGGTGGAAGATCTGAGTCACCGACCCCAACCGGCCCGATCGACCATCTTCGTCCCGGTTCTTCTTTATACTGTGCAGACTCCCATCTTAAGCATATTAGCCTAATTGTCGGGGTAAAAAGACAAAGGCAAATATCCGGGAACTGCCTAAACGGCCGAACTTCTTCAAAGTCAGGAACCCTTGCACAGATCTGGAGAAATGCGGGGTGCATAATCCCGCCAATTGTAGCCAACAGAGTATATGGACGGGGCGATGGCACCTATATAAACGTTTGTCACATGGAAAGTGAAGGTGCCAAGATATGTTTTAACCAGGAGATGGCTGAATTGCAGACTAGGAGTACTTGATGATCTGGTGTATCGAAATAATTAAACGTAGCGGTTAAGTGGACTGTCATTCCATGAATGGTGGAGAATTCGGGTCCAAGGGATTAATAGGAAAGCGAGCTTTAGGCAGAAGAAGCTATACCTTTCTGTGAGATCTGTGGTATTCACAGAGTATGCTGTGCGAAAGAAGGCTACGGAATGATTGTGTAGGCCAACGCGACAGAGATATAAGAAACCAAACACGCCTCTCTTCAACGCTCTTTATCGGGTTGGACTAACTCCTACTTCGTCATCTCCGTGACTATATAGATAAGCGACAATGCATCTCTGTTCGAGCATTATTCTCTCTCTACCTCTCCTACCGTGTCTGGCCAGCGCCGCATCCTTGACAGTGTCTAGGCCAGATCGGGTCGTGAAGCGTGCTCCAACCTGTACACCAAACTCAGCAAATGACCCCGCCATTGATGATGTCCCTGCTATCCTCGAAGCCATCCAGGAATGTGGCGATGGGGGCGTAATCGTGATACCCAGGGACAGCGAATATACCATGGCCTCACGAATCGTATTCGACGGGTGCGTCGGTTGCGACTTCCAACTCGAGGGCACACTCACGGCATCTGAAGATCTGAGCTATTGGAATACGACACGCGAAATGATCCTGTTCGACAAGGTTACGGGAGGGAAATTTAGGAGTCTGACTGGGAAGGGGGTCATTGATGGGCGAGGCCAGGTCTCGTACGACTGGTTCGGCGAGCACGGTAATATTAAGCGGCCTGTCATGTTTTCGATCGGGGGCTCGAGTGACATCACGGTCTCAGGGATCAAGATGGTGAATCCGCATGTCGCTTTTGTGTATGTGGGACATGGATCGGAGCGCATCGATATCTCGGACTTGGATATGTCGGCCGTGAGCGAGAGCGAGCATGGACCTAGGAATACCGATGGGTTCGACATCGCCGAGGCGTCGCATGTCAGCCTTGCGAACATTAAAGTCGTGAATCAAGACGACTGTGTGGCCTTCAAACCAGGCTGCGACTACGTGTCTGTCCAGAATATCGAGTGCGATGGGTCGCATGGCCTCTCCGTCGGATCCCTCGCAAAGTATTCCGGCAGCGTGGATTCCGTGACGAATGTCTGGGTCAAGGGGGCGAGGATGATCAACTCGTCCAAGGCGATTGGTATCAAGATATATCCCGGCGGACCAAATTATGGAACGGCTCTTGTTCGCAATATGACGTGGGAGGACATCTACATCGAGAACTGCGATGCTGCATTCCAGTCCGAGGCCTGCTACGAGCCTCCAAACAAGGACAGGTCCTACTGCGAGGCGAATCCCAGTTTATCGGAGATCACCGATGTGTTCGTGCGCAATCTTACTGGGACCGTCAACGACCGCTATGGAGGAACTACGGGCTATGTGTACTGCCCAGTGGAAGGGGCGAATTGTCAGATTCATATCGAGGACTTCGAAGTCACTTCAGCCGTCAGCCCGTCGGAATTTCTGTGTGACAAGATTGCCCCGGATGTCCTCGGTATTGATTGCGTACCGACCGACCCTTATTAGAGACGCTAGTTCTAGTGCGAGACGTCACTCCAGAATACCGGACCTATGTGTATACAATCAATGCGCACTGCCTCAGGGCGTGAGTTTCGGCTGAAGAATTCACTCCGTGGGGGTTCTACCTGGTCACCTTTTGTAATGACATCTGACATATGCTAGCCTTCGTACCGTCGTACTTCTTACAGCCAACTACTCCTATGTAGCAAGGTAGGCTATGGCAGTTAGAGTAAATACTCCTTTCTCTGACCATAAGTCTGAAAACGCATTGCGGCAAGGCTGTGCAGTGCTTCCTTCGTGTTTCCCCCCCTCGTCAGCAGCCACAGTCGGCCTATTTCCAATCATCAACTATGAAACGCCGCGTACTTCTCCATTTTCCTGGTCGGTGTAACACACTCGTCTTCACCGACTGCCAACTGCGGCTGAGATCTCTGATCCTTGTCAGCCTGGAACAAGCCCTTATTATGAGAGCCAGGAGCCACTTGTCTCTTCCCACTTTCTATCGTCTTCCAATCGATGATGAACCGAGCCAAATGGAGCCAAACAACCTACTGGGCGGATTAGATTTAGACAATCCGATGAGTGGATTGGATGCACGCAGCGATGTCGAATTCAAAGAGGGCCACTGCATAGTCGCTGAAATCAGACGAGATTCTGTACGTTCCGTCCCATCTTGCCTCAATTCAACTCGTCGAGCACTCTGACTCTGTTGCAGTCGAGTAAATGCAGTAAATATGTCTCAGAATCTATTAGTCCTGTGGAAGTTGATAATTGGATTGAGGCGAGTGTGCGTCATCCAGGTTGACCTTCCCGACCCAAGGGGTATTAATCGTGCAGGGTAAATTCGCCGACGGCTTAGAGGGCTCGCGGAGGGTGAGGTTGATGTATATCTCTCCACCAGCACGAATGAAGCGAAAATTGCTAATCAAGTCAGATTTCCATGCACAACGTCGACAGCTCTCGATGAGAACGGCAATTCTCCGCAGTTGAGTGAAGCGCTGGAGCTCGCTCTGAACCGGGAGCGATTCACTCGGCTCACGCACCGGTACCAGTTCACCAGTGCCTTGGAGGCCTGGCGATATCGTTCTCTCTCCGGATACAGTGTGCGCAAGGTTGAGTACGACAGCAGTGGAGCAGCTAAATCCATCAGTACATCCCATGCCTTTTCTAGAGATGCAGCTAACCAGGGCAGCATTTACCTTGTCAATAAGACTTTCAGGTTCTTTCGCCTCGGCGTTCGCAATCAATCACAACTATACAACATGTACCACAGTCGTGCTCGCCCTGAGAGTCTGTCCATACGAGCAGACCTTGCTACAGCAAACCTTGGAGCGACATGCTAACCTAATCGGACACCCACTCCTCGTCCCGACTACCCTAGGAGAGGTGTGCCTCGAAACACACAAGCAGTTCACACAGAAAATCCTACACGAGCTTAGTATCATTGAGAAAACTACTGGTCAGCACGGGTGGCTCCAGATCCCCGCCGTGGATGCGTCAGCTCACGACAGCGAGCTTTCCAGGTTGGGACACGCAGTTAAGCATTACATATCTGTCTCGAGACGGCGCGTGGACTCGATCCAATGTCATCTAGACTGGATCATGCAGTGTATAAACGACCCCAAATTGCATGATTTCCAAACCCAGGCTCAATTCGAAGAGTGGATTGGGAATATTGAGCTTATGCTCAAGTTCCGCCAGGCCGACGTGACGTATAGCGAGCGGCGAGCCGATAATCAGATCACGGCAGTGCGACACCCAATAATCCATGAATGTGCCCAAGAATGAAGGCTAATGATAGTAGATCTATGGACTCCTTACTCAGCGAGACAACATGGTTGGGGTCTCAGTGGCCGTCGAATCGAAGAAGATATCCGAAGCATCCAAACGCGATGGAGCGGCCCTCAAATCCTTCAGCGTCCTCACGGCACTGTTTTTCCCAGCTACATTTATAGCGGTACACCGTGCATCATTTATTATCGCTGATCCGCAGTTAATGTTGGTAGTTTAGACACTCTTCGCACTCCCGAGACTCTCACATGCTCCATTTTGGCTGTATTGGCTCATTGTTATTCCTCTGACCCTCGTCACCTTCGGCTTATGGACTGGCTGGACATTTTACCGCCACCTCCGGCTTTCTCGGGAGGCCACTGCGACGGGTCTTGATAAGGAATCACCGCTGATCCTGGGCGAGAGCTTCGCCTAATTTCGCCCTTATTGGCTGCTCCTTTGTGCCATATCAGCCCACAGGCAGAACTAACTCATTTGCTTCCGACGGGGGATACCGAGTCAGTGTAGGGAGTACAAGATGATGGAGAATGATCACCGAGCCATGAGATGCATAGACCAGTGTGGAAGACTGGGGCATATGGATGTTTTCAGGTACAGCTTTGTCGGCTTCTTCAGGGTACTTTCAGAATGAGATGGAGTCCGCCGGGTATATTCTCATCCTCTGCACTAGACATGTCGAAGCACTGGCAAAAGCCGTATGGCCAACGGAGGCCGACGGAGATCTGACTTAGAACAACAGAGCCGGGAAATACCGATGACATCTTATGGGCGCTACTCATTGTTGGTTATTCTAGTAGGGGGGTTAGGTAAAAGAGCATACGCACTCTCCTTTCAGCGCAATCGGATCGACTTCCGTAGTCACGAACAAGATCAGATTCGCGGTATGCCTAGTTTTAAGGATGGGACCTGATAGGCTACCAGGTTTTGGTGGGAATACATCGAAAGACCGACATGCAACGCCGTTTGCATTATTCGGCCAGACGTCGCCGCAGAATGTACTTTGCTGGTTCAAAAAAGCGATGTACTCTTCAAACTCACTGAGAGTCGAGAGTTTGGACACGCCTGCACCATCAACGCATTTGATTAGGGTATTGATGTCTTGGGTGATGGTGCTGCCGTTGATTGCGTAGTTGCATGGGCTCGCTGGTGTTGAGCCCTTAGTCACTGCTCCCGAATATGTGGTTGTATTGCCTTGCTCGAGTCCGGAGAGGACGGTGGCAAGGTTCGGGAATTTCTCGAGGGGACTCTATATTGCTTAGAGTTATGGCCTGTTTAAGATCTGAATAGGTCGCCAACATAGGCAGGGGACACAGGTCCGAGGGTGTAATCGGGATGAGCCGATACTTGAGATCGTGCAGTAACTTCTCCAGCCTCGCACTGATAGTCGACACCGAGAGTCCCCAGGAAGAACATTGTGCCTGACCTGCGTCGAAAGACGATTGCACGAATTAGTTGATTGCCTTGTCAGCATCGTAGAGATTAGATTTCCAGCCCAGACTGTAGTAGTCTTCCCCGTCAACAACACCATCAAGGACCATTCGGCCGACATAACCCGGGAAGAGACGCGTGAATGTCGCGCCGAGAACCGTTCCGTAACTCCATCTGTAGTACCATAACTTTGTGTCATAGTGACCAGTAGCCGCCTGCTCGGTTTGGAGATACGACAGCATATCGCGCGCAACAGCCGGTGTACGCACATAGGCCGCGGTCCCATTGGAGCCTCCAACAGTCGGGGGACAGGCTTTGCCAAAGGGTTCTGTGGCAGCGAACTGGGTTCCGGTTAAGGTTGAGAACGCATTGGAGATTTCTGGGTAGTACATCTGCTCGAACTGGGCTCGGACTTCTGGATAGTCCGGCCAGCTATCGACTACGGGTCCACTGCGGCTTATTCCGTGTGGACCAAAGCCGACGATGTTGTGCTGACCCTGCCCGATCTGCGTCGGATCTACCCCTTGGGATAAAACCGCATCTATGCCGGAGCCGCCGGGTCCACCTGTATGCGAGTTAGAACGTGCGTATGTGGCCGAAGGCGAGCACCGACTTACCACTGACTGGATAAATAAGGGGACTGCTCGTAGCCCCTGTCACTTTGGTCGCCGACAGCCTGATAAAGACAATAGCCGTGGTTCCCGGTGTCATAATCCAGCGGAACCTTGAGCCTAGCACATGTATAGTGCAGCCCATGGAGGATGGAGAACACGGGTAGCTCCACCATTTAGCGTTACATCATAGTGTAGTTGTAACGAACCACACCAAGCTCCAGTCATCAAGTGTGATATTGGGAGTTATTTATAGCGCACAGGCAGCCTGCACCAACCGTGCAGCTACCGTTAAAGCAGAACACTTCATTGGGGCCGGCGATATAAGCTTAAACCGTGTGATGCTGGCTGGTGACCTCCGTAGAGCATAGCAAGCGATTCTCATTATGTAGCATTTTGATAGCAGGCCGCGGATTACCCGATGGCTGTGTACAGAATAATGGAATGTTGTTAACGAGGCGCGAATCAGTCTGAGGCTCCCTTTCGATGCACAGGGATTTCCCGGGTTCTGTAACTTGTGAGGCTTTTTGAGATAAGTTGCGATCACGAATTAGTCCAAAGCCAATTGGGGCCCAGCATGAGCTATATTTGTATGGTGGAGCTGCCTCTTCGCCTCCTGGGGTTTGGGTCAGCCTGGTTAAATGTCAGCCACCAGCATTATTCTCGGCCACGTCCGGAATCACTCCGGAGTATTACCACGCCGCCTCCAAGCTGCCCTGGCTCGAAGAAAAGGAAGAGTCCTCAAACAGAGCAAGTTCTTTCCATATCCGTAGTGTACCTCGTAGGTCGGCCAGCATCAGTAGACTGTAATTTCCGACTGCTAAAGATTTGCGTGGTAGGCAAACATCTTGGGTACAATGCGGATTAAACATTGAAACCCTCACTAAGTTTATGATGTCTTTTAATCCATAGGAGACTGCCGTCGGTTATAGCAGGTTGATCCTGTCTTCAGCAGCTTAATGGACCTGATAAGGCCAAGAGGACCCGGCATCAAGCTCACTTATGTAGCACTGGTAGAGGCAATTGACTTTAGAACGGAATTCTAACTGCATCGCTCTAGCGAAAAGATGGTAACTTGGAAGTAAAGTTCCGTCCTTGAGAACTGAATTGGGACAGCGTCCATGCCCCATGCAGAATGGCAAGAAGCGAGCCTCGCTCCTTCGGCGTATGGGCGGTGCAGTATTCGCAAGAGCCAACGTGTATCTCCTTGTCGACCATGGTACATATCTCTAGGGATCTCTCAGCTTGATTCGTAGCGAGGGCCGCGCAATTCATCGTCCGTGCCATGGAATCCAAGACATTTTAGACACCTTTTGAGCTCGCCCGAAGCGATGTCCCGTCGTCTGTTTATCCTCCCCACGATTGTGGGACGAACAAGTAGTTATTGACTCGGCAGCACCGGCACCCCTTCTCCTCCAAGAAAAAAAAAAAGAAAGAAAAGAAAGTCCAGAGTTTCTCTCAAACACCCCAGCTCAGTGCGCTCAGGTTGATTTCGGATGTGGTGTGGTTCGACGGTCCAGCCAACCAGATGACGCAAACCAACGCAGATGGGGCTCGCCACGCAAGCTGAATCGTCAGCGTCCACAAAAGCTTTTTGGGTCGAGACTCAAAGTTCTATAGACTCGCTGCGTGATTGGAGCTGACCGGATGCTCCACGAATCGGATCTTAGCTAGAGGATAGGAGACCTGCCAAGGCGTGGCTGCTTCGTAGACTCCCAGCCACTGAGTGATTGAGGACAGCAATGGTATATAACGAGTCCTAGGATAGTCAATTTGAGTTCCACAAGCAGGTCAACACACTCGTTACATTCTGCTAAACACTTATGATGAGATTCAACCGGTACTCGGCTGCAATTGCAGTCGCGGCGACTATTCAGACATGCGCTGCCCAGACCTACACTGACTGCAACCCCACAGAAGGTATGTGCCCATCTCATCCAACTACCTCTTGTCGCGCTGCTGACCCTGCAGCGACCTGCGACCCGGACAATGGCCTCGCAACGTACAGATTCAGCACCGACTTCACCACCGGTGAATCGTCATTCGATGGCTGGAATACAACCTCTGGAACGGTGACAAGCACCGACCTTGGTGCCCTGTTCACTATCAGCGAGCAGGGAGATGCCCCGACAATCGAGACCGAATTCTATATCTTCTTTGGTTATGTCGAGGTGAAGATGCGCGCGGCCAATGGCACTGGCATCGTCAGCACAGCGATCTTGGAGTCGGATGACCTTGATGAGATCGACTGGGTATGATTCACTCACCTGTTCTCTCTGCCTTGAGCTGACGAAGTTGCTAATACCTTGCAGGAGCAAGTCAGCACCTTTAACACCGAAATCCAAACAAACTACTTCGGCAAAGGCAACACCACCTCATACGACCGCGCCACAACCGTGGCGGTCGACACCCCCGAAGACACCTTCCACACATACGGAATTGAGTGGACCGAAAGCGCCACCAACTGGTACGTCGACGGCGCCCTCGTCCGTACGCTCAACTACGCCGACGCGGTCGACGGCACAAACTACCCGCAGACCCCCATGCGCATCCGCATTGGAATTTGGGCCGGCGGTGACCCGGATAACTCGGAGGGGACGATTGAGTGGGCCGGTGGTGAGACGGATTATACGGAAGGGCCGTTCAATATGTACGTTGAGTCGGTTAGTATCATCAACTATAACCCGGCCGACACGTATACCTGGACCGACCAGACGGGGTCGTATACCAGTATCAGTGCGGCGAACGGGACGTCGGATGGGACTACGCTGTCTAGCTCTAGTGCGAGCTCCAGTTCCACCTCGAGTGCTTCAAGTTCGAGTTCAAGCACTGCGGTTATTCCTTCTACCAGTGAAGGATCGTCCACTAGCACGACTGGCGAGTCAAGCTCCAATGCTGGTGCAACCGCGACATACGGTGGCTGTGCCAGTGCCAGTGCAAGTGCCAGTTCCAGTGCGTGCGCCAGTACTAGCGACGTTGTTTACAGTTCGACTGCCCCGGCCGGTAGCTCGAACTGGTCCTCGGTTGTTGGGGTATTTTGCCTCGTCTCCCTTGCAACAATCGTCACAGCGATGATGCCGCTTTGAGATGTTGGCGAAGGCCCTATTGTCATATGCCTAAGCCTAGTTCCTGTCAGAAAGTTGGGTCTGTCCAAATGAAGAAACCACTGATTCGAGAAAGAAGATCACTAGATCACTATTAAACGTCATACACTGAACTAAACCTCACGCGCCTTGTCCACGACACCACCCTTGTTACTACTCTGGGACTCCGAGCCAGGGACAACCGCGGTAATTACCTCTGCTCCCTCAAACTTTGCGTTTATTTCCTCCAGCTCGAGTCCCTTGGTCTCAACAAAGGTAAAATATGCAATGATGAGGAAAACAAAGTCCCATGCAGCATTGATGAAATAGAACTTCCACCCGAGATCAGCCATCGCGTAGGCCATTGCAAAGGATGCGAGGAGACTAATTGAATGACGTGGTTAGCGCGATCTTCATCATGTCTGATGTGCCAAGCTGGTGCGGGTCCAGAGAACTTACCCAAATCCAGAATCGAGCATGCGGAAAATAGCAATACCCGTCGTACGAAGCTTGAAAGGCGACACTTCCGTAGGATACAAACTTGTCATTGGCGAAACTGAGAAGGCATAGAAGCCCTGGAAGAGGAATATAACAGCAATTGTCCCGTAGATTCCAGAAGTATGGGTGCTATTGCCGTATCCTAGTGGCGGATCAGTTAGCCGTGGGCAGGACAGAATAAGGTTGCGGTTTCGCTCACGTTTGATTAGACCCCCAATCATGAGTAGAGTGGCAACCATACCACCAGCGCCAATGAACATTTGCTTTCTACGACCGAGTATATCGAGCATAAAACTTCCGAAAATCGCGATCGCAAAGGACCAGCAATTGATAATTACTTGGACCTGAGTCTGAGTCACTGTGTCAGTGATCCCAGCCTGGCTGAGGATCTTGGTCAGGTAGAATCTAAACACAGAAGTTAGCTTTTTATATGTGAAGTTAGCACATGAAGAATCAATACTGACGAGATGATAAAATTGCCAAACATGTTAATCATCGGACCAAACGTGCACAGGATCACAAGCCTTCTCCGGTTGGCCTTGCTGGAGACGATTTCCCTCCACGGATTGCGAGGGTATCCCTGAGCCTCGCGCGCAATCGTGTCCTTGATCTCACGCAGTTGCTCGTCCCCTTTCTGAAGATCTGTTTTACCCTTGCCTTGCATCAGGATAAGCACTTCCCAGGCCTCGTCGCTGCGTCCCTGAGCAATCAGCCAGCGAGGAGATTCGGGTACAAACGGTACGATGAGGACAGATAAAACACTGGGAATAAACTGCAGGAGCGAAGGCAGTCGCCACGACCAGGTGCTGTCGATGTTTTGGCTACCGTAGTTGACAATGGACGACAGCAGACTTCCGACGTAGTAGCACGAGAAGAAGAGGCCTAGAACCCGGGCACGTCGACGAGGAGGCAAGAGCTCTCCTAGAAGAGTTGGCGCCGCGCCATTACTGATGGCAGAGCCGATACCAACAATGATTCGGGCGACGACAAACATGCCAATGTTCTGAGCAGCTGCCTGGAGGATGATGCCGATAGCAGTGACGACCGCAGCAATGTAGATTGCTCGTCGACGACCAAAATAGTCGGGAACAGGCTGCATGAGGAAAGCACCGAGTATACCTCCCATCCACATAGCGGCATTGTTAAGACCTTCAGTCGCAGTTGTCAGGTGGAAGTATTCGGAGTAGGATGGGAGGATCAGAAGACCGTTCATGACAGACGAGTCGTATCCTAGAGTCTATATTGGTCAGGACAGTCGAGTGAAACACACACGCAAAGTATGACTACTCACTGCTGAGTTGACAACGGTGGCTGCCAGGAGCAATGGCATGAGCAGCCGGTGGTCAGCCGGGACCCATCGTGAGAGGTGCTTGCGTTCGAAGGTCATTGTTATTCTTGATCAACACCCATCCCTCAATAGGATTGTTGCAACATGCCTTATATATGTCTGGCCAACGCCGACGTTTGTGAATCTTCAGTATATACGAGCGCAGCCTCAAAATGGCTTATCAGTCCCAGCCATCCAGACTCGCTTCCAGAGTTGGGGTAGACCGTCCGGGCCAGCTCGGGCGAGTTGGCGGAGACCTGGGATTTCTCCACACATGACTAGCGTGTAAATCAAATATGGCCAATGGGCGTCAATTTGATGATAAGGGATGTGACTAATGGATGTACCCCGTCGTCGGAGATCGGCCAAGTTGGCCCAAAATGAGGAGTAGTGGGATGAGTCGATGTTTGGCTAATTGACATCGGTGATAAGGTATTTAACGGTCGCAGTCTTGTGGGATGAGCCAGTTGCAAGCGCTATCAGACACTTCCTCAGTTCCTGTCCAATACTTGTTGTTCGGACTAGTGCGGAGGTCGAACGAAATAAACGAAAGACGAATTGCGCCGTCAGGGAGATGCCCGCACAGCTCAAAAAATGGCCAGCTTGGGCTGAATACACCTCGGAAGGTGCGAAAGAGGCGCAGGATCCTGAGTTCTTGGCCATCAAGAAAGCAGTCATTGCAGAGTACGGCGCCGAAGCGCTTCGTCAAAGTTGGATCAAGGTGTGCAATGATCTGCGGGCCATTACCGACGAAATCACAGAGAAGGGTAATAGTATAATACCCGTATTCCACACCACCCAAGTGCTCCAAAATGGCTTCACGGTCGCTCAACAGGAAGAGATTCGACGGGTCGGCACCTTCATTTGTCGGGGTACCATTGCGGAGGAGGAGACGAACACGCTATACAACGATCTCAAAAGGTTTCTTGCCGACAACGAGGGATCTATCCAAGCGTGGCCGAAGGAAAGCCCATCCATGCTCATCCTATACAACTCGCCCACTCAGAACACTCTCCGCGCGCATCCCCGTCACCTCCAACTACAGCGCAAGCTCAATGAGCTGTGGCATGACTCAACAGGAGAATCGTCTTCCGACCCGCTAATCTACCTGGATGGTGTTCGCGATCGTGGTCCAGGTGTACCATTTCTCGGCCTGGGTCCTCATATCGACGCCGGCAGCCTCTGCCGTTGGGCTGACCCGACCTATCGGACGGTTTACGAGAGTATCTTCTCCGGAAGCCCAGAGAAGTTTGATCCTTATGACATGAGTATCCGCAAGGATGCAGATCAGGCGCTTTATGAGGGGGTGGCTCACTCGAGGGTATTGCGCACCTTCCAAGGCTGGACAGCTCTGACACCCACGGCGCCGAGGGAAGGCACGATCATGATGTACCCAAATCTCAAGGCAGCAATCGCGTATATGCTGCTTCGGCCTTTCTTCCGACCTCCGTCGGACCCAACTGTTGACCTCATGGATGCAGAGACCTGGACGCTCGATGATTCCTCCGGGTGGTTTCCTGGGACATTCAAACCACAAAGCCAGCGGCTCAGCCGGGCATCCCATCCCCACCTCCGCCTAGAAGAATGCCTGGTCCATGTACCCGCAGTGAATGCTGGCGACACTGTCTGGTGGCATTGTGATGTGAGTTTCCCTTCTAGCAGCCATGCTTGTGAGCACTGTGCTAATCGTCATGAACCCTTCGCAGCTGTGCCACGCCGTGGATACCGAGCATCTTGGAAACCACAATGCATCCGTTGCATTTATTGCGTCTTGTCCCACAACACGGGTCAATGAGGAGTATGTCAAGAGACAACTGGCTGCCACTTTGGAGGGCCGTCCGGCCCCGGACTATGCAGAAGGAAATGATCTCAACGAGACGAAGTTGAAGGGATACGTCGGGCTTGAAAACCTTGGTGCAGATGCTCGTAGGGCGTTTGGCTTTCACTTGTTAGATGGCGCATGAGCTGGTGACCTTTCATGTAGGTGTATCTATGAATTGTATAGTGGACAGAAGCGGAAGAAGCATACACATCGACGATCCCTGGATCAAGCGAGGTAATGTGATATCAGTTCATGTGTACGCCCAGTGTAGTTGCAATTATGTAGTCCTGTTCGCTGCACAAGCGATTGCGGTCTCGGTTGATCCCTCAAATCTTCGCTCAGGTCCTCGTTTGGAGGCTTCCCTAAAAGCTTGGGATAGGCGCTCGACCGCGCATATAGCTTGGCTACCCAATCTCATAAATCAAGCAGTGGCTGACCTCAGCCAAGTGGCGAGGGTCTCCCTAAGAAAGAAATCTCTCCTATTTATAGATCAGTTAATAAATCGCCTGCCCATGCAATCTCGAAGTATTGTAGCTGCGTGATGAGCAAGCATGTTCCACTCCTTCACACTTTCGAGCAAATCAATAGCAGCGCGAATCGCCTCGGTATATGTCTCGACTTCTCTTTCTCCGCCAGTCTCACATTGGCGGACAAGCAGGATGGCCGAGACAAAGATGTGGTGCGACAATGCCCTTTGTCGGTCAGCATAGATTGCATCGCCAAGGAGAGTCAAATCCGTGTTTGTACGTACCACTGTTTCCGTAAGGACGATGGCTGGTCCCAATTGCGGTTGATCCAAATGACACTCATGGCCGAGCTTACGCTAACAGCTTTTGCCCAGCTATATTCGTCCGGATCTGAGAGCCATTGAGCCTGAAGGTGGCGGTGTAACCGAAGGCGTAGATGTAAGAGAACCAGAGTAAGGTCGTAGCGTTGCCATTTTATCCACGGCTGGTCGAATTCAATCTGGCGTATCTCTTCGTTTGCAGTATCTACATCTGGCTGGAGATGAGGGGGAAGCGTATCGATAATCTGTGCCAGTTCCTCGTCCGCACTCCGCACTGCCTTGGTGAGCTCGTCCAGCGATTTGAGACCTGATCGAATCGTAGCTCGAAAGCGATACACGACGGTTGCTGATCGTGCCATAAAAATGTGGTAATCAACCTGGTCATGAGCGCTGTTGCCGTCGACTTTATGCGACATGAGACGAGGAAGTGGTACATCAAAGTCTATCTCGTCAATCACAGGTGGTTGGTATGGTAAATTCAACCTAGTTTCCGAGCAAAGGGTGTCAGTAGTAATTCTAAGTGCGCCTTGTAATGTAGGAAGACCCGCAGGGGTTAAATGTTACCATTCACAGATAACAAGAGTCCACCAGAGCCGGTGCTGGGCTTCTTCGCTCAAGCATGAACCAGCAGCACGAGAGTAGGGTGTGTTCAACCCGATTCGCCCGGCAACGCGTATAGCGGACGTCCACATGTGCTGGCCTAGTTCGATATCTCCCCAGGTGTTGAAGCACATACCGAGAACCGCGATCGCTTGAACTGTATGGATGCTTGGGGCTCTCATAAAGTCAGCGCGCCAGAGAGCAAAGATAGCCGCATCATACCACATGCGCGATGTACTTCGACGGTTTCGAGTGCCTAGTACGTCAATTAGTCCAGAGGCAATGCAGAGAACCAAGGAGGTACGCACCTCGTGGCAGCACCAGCCCCTCACCTTCGTCGTCCCCCATCATAAGGAGCGCGGCCTGTAACAGTTGCATATTCAGTACTTCAATAATCGTTTCAGAAAAGGCCCATTGATGCACTCACGCTGAGAACGCTAAAGTACACAGCCATCCACGAAGCGTTTTGCGTCTCGATCGTGGACCCCGCTTCTATGGCGAAGATAAAGCTATCGCACTCGTTCTCAAACCGGGGATACTCGACAGCGTAATGCACCCATGAGTTCCATTTCCTGTCGTAAGCAATAAGCTGTTTGCTGCAGTTTCGATCTGGGAGAACAATGTCTGCCCAACTTGTGACAGTGGAGCCTGTTCCTATCGAGGCAGCCGAGAGACTATCCCAAAGCCTATCTTCGAGACCTTCCTCATCGTGGTCGGGTCTATACTTCCGGTTCGACCATATCGATAAAGACCGGGGTGGCCGCTCCTTGACAGACGACTTATTTCTGGATACCTGACCGTTCTGTGCCCGGAGACTCTCGAGTTCAAGCCGCAAATACTGGTTCTCGCTGCTCAATTCCGCGTGTGTAGGTGTATTGGGCGCATCCTGCCACCTAGAGGATGAGCGGAAGGTTGCAACACTTCAGTAGCACGCTTATCTCCACCCCTGGACGTACATTTTCACTTCACCCCGCACAATGACCATCTCCCGCGTACACGCATCGGCCTCTCCACGTTTTATGCAGGTTGAGCATGGGACTGTTTTGTCGCACTTCACCTTTCGAGTCGCACAGGAGCGGCAGCTCCGAGGAGCTCTCTGCGTTGTTCGAAAAGGCGCCTCGTTCGCCGAGAGGTGAGCCATGATTGTGCATTTTTGACTTGGTTGTGTTTGAGCTGGAGAGGACGACAACGAGGACAGTCACGTGTTAGTCCTGCTTATCTAACCACCTCTATCTGCCCCACTCAGGTACGATATCCGGTGACCAGGGCGCTCGTTCAGCACCACTTGTTCGAATGTACTTTTTTCGGTGTACTCCGGTCCCTTGGAGAAATATGTAGGACGAGTTCCCCACTATCATCATGCTTGCTCCCACTTTCATATACGACCCGATAACTCACCCGAGCTCATCCGGCCCTTAATTACCCTTTTTCCGGGGTAAGAAAGACGCGTCTTGCCCCTGCTATCCTCAGCCTGGTGTTTACGTCCTCCGTGCTCAGCCCGCCATGGCCTCGATTACCGTCTTCCAAGGCGCCGTCGTTCATTCGACCGATCCTCAGACCCTCGAGACTCTCGGTGAAGCTACCCTTGTCGTCACGGACGGTCGCATCTCCGCCTTCTACAAGTCCACCGACGAGATCCCCGCCGATGCATTCGCCGCAGACGCTCCGATCCACCGTCTTCCTCCCGGTGAATTTCTGATCCCCGGCTTCGTTGACACACACAATCATGCTCCACAGTGGCCAATGCGCGGTCTTGGTCAGGGACTTCACATCCTAGACTGGCTCAATGAAATTACATTCCCCGTTGAAGCGCGCTTTGCCGACCCCAAGTACGCCGCCGAGATGTATGGGCATACCGTCGATGATTTTCTGCGCCAGGGTATCACGACAGCGTCATACTATAGCTCCAGGCATCTTGAGGGAACCAAGATACTAGCAGACATTTGCAATAGGAAGGGACAACGGGCGTTTGTTGGGAAGTGCAACATGGATCGCAACGCGCCGGATTACATCTGCGAGAAGAGCGCAGGGGACTCGCTACGTGAGACGCAAGAGTGCATTGAGCATATCCGCTCGCTTCCTGGTTGTTCGAAGCCCACGCACGCGCTTGTTAAGCCCGTCGTGACGCCCAGGTTCGCCATCTCCTGCACACCAGAGCTCCTCCAAGGCCTCGGCGACATCGTCAAACGCGATGATACTTTGGCAATTCAGACACACTTCAACGAAGCTCAGCAAGAAATCGACGCCACAACGGAGCTATTCCCACAATTCGGTGGCAGCGAGGCCGACCTGTACGAGAGTTACGGTCTTCTCAACGCACGATCGATCCTCGCTCACTGTACCATCATGACCGACTACGAAAAGGAGCGAATCGAGGCACTAAAGTGTGGTGTCGCACATTGCCCCATTGCCAACATGACTGTCGGCGGAGGCTTCATGGTCGCTCCGGTTCGAGACTTTCTCCGTCGCGGAATCAAGGTCGGGCTCGGAACCGACAGTGGCGGTGGTTGGGCATCACAAATGCTAGCTGTTATTCGCCAAGCCATGATCGCTTCAAACGCGCGCGAGGTGCTCTCGGACGGGAAGGACAAGGCTCTATCCTTTGAGGAGGTATTCTATCTCGCGACGCTGGGAGGAGCGAAGGTTCTCTGTCTGGAAGATCAGATTGGTAGCTTCGCCGTCGGCAAGGAGTTTGATGCCGTCTGGGTGACAACCTCCACTGGGTTGCAGTCGGCAATGACACCGCGCGAAGAAAAGGACTCGCTGAGGAGGATATTCGAGAAGTATATCATGACTGGAGATGATCGCAATGTAGCGCATGTGTATGTTAGGGGGCGCCGAGTAGCAGGAATTAGATGAGGAGCGCGAGCAGCCCTAATTTAGGTCGGTAATGATTATTTACTTTGGCAATGGAATCTACATTGGGCAGCCTATAATGTCTTGGAAATTCGCTAGTATGCGACCTTTGATGGAAGGGCATCAGGGCATCCCACCTCGAGATACGAAGATTGCCGGCCTGCCGTCAGGATCCGGAGGTAGCTGAGAATCCTGCTTGAACAGATTCCCTACCGCGGGGTAAGATTGATAGCGAGAAGCTTCTACAAACGGTTGAAGTTCCTAAGTAGCGGTGAACTGATGGGCTTAAATATCCGGTACCTCGTTCTTCTCTAATGACAAGTGACTATTAATGTACTATTTGATACCTGATGTAGCTCATGAAGATATATATATTTTTGCTGATATACCGCAAGCAATATCTTGAAGCTACAAAGGCACGGGATGCTAGAAGTTAGGATTTAGTCAATTTATTATCAAAACAAGGCTTTTTCCTTCAGCAGAGCCTGAAGCAACATGATAAACCAGTAATTACATCCATGGACACTGTTTGTGGTGCTGGTCCTCAGCGGCAAGCGTACGCGTCTTTCGTGTGCGGCGGAGATAAGCACAACAACCACGGATATACGGAGGAGACCTAATGAAGGCCTGGGGACTGAGGCATCAAGAATGTCTTGGCACTGCCCCGCTGGAGGAATTTAGAGCAGGCCGTGTTGATTGGTTGATGCGTTTGTTTTGCCAACTTCGGAGTTGCGCGTCGCCTCCTGAGCCGCTGTTCGTCCGCTCAACGAGCAGCGACCTTTCAGGTGTTCGTCGTATCACCATGTGTCGGCATTTACGATTTGGGTTTTCCATGTGTCTGAGGTACTCAATACGAAGATTGATCACCATGACACTGGGCGCACTACGGGAAAGCAGATTGTCGCGGGGAGACGATTTATCAGCTTCGAGGCTGCCTGGCGCACCTGCTTCAAGTACAGTATTACTGGCCTTGATTCGCCTCATCATCAAGTTGTCTTTTCGAGCCTTCAGTGACCAAAGCTATCAATTGAACCACCCAGGTTTCCCGACTCGAGGCTCACAGTAGGATCATCCCAGATCAGCTCATCAAACCAGCTGAGGAAATCGTGGCTGGTCATTGGTTCCTGGAGAGGTAAGACCGTGGTTGAGTGTATCGTCCAGCAAGGCGGCTATAACCTTGCTTATTTGGACACAGACTTGAAAGTCCGGTCGAACGGGTAACTGCTGTCGCTCAAAGTATGCAAGAAGGACGCTCAAGTCGCGAATTATCTGCGATCTAGGTGTTGTAGTTGGCAAGTGGTTCCCACTCACGGTGCTGTGGTGGAGCTCTGTTGCGAGAATGCCAGCACCGGGGAGTCCATAGTAGGAGAACTGGATACAAGTTGAGCCATGAGCCAGTATACTGTGCAGATGCCTTGTACTTACTAGCCAAGCGTATCCTTCGTAATGTTTCGGGCGTGAGTGCTGCTGCTGGATAAAGTCGAGCACGCCAGAAAGCAGCTTCATGGATGTCTCCAACAGGCAACTGATGGGCACTTGACCGTCTTGGAGAAGCATCCGCTCTATCTGGAAACCACTGTATAAATATTGAAGATAGATGACCAAGAGTGTCACGCAGAGCTGCGGGCTCCACGTCGTCCAGCTGCTGGTTTGATACCGGTACTGGGATGGGATTTCGTCCCACGCAGCCTGATACGTATTGTATAACTCCCTAGACAGGCTCATTAGTACAGTGTGTTGCTGATAGTCTTGAGACGTACCTGAGCTTTTCGGAGAATGAAGGACCCCTATTTCCCAAGGATAGGCATAGGACTGTCTCCTGAAGCGCAGCCTGCTGGTAGCGAAGTCGAAGAAAGCTCGATTGTCGAATAATTTCCCCGCGTCCAATAATGTTCCTCCATCCACCATCGCCAGCACTCTGTAATACTGCCTGAAGTCGGCTGTTCTGGAAGATAATTTCGTGGTCGTCTATGTCGAGAGGCATCGCCCTGTCGCAAAAGTCGTTGCCAATCCGTGGAGGTCTTCCAAGGAAGGTAGCGAGGCTCTTATCTCTAGTGACCGCGAATGCAAAGATCCTCTTTCGAGTTTCCAGTATGAAAAATGGGACTTCTGGTGGAGATGACTCGAGTCGATGAAAGCCCATTATAAAGAGCTCCGCGACGAACTCGTTGAACCGGTGATAAAGAGTGTTGCCTGTCAGAAGAATAAGCACTGCTCCACTAATGGTAGACTAGTGGCCACGCACTTGCATCTCCAAACAGGAATGACGACAGGAGAGGGTTCATAAGCCGTGCCCAGACGGTTAGGTCATTGGCTGATTGAAAGTATTACATATTTGGATACACGCCTTACTCGCAGTGTACATTGTGGTGGCGAATTTAGCATCGTGGGTTGGAGATTGAGTATAGTGAGCGAGAGTAGCGCGATATACTCCAGTCGAATGTTCTCCCCAATATAGGATTTTAAAACTCAACCGCGGATAGATGGGCAGACAAAGGTGACAGTTTATTCCTGAGGTTCACTTGAATTCTATCAGATGTGGCATCAAGACTAACATCCTGACCGTGACTTTCCCGAAACTCCCGAAGAAAGCTCGAGAATGGATCCATGATCAATGGTCGTGGAATAATCGTGTACCGGGGGCCGCCAAAATACCCAGATAGCACTTTCTCCAGACGGGCTGAGGACGCCAGTAGTGTTTTGAGTGCTTGCACGATAGAGGTGAGTTGTGTCAGGGTATCCTTCCGGGTGTGAAACGGTGTTGGAGTAGGAACTGGTGAAAATCTTGGTGATAAACGAAGGGCACTGGAACCACCTAGATATCCAGATGGGCTAGTGCTAGGCACCGCTTCGGCCTCATCGTTGCTCTGTTGCTTGTCTAGATGACATGCTTGGTTAAGGGAGTCCCCCTGTGGAGACTGTCTACGTTGGGCTTGCGAATCACTAGATAATACCTATAGATAAATAAACAGGTGGAAGTTATAAAGTAATAGATTATATAATGACTATAACTATATATATTATATTTCTAGGATAACTAGGATAATTAGCTATCGTCCCCGAGGTTAGTGCAGCTGTTCAAACGGCATACACAGCTACCTCTGAAGCGCTACGGGTAGCTGACACCATCTTCTTCTGGTCACGCCGACACTATACAAATATATTCTAGAAAGTGGTCTCATAACTAAAGCGCAGATCTAGTTTTAATTTGAGTGCAATGTATATAAGGACCATTATTTAAGGCGAACAAGTAAGAGACGGTCAGCATGGTGGAGTGGTTAACACGTTAGACTTGAAATCTAATTCCTTCGGGAGCGCAGGTTCGAACCCTGCTGCTGACGTTTTTTTCCTTTTTGTCCACGAATATCGCCTGATGTCACGTGATGTCTGCGAGACGCGATGAGCTTGAAACAGCTCAATGTACGGATACTCGGTACCTACAGCTCTGCATTAGGACAACTACTTACCGTGGAAGTTCTTGTCTTGAAACAGCTCTAGTGTACGGATACTCCGTATCTACAGCTCTGCATTAGGACCGCTACTTACCGGGGAAGTTCTCGTCTAGAAGTGGCTTAAGGTCGGTGCCATAAGTTGGCGACAGGGTAAGCCTGAAGAGCGACAACCACAACCACAACTCTGAATGGAGACTCTTGGCGGTCGCCGACTTCTCCGGCAGATCGGTCTCCATGAAGTGAGAGCAAGCGAGCAGGGCGGCGGGGTTATGCTTCTGGCCACGATAAGGACGGAATCTTGTCGTAGATCGAGTGAAGGGAGCGGGATGATAGAAGCACTGGGTTATATTAGGCAAATTCTTTGAATTATGAAGTAGCATACTCTGTCTGACATGCCCAGAGTCTCTGGCATCGGCCACAGACGGGCGTGGCATGGTTACACCGCACTTTTTTGAGTCGACACGGCTCACACGAGGTGGGCTTCCCGTTCCGCCTATACATGGAGGAAAAATCGCTAGCGGGGCTATCATTAGCGATGGACGATCTATCAAGAATGAGTTGTGAAGGGGAGGTCAAGATAGAGCCAAATTCTACTCCGAAATGCCTCAAAGCTGCACGTGACCTACTCCGACGTTTGACGGAATGCACCTTCCTAAAAAGGCAACTCCGTCCTAGCCCCGGCAGCTACTCGACCACCGGACTTAAAGAAAATCCCACCAAACCCTGAAAAGATCCAAGGTACGCCTTTCATGCCTCCTGTCATCTGTCATGTACCAGGACTGTATGCTCCCCAGGCCGTGCATTGAGGCCCCGATGTCGGCATGCAGACAGCGGAACCGCAAAGGCGGCTATCATCGGCTCCACCATGTCACCGAAGGGCGTAACAAGACAAAATGAGACGAAGAGAGCTCAACAATAACAAGGAAAGTTTATCAATCCAATATCACCACAAGATGCGTCTTGGTTTCATAGGGTTGGGCGTCATGGGAGTGCCCATGGCGCGCAATCTCAGCCGACACTTTCCTCTCACTGTATGGAATCGAAGCCCGTCGAAGTACGCTCTCCTCGAAGAAACCGGTGCAAAAGTCGCGACCGCCGAAAGTCCAGTGGAAGTCGTCGCACAGTCCGATGTAACATTCGTCATGCTCTTCAATGCCCTCGCTTTCGACTCGATTCTCACTCCCGACTTTTACAGCGCGCTTCGCGGCAAGACATTGGTGAATACAAGCTCTGTCGGGGTCGAATTCAACAAATTCCTCGCGGAAAAGGTTCACGCTGCCGGTGGTACATTCCTTGAAATGCCTGTCAGTGGAAGCAAAGTACCTGCTGAGCAGGGCCAGCTTGTTGGCCTCATGGCTGGAGATCCTGAGGTTGCGGACGGTATTCGGCCCTTCGTGAAGCCACTTACAAAGTCCGCTGTTTATTGTGGTCCAATAGGCTCGGGACTGAAAGCAAAGTACGCGGTGAATACCCTGCTTATTACGCTGACCGTTGGTCTCTCCGAATCCGTCAACCTTGCCCGCGCTCAGGGTCTTGATCTTGAAGCCTTCGAGCGGGTACTCGAGGCTTGCCCAATGGCCTCACCGTACTCGAAGCTCAAAGTTGCAAAGATTCGAAATAATGACTGGTCGGCACAAGCTTCGTTGAAAGATTGCTACAATAGTACGCAGCTTATTGAGTCGGCGGCTGCGGCAGCAGAGACGCGGTCACCGTTAATGGAGGCTTGCGGGAAGCTGTATAAAGAAGCCATGGAGGCGGGCCTTGGAGAGGAAGATATGATTTCTATTGTGAAAACAGTGGGAGGAGACAAAAAGGCAGGATCCAGGATATAGACGAATTCATGTACAATTTATATTTAATCCCCTTTGTAGATCGCGCTTACTATTTCCTCACCGTTGATACATGCTCAACATTCCCAAACTCTCCAACACCCCATAACTTCTCTGGAAGTGGAGGCGGAACCGCAAGCTGGGCTTGGATGCGCTTCGAGGCCTCCACGAACTTACTACGCAAACCCTCCCAGGGTTGCGAGAGATCGACCAGCTTAAAGTCCCGCTTCCTCCATTCCCCATCCACAAGAACGTGCTTGACATCGCCTGCATTCGCGTGCAGCACAATAGCCGCAATCGGGTCGCTCCACCCTAACATGTTCGGACTATCCCCGTTGAACACGACCAAGTCGGCCTTTGCACCGACTGTGATAACTCCGATATCGTCGCGGTGCAAAGCGCGTCCGCCCTGGCGAGTTGCTAGCAGGAACGCCTGCTCGACGGGCATCGGGTTGGCGTTAGGCAGGCGACCTGTATCGAGTGTCTTGGTGTAGTTTCGCAAACGGACCAGTTGCAACCACAGTCGTGTTTGGCTCAACATGTCACCGGAGAAGGTCCACGTGGTATCGAGGCCCAGTGAGGCTTGGTCAGAGATTAGATGTCCTGTGCTCTGCCCGTGGCCGTAGTGGCATTCGGACTCTGGTGTGATTGAGACGAACATGTCGTTGTCACGGAGCGCTTTCATGTCGGACTCGGTGAGGAAGGGAGCATGGGAGAAGATGATGGGCAATCCGGCTGAGTGGATCTCGTTATCTGCGCAGACACGAGTCGGCGATGAGTTTCCTTCTGTGGTAGAATGTCAGTCAGAAGTGGCCTGCATGGTGGTAGAGAACCTACGCGGCCAAGGACTACCCAGATGGTGAAGAGTGAGAGCTTGAAGGTTCAACGTCCTATTAAGTTCGAGTGAGTACTCGGGATTCATGGCTTAAAGGATGTTGATAGACGTACTCCTTTTTCTCCTGTATGAATTCTAGACCTTTGCCATCTCCGTTGAGGAGAGTCCAACTAAGCCCATCGAGCGAAAGTCCGGGCAGCACCCGCCTACTTTCATCCTGCTCCAGCCCTCCATAGGCTGCCCACTGTTCATCCGCCGAGAAGGTTGGACGAGGTGCGACGTCGTAGCACCACCAGACGCGAGCACCACTTTCAACAGCCGCACGGTATCCCGACTCCATGACAGGCGCCGACCAATTGTTATGGGCATGCTCAACGCACGAAGTCACGCCGGAGTTCAGACCCTCGAGGTACCCCTCAAGCGAACTAATGTGTATATCTTCAGGAGTAAATGCCGCTCTGGCGCCTTCCGAAGCTTGACTGACCCAGTCAAAATATTGCGAGAGGGTCACATTCGGGCCTAGGGTGCGGTAGACGGTCTGCCACATGTGAACATGCGTGTTGACGAAGCCAGGCGAGACGATTTTGCCGGACACGTCAATTATTTCGACTCCTTCTGATTTAGGCAAGGCTTCAAAATCTTCTTCAACTGCGGAGATGCGGTCATTGTCGATCAGGATGGAAGCTTTCCGGAGCACCCGGATCGATTGGCTTGTTTGATCGAAGGCCAACACTGTGCCATCTTTCAGGATCTTGGAGGGCATGGTTGCTTTGGTTGTTTTGTTGTTTCGATAATTGCTCAACTGGGCATGAGATAGATAGTGCCAATATATAGCGGCGACAGCAGCCGCTTCAATGTATGGAGTCCTCCGCAGTCTGATGGGCCCGACGTGGTGATGACAAACTTCGGCCTTCGCTCGCACCGAAAATGCCGACGGACGGAGGTCGGAAGATAGAGTGCCGATTGTAAGTATACGTATGAACCCGCTGTTTAAATGCTCTACTCTGGTATAAGACTAGGTGTAGAGAATCGGATTCGAACGGCGTTTTCGTATCAATCAGCGTGTAAGCGGCGAGGTCGGATCAGTGGCCAGCCGGTCTTCACCCGCGGCGATGTCCTAGCAAGCAACGAGATGTCAAGCTACGAAGGATGTACGAAAGAGGAAGGAGAGACTGTATGCTAATGGATCCAGAAACAGCGATTCCAAGAGGTTGTTTATCCAGCGATGCCAAAGGGGTTGCTCGGGATTTGGCCCAAAAGGGTCAGGCCTAATAAGGATGACCGAGCCTGTCGAAGCTGCCTGAGGCACCCGCTGTGACACGGCGATTATATCAGATGAGTAGCCTAAGCCCTTCTCAAGAGGTTGGACGTTCAGCTACCCAGAGTCGGTGGTAGCATCGAAAAGATGCATTTCTTTTCTGTGTTTTCCCTATGTTTTCCACTTTTCATATACAGATCAATCGAAATAAAACAAAGGAAACCAAAAGGCATGACAATCAATGTTAGTACAACAATTTCGGAAACCCCTGTACCATAACAATCATAATTGAAAGGCGCCTAGATGAACAGCTGGGCCAAACCCCCAAGTGCCAGAAACGCCATGAAACCAGCAGACTTGAGATCCACAGCTGCCACTGCCCCGTTCGTCTCGGTGGAATCTGCCTGCAAATCCTCAGTCGTAGTCGCAGTTGAAGTCGAAGTCGCACTGGACACCGCAATCACGCTTGTCGCCACAGTGACAGTAGCAGTGGCATTCGCATTGGTGTTGCACCAGGCCTGGCCTGCTTCGGAGCCCTAGATTAGGCACTCGGCAAGGTCTCCGACAGTTTGATCTTGGGCGAGACAGTAGTGGTCGCAGTTTGAGTAGGAGATGACTGGGGCCGAGCCGCAGCAGGTGGTCATAAGATCGAGGTAGGTGCTGTTACTGTTGGGCATGGCGCATGCGGCATCCGTGGTAGGGATGTCATAGAGTTTGGCATGGCAGGTCGATGATGCAGAGGCAGCTGATCCGGTGGCTGTTGTGGTAGTAGACATAGCGAGTGGATGTTTTGACCAGACGATAGATAAAGAGGGATAGAGGTTGGATGTAAACTTTGGAATCCTGTTCAAACGAGTAAGGAGCCGGGTTGAACTGGTACTTATATGTGGGATATAATTTATTAAAAAGTACATTCATCGAGCTGAATCCGTCTATCATTGATCCTCTGCATATCTGCTTTAGGGTAAAGATTGCGCCTACAGGGCGTATGTCCAAAATTAGTTCTGATGTAGGTGCCACATTGATCCAGCTTTTTGTGGGCTGTCCAGCTCCATACCAGCTCACCCTGGATTAGGAGGCCCAGGTACGAGAGTATCTCTATTGGCCATGGCTGCAAGGCCCGCTGGTGGGTATTCCAATTCAAGATAATCGCTCCACTTCGCTTAGATTAGGAAGCCTTATCTGGTTGCTGTAGGCACCTTCATGGCCGGATATCGAAATAAATGGGAATGAGATCTACTTGTAGCTGACGCTTGCTATTTGTAGGTTTACTGCCTACTCCGGTTTGGAGAGAACTGATTGAGATCCTGGCAAATGTCACGTACAGCCTATAGGTACTCGGGCGAATGAACATCACGTTGCTTACCGGTTAATGTATAGTCCGGATCGGCCTAATGCATAGACATGATAGTTAGTCCCGGCTTCCCGCGAGGTGTAGTTAACAGCCGGGATGACCTACGGGCCGTCGATCGGTAGACATCAACTCGTTCCGACGGATCAAGGTCGGCTACGTTCTATTTTCAGGGCCGGTAACCGTCAACGTGCCCTGAATCGGAAACAGGCCGTAGAGCAGTTGTGGCTTCGCTGGATATGACTCGGTCCCCACGATGCGTCCCCACAATGAGGGGACATCCACGAGTTACTCTGGGCGAGGACGACGACTGCAAGCGAAAGTACATTGCGCGCTGTCTTTTTCGACGTATCGCTCGTACGATAGACATAGAACCTGGGCCATTTGGATTATATTCTGATGAGCCTCGCCCGTCTAACCTGCTCGTGCCCGCGGCAGAGAATGCAGACTTCAGCGTCGCAGCTGTGGTTGACTGGGGGTTCGCATATGTCGCACCGAATGAGTTTACCTACGCTGCACCCTGGACTTTAATCTCCGACTCACTCGAGGAATGGAGACCAAAGCGGCCTCAATTCGTGTCACGCTATATTCCCTACCTCAACCTATTCCTCCGCATCCTCAGCGCCTGCGAAGAGCGGTTGGATGAACATATGGTATTCAATGAATATGTGGAGCTGTAGCCTCATCAAGAGAATAGGTTTTAGTAGGGATATAAAGAGACTAAGTACAAGTCGCAACCGCTCAGTAGTATGTATACAATCATAAAAAGTTCATAACAGTAGAACCGTAAAGCCCACACATTGCGACATAGAAAACACATTGGCTAATTCACAGGTCAATAAATGACTAGATCAACAGACAGGCCTCCCGTCTTTCTATTCAGAATTCCACATGACTACTCCGTTCTCATTAGCCCAACCCTGAATCCTCAGCATCTCCTCATAAGCCCCGTTCCTCCCCAATTCGTCAACCAATCTGCCGTATTCCTCCTCCGTGTACTGATGATTGGGCCCCTCATGGACATGCAGCTGGGACTGGGGCACAAAACTGTCGCCAGTGCCTAGGGAAACCAGCCCTTCTTTCTCGAGTTTCTTCAAAACGGCAATGACGTACCGTTGGCAGTGCTGCGGCTCAACGTCCCAGCAAGCCTGGCGGAATTTCTTCATGTCGGACTCCCTGATGCTGCAGATCCGGTCCCTCCGTAAGATTTTGTAATGGTCGAAGCGCTTCATCGGCTCGGTATACCGAGAGTATCTGGGCCAGGCGAGCCACTCGTGGTTCGAATGGTAGAAGGTACAGTAGTCGTCGCCCGGGATGACAATCATCATGACCCAGTGCTCGGGCTGGTCTTTTCTGTCTGTCATTCCCACGTAGAGGTCGTAGGAATCCTCTGCTGGCTCGGGGGTCTTTCGTTTCTCCTCTGAGGACACGGAGAATGAATCGATTAGGTCTTCGTCATTGTCTAGGGACTTCTCGCTTTTTCTTGGAGTCGACTCGTAAGGTCCAAGTAGATCTTCTATGAGATCCGGTGTCTTTTCCTTTCCTCCCGATGACACCGACGAAAACTCCATAAGGTCCTCCATAGGATCTAGGCTGCTTGCTTGCTCAGCCGAAGACAGTGTTCTTTCCGACTTCTAGCTTCTACTGACTCGGTACTATGTCGCTGGGAAGAGGCGGTAAATAGTTCTACTTCTACGGAGAAACATTCGAAGGGACTAATATTCCATTCCTAAATACACGGAATAGACAAACTAAGAGTTACTTCTCTTTCGAACACGTCTTTGTCTTTGTTTGTTGCCAGCTCAACGTCTCTTCGTGGTTGGACCAACTCCAGACGGGGATTCGGGTGGTCCTTTCAGCATCGTGTTTCGAGTAGTCGACGCCCTTTGACGAGATATATTTAGTATCCACTGAAAGACAATTGTAGACCAGAAATATCACCGTGCGAAGGGTGCTGCTAAGAACCTAAATATGTATGACTAGCGCGGACGAGGCGCTCCTCTCGCAGACAGGAGCTGTAGATGTGCTCCGAAAGCACTCGTCCGGCATCCCAACTTTCTCTATACAAATGGTAATTTTTCCAAGTATTGTATAAGGTGGCACAAGGCATAAATTGTGAGAAATCATGGTCTCGTTACCGCGTTGGAGAGCCACAGCGGGCGAACCTCGAGGTACATCATATTGCGCTCTTGGGCGTGTCGTAGCTGCCGGGTTGCGCTTGACCAAATGCGTCTTCTAGAGCTAGAGCTATAGTAAGATAGCCTTCACGCTTATACCTATTCCTAGTTAGTTGTTTTTGCGCAATAGGGATGGGTCGTGAGCGCATCCCCAACCCCAATCACGCAAGCGCTTTCTCGGTCCCGCAGGAGCGGCTCACACAAGACCAGAATAAACCTCAGCTACGCCTGATAATAAAAGTTAATACCTCTGACGACTAGCAGATTTTGGATTTTGTTTTCGATTTTATTCCTTCATCATGTCATTTGTCTTCTCGCAGACGCGCGAATTCGAGGCTGCCAACAAGAAGTATGCAGCGTCGTTTAGCAAAGGCGATCTTGCGCTGCCACCAGCTCGGTAATTGCCTACACGTCGGTAGATCAGACTCACGTTTGTTCTAATCATGGCCCCGCAGGAAGGTCGCAGTGGTAGCTTGTATGGATGCTCGGCTCGGTTCGTGCCCTATGTCTACAGGACAATAATGGATGGTATTTACTAATTTATTATTTAGATCCGGCCAAAGTACTGGGCCTGGAGGAAGGAGACGCTCATGTGATCCGCAACGCGGGAGGGCGAGCCATCGATGCAATTCGCAGTTTGGTCATCTCGCAGCAGCTGCTAGGAACGAGGGAGATCGTACTGATACACCACGTATGTATTTCCTAGGACTACTCTTCAAGAGAGGGACCGTGTGGAGTAAGAATGTGAAGGAAAGCCGAAGCTGATAAGTCCACACAGACGGATTGCGGAATGTTGACCTTCACGGACGAGGTCATCCGGGAGAAAATCAGGTCGGACTTGGGTCAGGATGCGGATCACATTGCGTTTTTACCTTTCACCGACTCGGAGAAGAGTGTGTTGGATGATATCAAGCTGCTTCAGGAACACAGGCTGATTCTGGATGTTCCGATTACGGGGTACATCTACCACGTGGAGAGTGGAAAAATTAGCAAGGTGCAGAGGGTTTAGACTTCAAGTCGGTGATTTTTAGAGCGCAAGTTACCGGGGGCTGAGGAGTTGAATTGATGATATAGAAGTCAAATGAATGAGTTAAAGCCACCCGTGATCATGCCTGGATTCTTTAAGATTGTTCGTCTCATCAACGCGTATTACCAACTTTCGACCCGAGATTTCCTTGTTCCGCAGCTTCAGCAGCCCAGTGTTTACTGCTTGGAATCGCCCAGAGAGGATGGAGATTTGTGGTGGTTTCAGGCGACCGTCTCCCAGATATGCTGTAAGATCTTGTAGTAGATGACGGCCAAATGTCGGCTCATTGTGGAACAGTTTGACCTTAGCGGTTGGAATCATAATTGTGCTAAAGACAGGGCCCTCTACCACGTCCTTTGGCAGACCGGCGAGGACGACTAGAACGGACGATGGCTGGCCAGCCTCTTTGGATAGAGCCCTTGCACAGAGCCTCGCTGTTGTCGGTCCAACTGCATCAAATGCAAGCCGCAGCCCCGCGTGCGTGATTTCTCGAATACGACGCAGTGCTTCATCCGGGTCATTGCGATCGAGGACAACATCAGCACCGGCCTGTCACAGGTACTCAAAGTTGACAGGCGACGCAACCGTGATGACTGTAAGACCATATATTTTCGCAAGCTGGATGGCCATATATCCCGTGCTTGTCGCCCCTCCCCAGATTAACAGACACCGGCGCTCTCCAGCTGAAATCGAACATGGAAAGCTTGGTCCGATCCCCATGTACCGCTGGAGTGATATGGCGGCAGTAATCGCAGCAACTGGCACAGCAGCTGCGGACTCGAAGCTCATACCGGACGGGATCCTCGCAACGGAACTGGCAGTAGCGATGAAAAATTCCTGATAGCTTCCAGAATGCGACTTTGTATACTCGGTCAACGTAAACACGGCGTCACCGACCACAGGCTCGACACATTGTCGCCAACTGCCTCAATTACCCCTGAGGCATTGCGTCCGTTTACCCAGGGGAGTGAGGTGATGCCGAAACTGTAGGCTTTGCTCTGCCAGTCGACAGGATTTAGTGAGACGGCCACGCAGCGGATGAGCACTTGATCAGGACCAGGGATTGGAACTGGATGATATGGTTCGAGAGTGTAGTCTGTGCCAATGGCTTTGATAAGTAAAGCTTTGGCGAGGGTTGGTGTCCGAGGTTTTCGCGCGTATAGTGACATTCTTCATGATCTCTTATGAACGGAGTTGATCTAGACCATCTACGTACAGTTGTTTAAGGCGTTCATACTGGCAGGCCGCGTCCCATGTTATCATTACGATGAAAAGCACGTTATCCAATCTAGATCCTTTGGTATCCCCAACTCTGCCCGCAGTGGAGACTGTTGGAGACTTTTACCGCGTAGACATTAATTAAACTACCCCAACAGCACTAGATCTGACTCGGTCATCCAGGCCCAAATTGCTCAAGTATACCAACTCGGCTCCGGAACTTCGCCCAGCAACGCCCACGAGCCCACCTCACGGAACTTGTACGCAACCGGGTCATGTAAACTGTGGACTCGTGTATTCCTCCAGAATCGGTCGAAGCCGTACTGACTCAGACTTGCCCTCGCCCCAACGAGCTCGAAGATTTTGGTGCTGGTCTCCAGTGCCGCTTCAATCGCCTGCGCTTTTGATGCCGCTACCTCTGCAACAGGGTTAGACCAGACTAGAGTGGAGCAGGTTGTTTGACGACAACTTACGAACAGCGATCTCGCCACGTGCAGCCTGCGTAAGTGCAGCTCGTGGTGCGTGAATGGCCTCCGAGACTCGCTCAGCTGTGCGGTCAATCAGGGCTGATGCAGCCCAGATCTTTGCTTGGAGTCTTCCATATCCCTCCAGAATGTACTATTCTCGGACATGATGTTAGACGTTGTCATTGTGCGGATAAAGAGAACCTACCCATTCTTCGGTAGCGTTATTCTTGTTGTCTCCCCCATATGGCCATGCGCGTGTTTTTGTCCGCGTATACTCCGCCGCTGTCTCAAGTGCTCCAATTGCAGCGCCGATATGAACAGCTGCAAACTGGAGTTGGACTGGTGGGAGGATAAAGTCATGGTATGCATCTCTGGGGGTCAATTGCTTGTCGACGAACCCTGCGGCTTCGGACCAGGGGACCTTGACATTCTGGATTACGCAGCCTCCGGATTCCTGAAGAGTCAGATTATGCATTTCAGTCATAGAGAGCCACGTGGGAATGCAGGGGGATTCCCGAACTTACAGTGAGCCTCTGCCCAATGACATCCCAGTCCCCCTTGAAAGATATTCCCGGCTGTTTGGTTGGCACGTAAGCGAAGACATGGGTCCCATCCTTCAGCACGCCTTCCAGCACGGTGATGTCGCTTATTACGCCCCCTATGGCGAATGAATGTTAGCCCCTACCGTACGGATGACCATCTTGTCGGATCGGATGCGACGGCTACCTGTGGAGAAGAACTTATCTCCGGTAAACACAAGGTCAAGCCCCGTATCCTCAGCAATCATATCGGCATTGCGTGGATTCACGGCACCCCCGAGATAATAGTTGCCTTCTGTAAACTCTCGAAGCCAGCGCTCAGCTTGCTTGGACGTACCCAGGATTTGGCTGCTCCAGAACCTGGAATCCCACGGTAAGTAAGGATAAAACAATGCGGTGGAGGAGCCGATACCAAGAATAATGATTGCCAACCAAATGCCCAATACTGGCATCCGCCTTTGCAATCTCAGTGGTGACTCTGTAAGAGGTCTGCCAGGTTTCGCCTCCACCGCCGTACTGTCGAGGGCCAAGGAGGTTCACTAGCCCTGCATCCTTGAGGAGCTGTACTTCGGCGAACGGTGGCTTCCCCGCTGCATCACGTTCGACAGCGTCGATCTTGAGAATTGCGGCCGCCTCAGACGCGCGCTTCACCCATTCGGCGGCGCCTTTGGGCTTTGGGGCAGCTTTCCAGCGGAGGGAGGCGGCGGCGCGTGCCTGTTCGGCCTTGAATGTTTGGATTGCCATGCTTCAAACTGTAAGAGAACGGTTGAATGTGTAAGAAAACAGGCGAGTCTGGAGGCCAATGTACCAGTCAATTTAAGCCTGTCTTAAAAATGCGCGGATTAGACAGTTTCCGGCGGAGGTTAACCCGGGTGAGTGTTCAGACAGCGCCTGACTCGCAGCTCGAGAAGAACTCCACAAACCCAGTGTTCCGGAAAAGCCGGCGAGTCAGTCGTCTTGAATTGACGAATGAAGGGTGCAGCGGTTGGAGTTGAAGCATGTCGCAACTTTAGCCCTGGTTATGCCACCGGCCCTACAATGGCGTGCTGCGATAGCAGCTGTCACTCACCTGGATGAGGATAAGACTCTCAGGCGTCCGACAAATATGGCGATGTTCTGGAGCAGAGAGAAAAGAAGGACCGAAACTCAGTGGTGACAGGAATTGCTCACTCATCATGGCGTCCGACGCGCTTTTCCCCATTTTCTCGCAGGGGGTCGGGTACGGAATCGTGATAGGGCTGGGTGAGTCTGCATACCTCTTTCAACGCAAAGAGATAGGACCTGCTAACGAGTGACTTAGGCGCCGTGTTCGCAATCCTCATGAGTCTTACAACTTTTGCCTTGAAAAAATACATGTCCGAAGTCCAGGACTCCGAGATGTATCTAACAGCGAAACGCTCCGTTCGATCTGGACTCATCGCATCCTCTGTCGTCTCCTCGTGGACTCTGAGCGCAACTCTGCTCTCAACTACTAACTTCGGCTATCTATACGGCATTGCTGCGACTTTCTGGTTTGGCGCAGGTTGCTCGGTCCCCATCTTGACCTTTGCTGTCTTGGCCATCGAGCTGAAGCGTAAGGCCCCTAATGCGCATACATTCTTGGAATTGGTTAAGCACCGGTATGGGGCGCCGGGGCATATTGTCCTCGCAATCTATTCACTCATTTACCAAATCTTTATCTCGGTCAATTTGCTCGTGGGTGGTGCGGCTGTCTTCCATTTGACGACCGGCATGCATCAGGTGGCAGTGTGCTTTTTGTTTCCACTGGGAGTCAGTGTTTATACATTCGTTGGAGGTATAAAGGCTACTTTTCTAACCGAGTGGGGTGCGTACTATTCCCTTTCGCCGGTGAAGGTTTTCCACTGACTAGATCATAGTCCACACGGTCATTCTGTTCATCATCATGCTCGTCTCAATGTTCGTCATGTACGCGACCTCGTCCCATGTCGGTTCGCCAGGCAGAATGTGGGAGCTGTTGAGGGCTGCGTCCGAGATTCGGCCTGTGGAGGGCAATGCCGAGGGCCAGCTGCTCACAATGAAGAGCGTCTATGGCGGACTTGTTGGGCTGACCTTCCTCGGCGGTGGGTTCTCTGCAACGGTGGATTCACAGTACGTCTATACTTGTTGATTATTTGGGTCTCCTCTAATCAGCCACTCTTAGACTGTTTCAGAAAGCGATTGCTGCAGACCCTAAGTCCACGGTTGCCGGGTACCTCTTGGGGGCTCTGTGCTGGGTGAGCTGCCTATATGTGGTTTTTGGGCGTGGGTACTGACAGTGTAGTTCACCATTCCATTCTGTATCGCAACAACATTCGGTCTCGGCGCTGCAGCCCTCGAGAATACTCCGGCATGGTACGTATAATCGGCAAACGCAACACTGAGCCACTTCTAACACTCTCAGGCCGACATACCCAGAGCTCATGTCCGCCGACACCATCGCCAACGCGCTCCAAATGCCGTACGTGGCTTACGCAATCCTCGGCAAAGGTGGTGTTGTCGCTGTTCTCCTCATGCTCTTCCAGGCGATTACAAGTGCCCTTAGTTCCGAAACAGTCGCCGTAACCAGTCTCGTCACATATGACTTCTACAGAGCGTATATCAAGCCCTCTGCTACTGGAAAGGAGCTTATATTCGTCTCGCACGTTGCTGTGGTCGTGTACAGTATACTCGTTGCGCTCGTGGCGGTGGGTCTTTGCTACGCTCATTTCTCGGTCAGCTTTATCGTTACGGCGATCGGTATTATTATCGATGGTGAGTGTGTTACTTGACAGCTGCCTGGCTGAGATATACTGACATTCTCTAGGAGCGGTAATCCCCAGCGCATGCACCTTGTTTTGGCGGAAACAGAGCAAATATGCCGTCACACTCGTGCCAATTCTCAGCTCCATCGCTAGTATAGGGACCTGGATCGGGGTCGCGTACCGGCGAGAGGGCGTCGTCAGTGTGGCGACGTTGTCTGGATTCTATCCCTGCGTGGCGGGCAACATGCTGGCCTTGACGGCTCCGATCGTCCTCACCCCACTGGTTACTTACCTCAAGCCCGAGAACTACGATTTCGCCAAGTTCCGGGAGATTGAGTTGGTCGACGATAGTGCCATCCGGGACGGGGTTTCCGCGAAGCCCCCTGCAGGGAGTGAGAAAAGGAACGATATCTCTGAAGCTGAACCGGGTACGAGTTCAACGCAGGAACAAGAGCGCGCCGACCTGCTAAGGGCACGGAATATTGCCCTTGGAGCTGCGTTGTTTATTGCAATCTCCATGACCATTCTCTGGCCGATTCCCATGTATGGGACTGGATACATATTCTCCAAGGGATTCTTTACTGGGTGGATTGTTTTTACGTTCATCTGGGGATTCTTTGGGGCTGTTACCATTACTTGCTTTCCGCTTTGGCAGAGTCGGCGACAGATTGTTGCATTCCTTACGGCTGTTTTTGGTGGGTTGAGTAACCGGAAGCAAGAAGAGGTAATCTGAATGGTAGCTTTAAATAGTATATGTGGTTTGATTCTGCTATACAAGTGACAAGAAGCTAATCCCATGGGTCCACCTCATACCACAGCTCCCTCAGCCGCCGCATCTCGCGCGCGTTGGCCTCGCGATTCTTCTGCTCAATATCCGCGCGCTCCTTGTACGCCGCAGTAATCAAATTTTGCTGTTTTGTAAGATGCTCTAGCTCGGCCTTTCGCCTCTCGCGCTCATACCTAGTGAACTGCGCCAAAGCATCGTCGTTCAGGCTGTGATAGCCTAGGCCGAGCTGTTGAGCTAGATTCTGAATGTGTGCGAGCTCCGCGGAATGTCGACTGGCCACCATCTTCAAATGGCGTGCTTCTGCTTCTTTCTCTACTTTTGATCGTTGCTTGGATATTTCCTTTTCGTTCTTGAGGAGGAGCTCGTGTTGGGCGGCGATGGCAGCCTGTGCAGTCTCGGACTGCTCGCGGATCCGTGTCAGCATGCGTTCGTGATCCTTCTTCTCGGCCAATATTCGAGCAATTTCCTCAGGCGGATTGATAAAATCTGGCGGTTGCGAGTTTCCCTCGAGTGCCCAGAACCGGTCCTTGCACCCGAATTGCTTGAGCAGTTTTAGGAGGGATTCGCGATAAACCAGGGCAGACGCCTTGTTGCGACCTTTGGATACATACGCAAGAGGAGAGTATGTCAGTCCGTCTTGCTCGTATAGATTGAACTCCTCGTTGATATAGTCTCCCATGCCACTGTCAAGGAGCGCCTGTGTCATGGCTGTCGCATTGCGCTGATTGTCGAGTGCATAATGGAGGGCTGACTTTCCATTTGACCTCTTCTTGAAGTTGCGCAAATCTCCAAGGAGAGTCATTGCCCGCACAAGCTCACTTTGTGGCTTGGTCGCGTCGCCCTTGAGGCAGAGCTCGGCTAACGCGGTTCGGCCGTCGCAGCCCGAGTATGCATAGTCCCTTGTATTCCCTTCAATGAGGAGGATTGACATAATCTCGATATTGACCTCTCTAGCGGCGTAGTGGAGCGCACCGTCGTTTACTATTGGGCTCGCCAGCAGAATAAGACGGACGATGGCCGCATTCTCCGTTGTGACGGCAAGGTGAAGCAGTGATTTGGGTGAGTTTATCCCGTATAAGACGGTGGGGTCTGCTCCATGGCGCAGCAGACTGGCAACGGCCTGATGCCGTGACGTGGAAATGGCGATCCCAAGAGGTGTATGGCCCGATGTCGTCTTGTAGTTTGCGTCCGCTGAGAGCGTGTAAGGATCTTCATTCTACAAACATCTGAACTGGCTTTTGTACTTACCTCCAGAAGCAAGTAGAGTATTGATAATCTCGTCGCCTATTTTACTCTTGCTCTCGGCGAGGGCCCAGCATAATAACGACAAATACGTTCCCCGGCTAGTTTCTACTGGTGTATCGGCACGACAGCCTGCGTCAATCATAAATTTGAGAAGAGCCTGCTCCGTGGGATAGTTGTCGAGCAGTAGATGCAGGACGGGCTTCGACGACGCCCCGAGATCTGGTTTAGCTGAATGGGAGCAGAAGGCGTGCACCATGTCAGTCAGCGTTTGGCCGTTGACTCCTGACTTGAATATATTTGGGAATGCACGCGTCATATTCTTCTGGGTAGGGGAAGCAGTGAAAAGTTCCGTGAGAAGACGAGCATTCCCCTTCGCCGCCGCCTTGACAAGGCTGGCGCCGTGATCGTAATTGACATCAGCGCCCGCGTCTAGAAGATCCAGAATAAGCTGCAGAGAGTTTGTCGAGGAATCAAAAGTCTCGATTGTGTCGACAAGGGCAATATTGAGCGATTTGCCTGTTGCACCTGCCTTGAGCAGCAGACATAGAGCCGCTTCCTGAGACTCCGCCCGTGCTCCTTGCGTCCATGCGGACTTGAAGACTCGAGAGACAATAGCCCGTTGGTTGATGAAGTGGGGTTGTAGGATTTCCAGTGAGTTGATATCGTTTTTCATCACCGCATGCAGGATGCATTCCCCATTGTTGTGTAGGGCTGACGCATTCGCTCGAAGCACTGATCTAAGTAGGTACGGATCTGTCGGATCCTCTCGCACCTAAGTGGTATAAGGTTAGTCATAGTTAGCTCCCTGGGCTACTTGACGGGGGCACTCACAGCTTTCAGAAGCAGCTCATTCACCGCTTCCTGTGGCTTTGCAGACGTAAGAAGCAGGTTGATGGCCGCGAGCCGCTCCTGCCCTGTGAGTGCATCAAATGCGCAATCCAAAGACGCTGCAATAGCCTCGATCGACGGTTTAGACCCGAGAAACAACTCTATGACGCTCGCGTGATAATGACGAGACTTGATGGCCTGGCATAATGCAGCCCCTTTGTCGTGGCTTGTGGATGCGCCATGCTCCAGCAAAAGCTTGGAAAGTCCTTTCATTTTCTCGCCCTTTTTCGCAGATAGAATCAAGGCTCTGTTGAGCAAGTCGTTTGGCGTTTCAAAGTTCAACAATTCCGTGATATAACGCAGATCGGCTGTGCTGACTACATACACGCATGCTTCGATAAACACCGATTCGTGGGTTTGGGCAGATAGTGGCCGACAAAGATACAATTTGAAAGCCTCCAAGAGCCCCTGATCTATGGAATCGCATAAAGCTTGGCCATTGTTGTAGTTGACATCGGCCCCTGCGTCGAGAAGGAGACGGAGCACGACTGAGGATTCTTCGCCGTCTTGCTGGAGACACACCATCTCCTGTTTCAGAGCGGTATACCAATGCTCGGCCGACATGTTCACCTCAGCGGATAGTAAAAGCTCAAGTTTCTTTAGTCGCATCTCGTCCCGCGGCAGAGTGATAGCAAGTACAAGACACGAGCAAAACTCGGACTCGGCGAGCTGATTGAACTGCACCAGAAGCTGAAGGAACTCGAGACCCTGGCACTTGATTGCCTTGGTAAAAGCCTCTCCTTGGTTGAACGCCGTGTTTGCGACCCCCGTTGTCAGCAACAGCTCTGCGACTGCTAGTGATGAAGCGCGGCTTTCATCGATGCTGTCGACAAGGGCCTGGGCTACTATAGGGCCGCCTCGCACACCGTGGTCGAGCAGAGTCTGCAGTATCTTGTATTGTCGTCGCTCGTCGAGGTCCAAGGTGAGGGGGATGCAGGAAAAGGCAATGGTAATGGAGAATTCGCCGCGAAGGAGAATCTGCAGAGTCTCGAGGTCCCCATCTCGGACCACCTCACGGATGAAAAACCCCTCCCTCTGCCCGACATCCGCTCCCCCATCGATGAGAATCTCGATCAACTGGTGGTCGCGCTGACAGATTGGCGTGGTAAGGGCGAAGGCCAGAACCTCGTCGACGGCGGGCCCGGTTGCTCCGGCCTCGAGGAGCTGGCGCGTTATATCCAGCTGAATGCCTTGAGGAAGCTGGGTAACGCTCGAAAAAGCTGTATTGAGCGTCTCAATCTTGGGCTGGTGGGCAAGAATTGTCATAATGTAATCCATCTCCCCGGATTTCACTGCAATACCAAGTGCACGGCCATCGTTGTAATCCACCGACGCCCCGTATACCAAAAGTAGCTTGACGCTTTTGAGATCCCGGACACTGACTCGATTGATCAATGCCTCGTGAACTACATCACCAGCAGCTCCTTGGCCTAGGAGAAGCGTAGCAAGCTTCCACCAGTCCTGTGGTGGTATCCCTGCACCGTGCTGCGTCGTGTGAATCAACCCGAAAATGTCCGTTGCTAGGTCTGCTCCGAGTTTATCTTTGTCCAGTATCTGAAGCATCTCATAATCAACCGCGTGGACCGCGTTTCGATAGGCTTGGCCATTGCAACAACTAATGCGCGTCCCTTTGTCCATCAGCAGCTGGACCATTTCTCCCCACCGCTGCTCAACAGCACCGGATAAAACGGCATCAACCTCATTTCCGCAGGCCCCGCCATTCAATAAAAGCTCAATGAGTTGGCCCTGCTGCCCAGCAAATATGACAGGCTCTGACCAGACATACGATACCATGGAAGCTAACGTTGCTTCAGCTGGAGGGCTCGCGCACAGGAGGAACATGATGATGATATCAGAGCGGCTGACCTCAATCGCGTGCTTTAGCGCAAGTCCTTTATTGAAGTCAGCATCGGCTCCATGAGCGAGGAGTAGTTGGATCATCTCGACATTGCCGAGCTCGACGGCCACCGGCAGCGCATTTGTGGTGATTGCATTCGAGACAGCTTTCTGAGATCGGAGTAGAAGACGGATCAAGTCCAGCTTATTTTCATGGACACACATGGCGAAGTCTTCCGAGCATGTGTTTGTATCAGCGCCTTCTTCCATAAGGATTTGCACGGCTTTCGTGTTGTCCATTTGGGTCGCCCTTGGAAGAGCGCTGCTCACAACTGCGTGGAGGCCAGCAGCGCGCGTGAAAGACGCCAAAACGCGAATTTGATCCAGCTGATCATGAGTCAAAGCCGTCATCATTAGACTCTCTGTCACAGAAGACATCTCATCGTCGGTGACTGACTTTCGCAGCTTGAGCGACCTTCGCCGGGCCCTTTTCGGGCGATGGTCATTGAGGTACTTCAAAACACAGCCGACGACGCCAACTGAGGCCGAGCTTGAGCCCACGACTCGATTCAGGACACTCTCGTAGTCCTCGAATGCCCATTTCTCGGGCTTGCCCTTTCCTCCGGTCGTCAGTGTTTTTACCTCGCCATTCCTCCGTCCTTCTGACGCTTGAGTCAGGAGGAGGACAGCCTCGTCGTGTTCGGATTGAGACCATGTTGCCGAATATGTTGAATACAGTGGTTTTAGGGGTTCTTTTTCAGGAGGTGCACCTCCGAGGTCGTGGAGTTGGGCGCGAAGCCATTCCACGTCTCTGCCGCTTTGTGGCATTGCGACGGCTTCCAAGTGTCGACATTGTCAACCTTTGGCTTGGTAAACTGCAGTCGAACAGGCTTATTTTGGACATTTTGAGGAGAGTCGAAAAGATTCCGAATTCTCCCCCACCAAGAATAACTCAGCCTTACACTTGCATGACCTAGCGCTCAGCTACAGGGCTATTCTTGGGGTATTTGCTGGTACACTGTATTTTTCAGCCTTGTCGACTTCCTAATGCGGAACGGTTAACGCCACCAAGTTTGAGGCGTCCAACCAGACCCTGAATGTGTTTGCACGAGTGGACAGGAGTGTGCCAGGTTACTAGACTCGCATGGAATTTCCCCAGCCCCAATGCTGCGGCCTACTTGAAGACAATTCAGGCGACCATAGCCTCATTCCGAAATTCGGATGGATCGGATCATCATCAAATCAATTGTCTACAAACTCGTTCAACTCTTTGACAGAGGAAAAAAGGGAAACATCCTCCAGTTAGACCTTCTTCCCTGCCAACGCCTTCTCAAAAATTGCAAAATTCCCCTCGTTCTTTGGATCGTAGACAGCAAAACACACCTCGCGCCACCAGTTCCCCCGAAACTCCGCCTCCCTCAGCACCTCCAGCCAGCAATTTGCGACCTCGTCGGGCGGATTCGCGTAGACACCACAGCCGAGTGCTCCGAGGACCAGCATCCCGTGCCCGTTGGTTGCTGCGATGCGTAGCGCTAGCCTCATCTTCGCCTTGGTGAGGTTGCGATCTCTGTCGCGCGCAAAGACTTGGTGTGTTCTGCGGCGCGAGGGAGCGGGTGAGGCGGGGGGTAAATGGGAGCTGGGGTGCGAGCGTGAGGCATGGCCCAGGATCCCCCGCTGTCGCGGGGGATTCGGTTGACTCAGAACTAGCGTGCGAAGTGCGGGCCGGTAGAGGGCAGCGATGGTGATGGCGCTGACGACGGGGAGGTTCTCGGGCGGATTTGCTGGTGAGACGAGCAGGTTGTGGCCAGAGGCCAGGTCCCCCCGCATGACAAGCACGTAGGGGCTGTAAATTGCATCGTCCAGGGCGAGCGGGTAGTCCCTCCGGTGGAGGCTGAGCGCCAGTGAGCTCCGATAGCAGATGGATTCCTCTTGGGCCATGGCGCCGTTGAGCCAGCCCCCGCCTGGCTTCTTGTGGCTGGCAAAGTTGATGATTATTGGGCGCGGGTTCGTGTGCGAAGCGCTGTGGCTGTGAGCCAGTCTGACTGCGACGTTGAGGGTATCATCGTTGATGACTCTGATCGTGGCTGGTGTGGGAAAATGCGGACAGTCGTTGGGGTGGAGGGTACGGAGGGAGTTGAACGCCAGTTTCTCCGAGTGACGGGCGTCGCTGGCCCGGTTGAGGTGAGTTAGGAGCCCCGGGAGGACATCCTGGGTCTCGTCTGCTGTCTGTCTGAGTGCTTCCCTTCTGCGCAAGGCTTCATCGTCTTCGCGGGGCCGATGCTGGCGATGTTGGCTGTGACGGCTGTGATGGCGATGAGGTCCTGAGGAGGACCTCGCGGATTGAGCCTGCGGCCGAAATGCGTCGACTAGATCCCAGAGCATCGACATTTGGCAGAGCATATGCTGTATGGACTCTAGGTGATTCGATCTGGGAAAGAGGAAATCGGCGATATCTTGTATCCGTGAGATGGTCAGGTCGATCCGATCGGGCGGCCAAGCTTGTTACGTGGCGCAGGCCACGCGTTTTGGTCTCACGGCCTAAGGTCAGCCTATCCTGTCTGAAAATTGCAAATTGCCTGTTCGTCAGACTCAGGGTCTGTATTGTGCCAGGTCGTCTGTTTATTAAGTAGTCCTGGAGGTCCCGTTTTCTCTCGACGAGCTGCTACATCCGGCGAGGCAAGAGCAGCCGATACAACAACAACATGGTAGGAGCCATATTGAGACCATCCAGGATCTCGTTGCCTCTCTCTAATTTCGGTTACTGTAGGAACTGATCGAACTCGACAGCAGCAGCCGCTTCCACAAAAAGGGTAAGTACGGTGTACCCCATCGCATCCTGTCCGAAGGTCTAATATCTCAGTCTCGTGGATGTTCTCGCGCGAATGGAAACACCCAAACACAAAAGGAAAGCTCGTGTCCATCTATGTCATGTATGTACCTCGTCACAGTGGCCGACCAAGAGAGTCATGATACTGATACACAGCCTCTGCTGCCAGAAAGAACGCCAAAGACCCGAAACTCAAGCTTCGATTCCACGGAACACAGCGCGCCTGCAGAATCGGCGCAGGCTCTCTTGACCCGTGCGACAATGACGAATGCTACGTCTGCGGCATTCTCAAAAAGGGCTTTACACTCGATCATGCCAGTGAGTAACGAGGCAGCATGTTCAGGCTTACAACATGGTTCTCATATCTCCAGACCTACGAGCGATGTTCGGACCTGGGATATACTCTACTGTGGTCTCATCCAGTAAGTATCCTTCTCCAGGCTCTTTCTTTCTCATAGGGTCAGGATCACTAACCATCACTGGTTCAGAAGCAGACATCTACGCCAAAAACCACCACGTCCGTTCCCACAAGCATGTCATCCTCCTCTGCGGACTTGATCTTGGTACTCCCGTAACAATGTACGCTGCAGGTCTTCCAGGCCCCTGCGATTCGGTATGGCCTTTGTCGAGTCCATGTCGATACCAGTTGGCTGACCAAACTGTCCAGGTTGAAGGGGCTACCAAGGCAGAGGGCGGGGCGCTTGAGTATCGAGAAACAGTCGTCTACGACCCAGCGAGAATCAAACCGATCGGTCTAGTCGTGTATACGCGAGAAGGTTGGACGCCGCGTTGAGTTCAAGAATGTTGTTTCTCACTTGTTCAGTTTTGTTGCGATACCTAAAGAAGCGTGGATATATTAGCATCATTTCAATTTTTATGCCAGAGTCGGTGCGCGTAGGCGCCATGGAAGCGTACTTGCTTGCCTCCATTTCTCGCAGTAATTTTCAAATGGTGTTGGTTGCTCGAGTTTGGGGGCGAGGCAGAATCCTTGAGCCTTTGGTGGTATTTTTCATGTCCGAGTCATCACACCCTCCTCTGCCCAACAACGCCGAGCCTGGCTGGGCAGCCTGGGTTTTTCCTCTTCTGGATCGCGGCCTTCACGAGAGCAAACAGTCTCCCCGCCTTCGCCTCAATTATACGGCTACCATGAAGGAATCTGCCTTCTTTCTGACTACTTAATGTAGCGATGGAGTAACTTCGCCTTTATTCCTAGACCAACATTGATATTCTGTGAGACTTGTCACTCGACGCCCAACACAATGGCAAGGTACCTCGCTCGCCTCGATAAGTAACAATCGTGACAAGGCTGACCTGATTAGCGACAAGACGCCTGAAGAACATTCATCTCCAGGTTCACCCGTCGACGAGGACACACCCATGGTCGATTCCGACCCCACCGTCTCCGAACTTGAAGCTCCTACCCAAACCGCGACGATGCCTCTACGCCGGATTATCGAGATAAGGCCTGCCGGAAGCGATTATGATGCGTCCTCGGATACTGAAAGTCGCTCGTCGCAGCGCAGCGAGGGGCCTTCGAGAACAGCGACCAGGCCCCCAACATACGAGGACATCGCACCCACCGCGACCCTTCCGCCACTGTCAGCCGAGATGGTCATGGTATGCATCTAACAGCCCCGTCCTCGTTTTGTGCTATGTACCTTTGGTTAATCGTGCGTCCCCGAAATCAGGAACTGAGCCAGCTAGACGGACATACGCCATTCGCGAAAAAGGGTACGTGGATTCCAGGAGCGTCAGGTTTTCTTTCCCTCCGTTAACCGCCCACCAACCGCTGCAGTCGAGCACCTGTTCTACGACTCGTGGCACGATCAAACCAAAACTCCACACATTGAAGAAATCATCCTGTTCGATATAAAGTCTCCCATGCCTCGCCCAGACGGGCAGCCATCAGCTCCCTTGGCCCCTGCTAGGTACGTATACTTTTGTTGGACTGTAAGACAGTCGTGGAAATAAGAAACTCTAACCTCGAGTCTAGCAACGATGTCGCGCTACTCTCCTCGTTAATCGATATGCCACTCTCGTTCCACGGTGCTCGTCGCGCATGCTATGTTGGAGATGCCGGATACCCGTTGGACTTCTGCCGCAGTAACAAATGCTCGATATGTCTGGTCTTCAGGAACCAGTGTGCCTTCAGAGAAGCTCGTGAGTTACCCAGGCATAGATTCAAAGGAAGCTTCAGGTTCGCTAACTGCCTCACTTGATAGGCGTTGGATTCACATTAGGTCCTAAGATCTTTGCAAGTCCCAGCTCGTCTCGTAAGTCCTATTCTACATTGATGATGCCATGTCTTCTAACCACTACTCGCCGGCTCAAGAAGCTGATGCCTTTGCAACGAATCACCATATCCGCTCAAATAGACACGCCATGATTCTATGCGCATGCCCAAATATAGTGAGTTACCTTGGTGGACGATAACCGCTTTGCTACACATTGACTGACGTGCCGCAGGCGCAAGCAGATACCCAGTCGACGACTCCAGGGGCACCTCCTGCATATTCAGCGACGACTTCCGACTGCGAAGTCGTTGTTCCTATCGGTTTGATTCTGTATACTCGGGCGGGGTGGCATCGATCGTAGCCTTAAGTGTCGGACATCTCGTTGGGTTATATATATTGGGTTCAATCTGCTCGTCACTCTTTCCCCTGTGAAATATATACAGTCAAGTTGCCGGAAATTGCTCGGAAGCTGCTAGATTCGACCTAGATCTCCATATGCATATGGATATCCAAGTTCTGAATCGACCACTTTGTCCAATCTGCGGACTCTCAATCTTCGAAGATCGGGGCAAACTGACTGGTGTGGACGCAAAATAATTGTAATGACCAGGCATTTGTTGGCACCACCTTATATGGTATACCATCTAAAGTTCTTCAACAAGGCCTGCTGGCCCAATGGCAAGGCGCTTGACTACGAATCAAGAGATTGCAGGTTCGATCCCTGCGTAGGTCATTACTTTTTGCACTTTTTGACGGTGATTTCGGTGGGTTTGATGCGGTGGATGTGAAGTTTTTGCTGTGGTGGGTCGAAAGTGCCCTCCGATTCGCCACTGGCACCAGGCTCTGTCCGTCGCCCCGTCGACTCCGTTCAAGCACTCAATGTCCCAGGATGTGGACTGTGAGGGACTATTGCCAATGTTTCGGCCATTTGGTCAGGCTTCTGGGGACAGAAAGAAACAAACGCTGACGCGGAAACCTGCCGCCTTATGTGAGCTATTCATTACCACTGAGCCGCCACGGTGTGACTCTGTTTATTGCCCATTGTCCACAACTTGCCAAAAAAGCAGGGAAATTCCGTAATGATAATATATTCCACTGGGATTTAGTGAGCAATCTGTCCTCAGCAATCTCCAGCCAAATTCAATCCTTCAATGCAGTGATTCAAGCAAGAACACCCATAGGATCCCACCGCGGAAGAACCTTTGGCTCCTGCTCCAGGACCTCGCGGACCTCCCTCGAGACAAGGCTCGAGTCAACCACAGCCTGGAAGGTATATTCATCCATCCACTTATCAGTCATGACGAACCATCCGTGATCACCGGAACTTTCGCCCCAGGAGTTTTCGACGCGCCAACGGACCGGCTGGTCATTCTCGAGATGCACTGCTGTAATGACCATTGCATGGGTCATGGCGGTTTCGCCAATGGAAAGTCGTTCGGCCTTATTCAGCCCCAGTGAGATGTTGAACCCTAGAGTGAGATCTACCAGATCGGGGTCCATGACGCCCTGCTCGCGCTCGGAGAATTTGCCCACGTCGCAGCCGAAGAACACGGGAGAGCCGGCTTTGAGCATGGCAATGACGGCTCTCTTGAGGATTGGCATCTCAACATTGACGTATGCTAGTTGGCGGCCCTCGATGATGTTTCCGAGCTTATCCACCGTCAGTAGACGGTTGTACTCATTTCGAGGGTCGTTGACAAGACTGAACATGCGACTTGGAGAGACTTTACTTTGCGATCGTGAGATATTCACCGGCTGTGCAAATCCGAGTGGTGTTTGCCGGACCTCTCGGGCCTTGCCATCGGCATCAACGAACTGCCAAACAAACTCCTTTTCAGGGCTCGGCGGAGGCCCGAGCATCAAGGTAACCAGGGAGTGAATTTCCTGCAGGAATTGCTGCTTCGCCGACTCTATCTGCGCTTGCTCCGTGGGATCCGAACTTTGCGCGAGGCGACGCAGAATCAACGCGTGCTCGCGAAGCTTTGCAGTAATAAGCCAGTTCATCTTGCCGCTATTTTGCGCGTGATAGCTGTCGGGGTACAGAGCCTGGGGGACAAGTCCATACTTGCGCACCAGATTGGCGACCATGTCCCACTGGCCGCCATCAGTGACGGGGTCCTGGAACAGTTTCTGCACCAAGCGACCGGATAAATCCTCATGAGCGGTCTCAATGATGGTCTCCAGGAAATAATTCGCCTTCTCGATCTTGTCCCAATAGAAGAGGTATGCCTGGCTGAGCTCAAACGCGCGCAGGTTGTAGGCTTTCATGATGGGCAAGCGGAAAATGTTCGTCGAGGCGAAGAGCCAGCATCGTCCCGAGGAGCGTTGATTGGTTATGGGAGCACCCTCGACGGGCACCTTGAGGTTGAAGACTTGAAGGTCGGCGTTGAGGGCGGATCGGTTGGCGAGGACCTGCGTGTACGAGGCCGTGGCCAGACTGGAGAGGGCGAGGCGGTTCTTGGTCGATGTTAGCAATTAGATACTCATTTTCGATCGCAACGTACCTTGGGATCGTCCAAAAGCGACTCGGTCCAGTCCTGGACGCGATCCAGCGAGACGGACGGGGTCGAGGGCCGCTCGATGATCTGGTACGGTGGAGCTGCGAGATCAGCCATGGTTCTGACCACAAACCGGGGTAGAGGGACCTACGGATCTCGATTGTCAGATCTTTTTTTTCGAGGTCACTCTGTTGGATGAGAGGAGCTCTCTTTTCGATGGCGCCGACTGGCTTTGAGTAGCTGGAGCCCATGGTGAAGTGCTGGTGAGGAGGTGAAGGGGGGAAGTTGCAGAAGCGGGGAAGCGCGTCTTATCTACGCAAATGACGAATGGAGCAGAGCACAAGGTCCCCATTCCCTGATCGAGAAGTGCTTATCTATCAAAAGATCCCTCGTCTGAACCTTGGCCATCAGGAACAAGCATCGGCGTCTGCTCATCGATTGCACGCTTGTTGAGCTTCCATTGCGTACGAACCTGTTGCCCATCGCTGGCATTGTCGTCGCAGTATTGGCTGGTCTGCATTAGCTTGGAGGAACAAGTTGCATTCTTGACCGCGATCTGGTACTGATGTAGCCCACTGGGCTTCAGGCTATTCTGTCTATAGAAGCCACTAATCAGGCCTCCTTGAACCTTGTTCTCCTTGGATGGGATGCAGCGCAGGAATGCGTCGTAACCGCCCTCAACCAAGCTCGCAAAGGGAAACTTATCGCACGAGAAGCCCTTTCCAAGAACCAGGAAATCTAGTGATGGATAGGGTGAGGCTGCGCAGCCAGACTGAGCGCGATTGCCCGCATAGCCATCATTTATCTATATCTTCTCCGTCTGCGCGTCTGCAAGTCGCTGGCCTTGGCACATCATACGGCAAAGCATGCGTTTGTGCAGGCCTTGGGTGTTTTGGTACAGTCCTAGGCAATTTCAATTCGACTATTGTAGGATTGCGCAGCATGAACATCTGTCATTGCACGATCTACCCACACAACCTGCGTAAAAATATATAACCGACACCGACCTCGGGCAGAAAAGAAGGAGATAGTTCTACCCTCTCCAAGTCCCGCCGCTCGAGGCGCCCCAGAGGACTGACTATATATTTTATCCGGAGGGAGCAAAGTGTTGATATAGAGCCTCGCAGGGCATAGCTCTGTGAAGATGACGGCGACAGCGATTTTTGCCCACCCCCTATACGGCTCAGGGGCTTGACTGGACGAATACCCTCTTTTTGGGCTATACCCTCCCTCGACGGCGATGATGTAGCTGCCCCTGGCGTGCTTCCGAATTGCTGCAGCCGTATCGGGTAGCGGAGTCTCTTGTCCCAGCGGGCCCAGTAGGGACGATATGCATTCCTCATCAACGAACAACGCAACTTGCCGATCCTTGTGGTAGGGAATAGGAAGGTCCACATTCCAAGGATCCCGGCTGAGTCGCGGCTCTTCGTCGACAGAGGGCATTGCTGCTTGGGGTTTCTGGAACGAGCTGTCACAGAGAGGCGGTTAATATAGATCCATGTATAGAGGATGAGGAACGATACTGACCTCCTAACCTCGTCAACACCCTTTCTATCCAGCGTGGCATCCTCGACCCATTGCAAATCCATCCGCGTCCTGACCATCTCGTACATCTCCTCAGTGAGTCCAATGTGCTGGGAGCTGCGCCAGCAGTCCTGCCAGGCACTCTCCAACACCTCGTCCAGGGCCGTCTGGTATCTGGCCCATCTTTCCGGGTCATTGTAGGCGGCACGCCACTAGTTATATTCAAATCACACTCAGCATGACAATGTAATGGCCAAGATAAGACGGATGATTTCGTCCCCAAGAAACCTTTTAAAAATCCCAGCGCATCCTGCGATCGTAATAGTCATGACATTTTTGTTTATTTCTCTTTTGGGGCTATTATGCCAAAATATTAATCAACTCTGCCTCAGGCAGGCAGCATGACCGAGTGGTCTAAGGTGGTAGATTTGAACCCCCAAATCGGGAAAATATCTACTCCGTTCGCGGGCGTGTGTTCGAACCACACTGCTGTCGATTTTTTCCCTCTTTTTTCTTGACCTTCAAATACCAACCAACCACTTACAGTTTGCAAATTTAGATTTCTACGAGGTGCAAGTGGATGATGGGTGCTAGGACCTTGCGGATGCACATGGGATTGCCCTGGAAGACTTTTATAAGTGGAATCCCGCGGTAAAGGATGATTGTTCGATGCTTTTGTATGGGTTTTGGGTTTGTGTGGGGGTAGGAATCCGCAATCATTTTCTGAGGGAATGCTTGTAATTTCTTGTCTATGGAGGTAGGGTTCTCGACTAGATACGTGAAGCAAAAGCAGCAGTTTGCACAATACTCAATGACTGGGTGTATGCCAAGTGTACATCAGACCAAGGTCGGACCCTGGTCCCCCAAAATGATCCCGCAACTCCTGTGATCTTATCGTTCGGAGCCGGCGATCCGAGTGAGGAGTGGGACACACAGGAACTTTTGGGTCAATAAACAGACTGGAATTGAGGTCCGTGTCACAGCTCACTAAGGAGGAAAATTACAACGAGCTCTTTTCTACGGCGAGAGTCGGTCTTTACGGTTTCAAGTCGCTTAGTAGTGCTTAAACTATAGTATTTATCGAGTCAAACTGGAAGCTTCTGCCAAAACCTGAGATTATTACCAGGGTGTACCGGGGAGGAGACGAACCGCTCGGGGAGGAAATCTGGGGAACAGCCGAGATTTCTGTGCAAATGCGGTCTCATTACCCCGCAATTATTGGCTTGGCTCATCGATCTGAACCCGGGAGAGCCGGCCGGAAAGGGGGAAGAGAACTGGCCTTTTCAAAGTGCTCCCCCTCCAGCTTCCTCCTCCTCCACCCCCGGTTTCACTCCAACGACCACGTCATCAGCATCAAGTTTATATCCCACCCCACCAGCAACCTAGTACGGATGGGATGGACACTAGTCTGCAGCGCGAAATTGAACAATTGCAGGAGAAGTGTCGGCGTCTAGACTTCGAGAATCGGAGGCTACGGCGGACTCTCCGGTGTGTGGATTGTAACTCGCGGATCGCCGGTGCAGCTGAAAGAACTCAGGCTGCTGCCACGAAGAAAATAACTCGACCACGGGTCGCATCGAGTATTCCGCTTCTTGCAGACTCGCTCCCGACTACGCCTTGGAGCGGGGACCTTGGGCAATCCATCGCCCAGCAAGACGAGGATGAGTTTAGGTTCGCAGACTGCCTGTCACCCATCGAGACCACACTGGCTTCTCCAATAAATACCATCTTCGACCAGGTGCTTTGGCCAGGCGCAGATTCCTCTTACACGACAGGGTTATTAGATCATGGGTCGGAAGCACCGTCCACGGTCATTGATAATGCACACAAAGACACATCTCAATCGCTGGAGGCGTTATTCCGAGAGTCCCCACTGATATGGGGCTCGGGCTCTCTCGTGGGTGATAAGCTGTCGTCCGATCTTTTGGACTCAGCTGGCGAGTTGGGTACCCAAGACTTTCGTCTACCGTGGTCCTTGGGTCTTCCAGAGCCGATGCTCTCTGCCCTGGGGCTCAGCTTCGGATTCAACATGGGCCAAGCGCAGCAAAGAATGGACCAGTATATCAAGGCGCTTGGGACTTCCATTAGGACTGCCTTTGGGTCACAAAGCACACCGTATGTATTGGGACTGTGATATCAAAATTAGCAACGTCCTAACAAGACCCAGATCACGAGCATTGGAGTCGCTCGTCTCCTACGGAGTCATGTGGATTGTGAGAGAGGCATGGCCGGCAGCCGAAGGTTTCTGGAAGATCACAGTAAGAGCAGTCAAACCTATTCGAGACTAAAGCTCATATCTTGCAGGACTCGCTCAACGGCTTCGTTCAGTCGGAGTTCTGGAGACTGTTTCCGTGCCAGTCCTCATATGAAAAGCTTCATCCCGCATATCGTCCGACTCTGTTACAACTGACCGTCCCTCATTCTCCATTGATTGACTGGCTTCCCTGGCCCGACCTTCGAGACCGCATCATCGAGCTCCAAGACCAGCTCGACGTGGAGGCTGTCTGCAGAAGTGCAATCGAGAGCGTGGTGGCTCATCGCCATGTACATTTGAATAATGAAGCAGAAGCGACAATGCCAACGTTCCGTGTCTGGGATCTTTATCTATTGGAGAAACAGAGTGGCGTTGGTCTCACGAATAACCAGCTCACTTACAAGCCTCGCGCCGCGAGCGTCCTTGCCATGGAGAAAGCGTATCATCTGGTATACGATGACTTTTTGACCCAGAGGTTACATCCCGCGTTCTTCGAAAAATACCCTTTAATCACCTGCGAACGGATAAAGACGAAATTTCATGTCCAAGCTATCTCGATTGCGAATGGCGATGAGGTCGGAGATCCAAAGCCATTCACCGAAATGGCCATGATCCGGCTCAAACAGCTGGTTACCAAACGTGTGCATATACCGGGTACGTAGCCACCCTCAAAGCCTCATCCGGTCGATCAGACCTCGAAAGACCTTTCTCGTTCCGGTTTAGCCCTGCTGTGGTTGTTGGCAATTGGGATCTCGGCTCCTAAGTGACTGCACGCCCAACTCCACGGCATGACCGCACTGTCAGCCCGATAAAGGACTCATTAAGTGGATCGTCGCACAGGCCTCGTCTATCCCACAGCGTCGCTGGAAGCCAAGTGTGGCTAAGCATGTTAGCGTGCTGCAGTAAGCGTAGGATGTTGCATCGCCGCCGTGAGCGTGTTCAGTGCACTTATATACCGGTCTTTGCCCATTAAGCCTTCATATGCCTCAGCATCGAATCCCGCTACTGTCTGACGATCATCGTTCCAATGAGTGTCGCCGGCCTACTCCAAAACATAAACTCCGTGACGGAGACGCTACTAGGCCAGGTCTCCGAAGGCGACAGACTGGCCCTCCTAACAGCATGTGACAAGCTCAGGGCCGCCCTCGAGGTACCGATGGAGACGACGATGCGCGTTACTGGAGGAGTACAACTCCCTTCCGCCCTTCCTCTGCGCATATTAAACTCACGAGCTTAGGTCTACGAGAGTGTGGCTTTAATTACGGCGATTGATATGGGGTTGATTGACGCTGGGGTGTCTGCCGCTGCAACTCAGCGCACCTTCACCATTTCGCAGCTCGCCGAGGTTGCTTCTGCGGATCCTCTTTTGATCGGTAGGCTCTTCCTAAAAGAGACTTGAGAACCGTGCGCTAAGATGGCATAGTTCGTCTCATGCGGATGCTCTGTGGCATGCACGTTTTCGAGGAAGTCGACGTTGCCACATTCAAGTCGACGCCCCTCGCCCAGGCATATGCGACCGGCTCTCCATTCAAGGACATAGGAATCCATCTGTGCGTATTATTGCAATTCCGAATATATATTTCATCCTCGTATTGACCTTGCCAGCGCATCCCACGGTCCGGCAGCCGCCCTCCTGCCAGATTATTTCGCCGAAAAAGGATACATTAGCCCCAACGACACGTACGACTCGCCATTCCAATACGCAATGCGGACCAAACTGCACTACTTTGACTATGTCGGTGCTAGCCCTCGTCTACAACACGCTCTGAACACGGTCATGAGCACTTGTCCCGGGAACTTGGGCCAAAACTGGTTCGAATACTATCCGGTGAAGGAGAGATTGCGCGTCGATGACCCTTCCCATGTGCTTTTGTTGATATTGGAGGAAACACTGGCGGTGATGTCGCGACATTCAAGAAGCGCTTCCCTGATCTACCCGGAAGAGTGATTCTGCAGGATCTACCCTCGGTCATTGAGGGGGCTCAACCGAGTCCGGCAGGCGTGGAGTCAATGGGCCATGATTTCTTCACCCCTCAACCCGTCAAAGGCGCGAAAGCTTATTATCTTCGCCTCGTCATCCACGACTGGCCGGACAAGCAGGCAAAGATAATCCTCGAGCACATCAGGGATGCCTTGGCGCCGGACTCGATTCTTCTACTCAGTGAGACCCTTGTTCCGGAGTCCGGAGTCCCACTGTACGATGCCGAGATGGACATGACGATGATGGTTGTTTTTGGTTCCCTGAACCGTACAGAGGCTCAGTTCCGGGAGCTGTTGGACGCTGTGGGGTTTGAGGTTGCCAGAGTGTGGAAGCCGGAAGTGGTTGTTCCCGGGTCTACGGCCTTGTTTGAGGCTGTACTTAAGAAATGACGCGAATGCGTCTTGGTTTGAATTCAACAAGTTTCATTATACCATACATGATTCATCCTCGACCCTTCCATACTAGCTTCACAAACAATCAAAAGAACGTCTCCGAAACATCCCCCAGTATCACAACCTTGACCTTAGTCGAGTCCAGAAACTTCTCCTCGTCGGCATCAATGACCTCCTTGATCCCAGGCTGCATTCTTTTGCCGAAGAACACTTTAAAGCCTTCCTCGTTCTCAAAGGCGATTTCGGTAATGCAGTCGTAGGTGAAGTCGTCCTGTGTTCCCAGGACTACTGCGGCCGGGTAGCTGTTGTCCTCGCCCGCTAGAGGTCGTGCAAGGTAGGATCGTTTATGATAGATGGGCAGAGTGTCGCCTGCGAGGCTTTTGATGAGCGGGAGGTGGACGGTGTCATAGTGGGTTTTGAACTCGGCCGGAGTGATTCCCGCTTTGCGGGTTGCGAAGAGGAGGGCTTTGAAGACCATTGTGATGAGATACAGGTATGAAGAGGTGGAAGTGTGAAGAATCAGAATTGGCTCCAGAGTACATTTGTCGTGGTATTTATATTGCACATTAAAGCTTAGCTCTCGGCCCCCACTTGACAATTACACGGAGAAACCAATCACGTCTCACTAGCCCACAAGATTCTGCACGGCCGTCTCCAGCAACAACTTGACATACTGGCGATGCAGCCACTCGATTGGCGCAGGCACCGGGGGTCCTTGGGCCTTGCCCAGTCCTTGGAAGAAGCACGTTTTCAGCCCCAGATCAACAACACCTTCATCGTGCTTAACAACCGCAGAAATCTCAAACAGTCCATCGACTTGCCGAATCGCCTGGTTTCGAGGAGAATCGCCGCTGCGCACGAGGATGCTCGTGGGCGTTTTCTCGACGACTTCAAAATGGTCGGTGATGAGGGTTCCAACGTTGTAGTCTGACATGCGAAGCTCATCAGGGGACCACAGCTGAGATTGTGTCGAGGCGTCTTGGTTTGTCTTTGCTAGGATGGCGCGTTGCACCTTGTAGCCTGTTAGACATGTGTCAGTTCCAAGTGCGTGCTCGCGAAACCGGGGCATACCCCATCCACTCCAGACTCCCGCACAAAACGCCTCGACTAGCCCTCCCTCCTTGTTGAGCAGCTCCGGGCGAATGTCCGAAATGGGTATCCGGCGAACACAGACATCGTGCATTGTGGGATTGCTCGAGGGATTGAGCTCACGGAGCAATCGGTGGTGAAAAATCGCGTCGGTCGGATCGAGAGGCACAAAGACATTTTTCCTCGTCGCGAAGAAGAAGGCTCCGAGAGAGGCGCCGGTGCCGTACACGGCGACCTTGAGAGTTGCTTTCAGTCTGCGCATCATGTTTCGCCAGTCTCGCACTCAAGGAATAGAGGACAACCTTCAAGGTGATAAGGCCTTGGGCGACCGCGTGAAAAGAACCTCAGCCGCATCTTGGTGGCATTCAGCCCCATGTGAAGCTGCTGCTGACCGGAGCCGCCGCTCGGCTCGATTTTCCTTGTTGAATGCGAGCAGAGGATGATTGGAAAAAAGGACGAAAGAGGGCAAACTTTGGGTGGAATCCGCGTGAGAGATGCCTCCGCCCCTGGACACTGCTGTGTCTTTTGTGCAATGCGGCGAGCCCGTTTCGAACCCTCGGACCAGTCGGCCACCGACTCCAGATGCGCTTGAGCCGCATGAATGGTTGCCGGGTCGCCTGACCGATCATCGCTGCTCAAGACATTCCCCTGAACACTGCTCGCGGTGCTCGGTATAGTCTCGAAATCGTGGGAAGTCAGAGAGAATACGCCTCAAGAAGTACTTATGCTCACCGCTGTTCTCGTTAACAATCGATTGTCCAAGATATATATCCGCACCACAGGCTGATCCCCATGACTCCGGAGAACCCCCGAGGATGGACCGGTCCTTCAAAATATCTTTCTGTGAAGCTGCGATATCTCGCCTGACGAGAGTATCGAACAATAACGTGCACCCATGCGATGCCTTCCACCACCCATCTTCATGAGTGATGTCTGCTCATGCGAATCACGCAACAGCGAGGCTTGGAGAGTTGGAGAGACAACACAGCCGACAGCCTCAGGATTTGCTCATTTCCGAGTGCGTGACTGATTGGCAGACGGAGCTCTTGGCGCCAGAAAAGGGTCTAGCGGACCTCCACCTCTGGGCTGCGGCTCGCTTGGGATCGCTCAGCTGGGTGGAGGAAGTGCAAGGCCAAGTCCCGCTAATACGAGCAGGTCCAACTAGCCCCCAACTCGCGAGGACCGGGCAACTGCCCAACACGAGCGAGGAGGGAGATTTCATTTCTCCCTTCTCGCTGCTCTTCTCCTCTCTGCAACAACGTCGCTGCCAACGAGAGCACCATGTGGTTTGTCGTCTTGTTGGCCGCCGCCGCCAATGCGGTCACGCTGTCGGCTCCCACGGTGACCGTTGCGAGAGATATCAAGGCGTCTGCGCGGCCAGAGCACCCAGAGACCACCGCTGGGCCTGCGACGCTCGACAACCTGCACCTCCTTGATCGTCGAGACACCCTCGCTCAGGCGGATGCCACGGTCTGTGGTTACTACAACCGGGCTATTGGTGAGATATGGCCTGCATTCGTCGTTGGGCCAGACTAACATGGATTTCACTTTGTCTCAGATAACCGCCTTTACTGCTTAAACAACAATGCATGCGTCTTCTACGCCCCTGACTCGGAATTCCCTGGAATGGTCGGCTGCTGCCCGCAAACTTCCGCGACCGAGGAGTGCATCATCTTCAGTACCTGTATCGACATCGACGACATCCTTGCGACATCCGATCTCCTCGCGCAGACGACAGACTCGATGGCGCTCTTCTGCACGTACGATGAGAACCGATACTGCCACACCCGCACATGGCCCAGTCTGAATGCGGCCGACTTTGAGTGCACCTCCACCAGCTCCAGGTGGATCGAGACCATGTACACGTATGGAACCGTGACGGATGAGGAGGATGTTGAGGATCAGACCACTGAGACGCTTTCGTTCTCGTGGATTTCGAGTTCGGATTTGCCGACTGCTCGTAGTGCGGATGCCACAACCACTACTGAGACTGAAACCGAAACTGATACGCCGACGACCTCTACATCGGGGGGCTCAACACCCTCACCAGTCGACGAGGAAACCCCAATAGAAACCGAGGATCCGGACCAGGGATCCTCGACGCCGGTTGGAGCCATTGTGGGCGGCGTGGTTGGAGGTGTTGGTGGATTGGCTTTGGTCGCTGGCGCGTTGTTCTTGTATCGGCGACACAAGAAGAAGAGCGCCGTTGTCGACACGCCGGTTATTCCCCCGCCAGAGACAAAGCAGCAGCCCGGTATCTCTACAAAGGAAATGTTTGCCCCTCCCCAGGGTGCACCCCAAGGAGCTGGCACGGCGGGGATGCACGAGGTTCAGGCAGAGCCCATGTACGCCGAACTACCGGTCCAGGAGGCGCGAGAGCAGCGAGTGATGCGCCATGAGCTGGAGTGATTGATGTCTTCATGTTTCTCAGATCGAGTATAATTATAGCATTGTATTACCCGACGTCGCATATCATTTACAGCTTTGACTTTACTCCAAGTGCCTCGCTCACCGGAGCAATCTCAATCATCATCTTGCCCGTGTTGGCGCCGGCGTAGAGATCCACGAGCGCCTGGGGTGCCGACTCCAGCCCGCCCTTTACAATGTGCTCCTTGCGCTTGAGCTTCCCCTGAACGAGCCAGGAGGCCAGCTCCTGGAGGGCAGCGGAGTATTTGTCCGCATAATCAAATACAATGAAGCCCTTCAACATGATTCGTTGCGACTATCGACTCGTTAGCACACATAATACCCTACGGGGACAGTCGAGAACTTACAATGACGTTCATGAACGCAGTCGGACCCTGCGGCTTCGCAGCGTTGTACTGACTGATGGCACCGCAGATCGCAAACCGCGAGTCCTTTGCGGCCCGAGCGAGACAGGCATCCAGAATCTCGCCCCCGACATTGTCAAAGTAGACATCGATGTACTCGGGGGTCGCCTCCTTGAGCTGTTTCCGCCAGTCGGGAGCCTTGTAGTCGATGGCCACGTCGAAGCCCAGCTCCTTGACCAGGAAATCGCACTTGTCCTTTCCGCCAGCCAGACCAATGACACGCTTTGCGCCTTTGATCTTTGCGATCTGACCGGCAACCATACCTGTTGCACCGGCGGCTCCGGAGACGACGACCGTGTCGCCCTCGCGAGGCTTTGCGACCTCGATCATGCCAAAGTATGCGGTGAGGGCCGTCATGCCGAGCACCGACAGCGCGTCGGTGGGACGACCACCGGGTGGAATGGTGACTTTCTCGACGGCCTTTTCCGAGAGGACCGCATACTCCTGCCACCCCGAATAACTCGTGACCCAGTCGCCGACGTTGAACTTGGAGCGCAGGTCGCTGCCCACTTCGACGACCTGGGCGATGCTCTGTCCACGCATAACAGCGCCAATTTGAACTGGCTCAATGTACGACCGTTTAGCAGTCAGCCACTGGCGCATAGCCGGGTCGAGGGAGAGATAGTGCACGCGCACAAGCACCCGGTTGGCAGGCACATTTTGAGGGCGTGGGACAGTCCTGAGGCGGAAAGTGCCGGATGTGAGGGAGGGATCGATCGCCGGAGCGGGCGCGGTGGTGTAGATGACCTGGCGATACGACATGATGAGAATGTGGTGAGTGAAAATTGGGCGAAGAGGTCAGCGGCGACTCCGCGTCTTTTTATGTTGGCGGGAACGCGGAGACGAGCCCAAACAGGAAGTCTGCGACGAGGGCGGGGGAAGTGCCGAGGTTCATAGTTAGAGTGCCTGAGGCAGAATAGGCTTACATAATCTCTGCTCTTACGTCATCGACGCGGTCAAATCAAAATCTGAGGGAGCAACACCAGCCAGTGCTTTTTTAGACACAAACAACACTGGCAGACCATGCAAGCTGTGGCAGACCCCCTGGCACGTCTTCCTCCCGAACTCGTCCTCCGCGTCGTCGAATTCGCCTCGCTCTCGACGTTGGCCTCGCTCACTGCGGTTTCCAAGGCTTGGCACCAGTTCATCGACGTCACCCATCAAGAGACCATCTACTCCTCCAAAGTCGGAGAATGCAGGCGTGATCTGTCGGCAGTGGGCGACATCCCGACCTTTTCGAAATGGTTTGACGGCGTAAAGTCATGGAAGGATCTGTGCCGACGAAAGACGCTGCTTGACAGCAATTGGGCCCGTGCGCACCCTGCGAGCCGTGATCTGGTCCTGCAAATCAGCGATGACCCCGTCTGGCGCTTTCGCGCTGATTTGAAGCGTCGCTTCATAGTCTCGACCTCTCATGCCGGTGGGCTGAACGTCACGGATCTCGATACCGGTGAGATCTTGTGGCGCCTCCCCTCAACGCTGGACAGTGACGCGGAGGAGGCGGTTCGTCCGTACGCTCACCTGGAGTACCAAGATGGCATGGCTGTCTTTGATCGTGAGGGGGACGCCGTCGAGGTCTGGCAAGCCGATCTGGACGACGCCCCTCGCGGCGAATTTCGGCGCATTGCAGTCTTGGACCACGACTGCCAAACCAGAGGCTTCCAGCTGTCATACTCGACCCTTTGCGTGGTCTCTACACAAGGCCAGGGCTTCGTTTATGACATGACACAGCGGCCTCCCAGGAGGACCACTCACCTCACGATCGAAAACGACGCTGTCGGTCACCTCGATCAGAGCCATGATGCTGTCATGTACTCGATGGGTCCGCGAGGTTATCATGTCTATAGCAAGTCCACTGGAGAGCTCATGGGCGTTCTGAAGCCATCAGAATGTGCGGAAAGGTATCACATATCCCCGTCGCCTGGGACCTTCTCCGGGGAAACACGGCCTATGACAGCTTCACGACACGGCTCAACGGCGCCCGTCAGCCTAGGACCAGCTGGCTCGGATCGCCTAATGCCAATACAGATTGCAAAGGGCCGACTTCCACTGCCAAGTGATCCTGACCATATCCGGAACGGCGAGGATGAATGGGGAGCTGGGATGGAGGACAATGGCTTGTTCGTGGGTGTTTCACGTGCTGGTCGCGTATTCGTCTGCTCGAACTGGCGCAAAGCCCTTCGGGACTCCAACAGTTTCCAAGCACAAAGTGCCATCATTGAGTGCGAGTCGGATGGGTCGACTTTTGACCTGGGCGGATGGCTGTCAGTGCGTAACAACCGCTTAATGTTTGAGGTTGAAGACCGGGCCTATATCGTTGCACTCGATGAAAACGGCCGCATTCAAGATCCTAATCGGCCGTTGCGCCCTTCGTACTCGCTCTACACCTCTTCAACGCCACAGCTGGCCGTCCCAGTTAGCTTCATGGCTCTGTTTGAAGATTCAATCATGACTACATATACCGTGAGCTAGACTCGTCTCATTTGACTTATGATCCTCTTCTGATATTTCGAATCACAGACACTAGGCCGGCGCCTCCACAATCGTGACCCCGCCGCTCGTGCCCTTCAAGACGGGCTGAACCGTATTTTCCCGACAAAGACAATTCGGTTAATCAGTCTCGCGCCAGATCCCCCTCCCGGCGCCGGTACGAATCCGGAAGACTCGCGGAATACGGGTCTCTGGAATTTTGATCAGCACCCGCTAACTGCTGATGCGGCGCTACGCTCCCAGGCACTCTTGCAGTTGCTAGATATATTCCAAGGGGACTTCGCCGAAGGGGGCGATGATGAGACTGATCATGAGGTTGACGATGAGTGGGAGGATCTTGATGATCCTGAGGGCGTGGAATAGGAGGCAACCTTTCAGTGCCAATACATGAGCAACTAGCCCGACGCACTGGTAAGGCTGGTATACAGTAGCCTACTAGAGCCCAACGCCGTGCAATGAGGCTGACGAATAGACAAATGAAACAAAATAATATTTCCAGGACCCGCTATGCCGAATATACAAGAGCAGATTGTGTGTCGACCATGCTGATCGCCTATGTTACTCAGTCTTCCCCGCTTGGCTCGCAGCCTGTGCCATCAGAGCAGCGCCCACCCCTGAACCATCTTTCGTAAGATGCACTCGGACTCTTTGCTCACCGGCAACCCCAATTTCCGTGATGTCTCTCAAGGCAGCCCGCATCTCTGTCTCGAAGGTTGGATAGCACTCAATGAGAGACCCGTCGGCCCCAATGTCGATGATACCTTGCTTCGTGTATTCTTCACCTGATCTCTGTGTTTGCTGTGACGTTATGCAGCCCTGGGGCTGTGTGATTATCGAATTCATTCCAACGAATTTGAGAAGCCGCTGCCAGAGGAGGCCGAGGCTTTGCCAGAATCTCTGTACGCTGCTACTCGACGAAATCTCTCGCGTTCGAGGTTGTTCTACCTTGCTGACGGTGGAGATTGGGTAGTTGTGGGAAGTCTCAAGTCGACCGCTCTGAATGATGAGAGCAGCCAGTGATGCACCTGCTAACCGCGCAGCTCTTCGGACGATAGAGCTGGCTATGAGTTGAATGGCCCGGGCGTCCTCCGGTGTCGTATTCTTCGTAGACAACACATCCTCGACCAGGTCGATAGCGCTCTCGGCTGAACCAGTTGCCGCGAGTTTCGAGATAAAAGAACTGTCAATGCTGTCGCGTCGGAAAACAGGAGACTTCTCGTCGAGGTCCATAGTGAAAGCGCGCAGGCGATGTAGTTGGACTATGACCAGTCGAAGAAGCTCCCCCAAGTACATCCCCGACACTCTCTTCTCCAGCATCTGCGATCCAGGATCTGTCAACGATGCATCTAGTTCATCATCGAAGGGAGTCCGCGGCAGAACCTCCATCTTGTCGTCGAGACAGCCCCATTCGGTATTCATCACCATGAGGCCTGTGCTTGTTGCTGCTGTCGACAGTCTCTGAACATTAGCCAGCTTTTCGACGTAGGCGGCATTCGTTCCCGTTCCAAAGATCATGGCTGCCAAGGTGGAGGTCTTTGGGCCTGACAGGTACGACCTGGTGAGAAGGGTCCCAACGCTGTCATTTGCAAGAACAGTCACTCGAACCGGCAATCCCTGCCTGTCGATTGCATCTTGTAGCATGACGCACGGGTCGCGTCCGAGGGCGTCGGGGATGTCCCAGCCCTTGTCCCAATGGATTAGGCGGCCGCTGGCGAGAGAAGTCTGCTCGCAGGTAAAACTGAAGGTAAAACCTAGGCTATAGGGTAGCTGGTCGGCCAGCCGCGATGTCCTCTTCTCGAGGAAGTCCTTGAGTTTCTGTGCGATAAAGTCGAAAAGTGGTCGATGGCTCTTGGAGACCATGAGAGACGGAGGGACGATATGCTTGCTTTGAGCGACATTAAACGTCGAATCCCCCTTGAGATTTACCAGGCATATCCTGCAGTTGCTCCCACCGAGATCGACTGCTAAGAACTCGCCCTTTTCTGCTCCTGTCGGAATGCTCTGCACATATGAAGGCAGCTGCCACGGGCGGGCATTGGCCAGGCCATCCTCTGTGGTCCGTCAGCATACAACATGGAATTCCTCTGCGAGTAATGATGCACGTACTCAACTGCGCAACGAAATGTCTCGTTACACTCCGGACCTGGTCAGGCGAGATGTCAAAGTCGCAAGCAATGCGCTCTGCTTGTCGCAGCAAGCTAGGGGCCTGGCCTTGGAGCATGGCCGACGAGTCGAACAGTAATCGGGGATATCGACAAGATAGACATGACGAGGTTACTGAAGTAAGAGTGTTGGCAGCGACTGCACCAGCTCTCTCGATCTTTGCTCACCGGTCGCAGATGCGCAGAGCTCAGCACCGCACCGGCCGGATCGCCGGGGATCGCCGGGAATTCCTGACACATTCTGGATTGTCATTGACCAGATTCGTCGGCCAATCTCCGCTCTGGTGCCCCACCGGCAGCGCCGCTCAAAGCCGGCCGACACCCCGATTTCTCCTGACTTTGCCGGTCCAACGCTGTGAATGCTTCAGCCAGGAATGTCAGCCTCCCAATCTACGCCAGTTGGTCCGCCAGGACGGGACTATGCGGGGGAGCACAAGGCCCGCAAAGCCTGCAGTTAGTGTCCACCCATCTCCATCAGTGTATCGCGTGTAACCAGCATGCAGTCAACTGCCGACGGCAGAAGATGAAATGTGTCATTGAACATAATGAGACTTGTCGTCGGTGTCGTCGTTCGGGCCTTCCCTGTGTGTTTGTGCCGCGTGCAAATGCTGCTACTCTGCCGGAAAATGTGATGGCTTTGCAAGACAGCGATTTCAAAAGAGACGTCTTGACTCGGCTACAGGCGATTGAGGAAAGGATTGGTCTCTCACAAACCGCCGATCCTACATCGGAATGTACACAGGAGCCTGAAGGTGAGAATGGGGGACGAGATATATCGCCCGGGTCAGAATCCGATGGCCTGGGGACGTTATGGGAGGCAGTGGCAGTCCTGCAAAGAAGTGCTCCCAGCAGAGTGCCACTGCTTGTCTGGCGCAGGGCGACTGTCAAAGAGCTTTGGTCGTCGTAAGTGCTCGTGTGGCTGTTCGGAATGCCGTCTGATGATCTCTCGGCAGATTCCACGATCGAATGCCGGGACTGCATTTTATGCCTCGTAAACAGATCTTCTCTGCCCCTCATCCCTTGCTTCTAGCTTCGATCCTGTACTGCTCGAGTGTTCGAGGCCCACCAGAGGTCGCTGATCTAGCCCTCGACTATTTTACTGTACTCTGTAGTGCAATCTCGCAGCTGTGCATTCCTGGAAGTGAGATCGGCAAGACGCCAGACGACACAGAGGAGTGGGCTTTTCAAACTGTCCTGGGAATTATTCTCGCTGGGCTGTTGACAGAGGCGACTGTTCGGGAGACGGGCATCTGGATCTCCATAGCATATCGCCTTATCCTCGAACACTGCCCAGCTCACATTGACGACACGTCTCGCAAATGGCGAAAGTTGTTCAGTGGCATACAGATCATCGACCTGGAGCATGCATCTTTGCACCTATCCTGCCCAGTCATACCGATCGAATCGCCACTGCCGGCGTTACAAACCTCTCAGCGTGATCAGCTGTATCGATTATCTCGAATGATGCATACGGGCCTCACTCATTTCGCCGGCAGAGGATTGCCCACCATTTGGTCGTGCTTTACAAGTGGTGTCTCAACAGCGGTGAACCTGACGAGCAATTTTACAGCAGTCGACACTGCGGTGATTCGCGACTGGGCTCGCCAGCTGGACGAATGGCTCGTTGAATTCAGTCAGACATCAGAAGGGTCAGACCTGGATCTCAAGCTTGTCTTTCGACAATACGTGCTACATCGGCTGGTCGTTTTGTCAATATATCATCCAGTCAGAGGCTGCAATCTATGGTCAAACAGTATCACTCCCAGAGAACAGCACGAACTACTGGTCTCGGCTCGGGCGACTCTAAAGCTGCACTCGCACGATGACTCGATTTGGGCGAATTGGGACCAGGTAATCATAACTTGGGCAGCACTGATTGTGCTACAGGGTATTGAGGGAGGTACTGGTGAGCCTGACGGTGAGTGCTTTCGAGATACAGAAGTCAGTTGTCTTCGCTAATGGTAGATACAGATCTTGAAAGCATACAAATCCATCTTGGTATGCTCAAACAGATGGCCGGGCCAAAACCCAGTCTCCGCGACATCCTTGTCGCCCGGTTAGAATCGAGTCTCGCGGACGCTCAAATTCCCCCTGCAAACATGGCACAGCATGCATATGGAGATCTCACAATGATGAGCTCAACTGAGCCGTCGTGGCAGATCTTTGACCAGTCCAGCCTGGAACACATGATGTACTCGGACTGGACGGGCTAGACCGCGGAAGTAATCGGACGCCCCATCTCAAATGGCATCTTCGAAGCCCTTGGGCTGTCGATCCGTGAAGACATGCTATCCGGAGTGAGCTCCCCGTCCTGGGGATCAACTAATTTCGTCTTGCCGCTGGTACATGAAGTGATGATTGCGAGACTCGGTGTTTCTTGTAGCATGCTTCGCTCGACGCCAGTAAAGTACTAAATAGCAAATCCCTTAGAATCTCATCTCGGAAGGGTCGTGATGGAAATAGCTTACCTTGACCGTCTTGACCTTCAGTTCCATCGTAGCATCCTCGTCCACTACTACCATGCTGCGAGGATGCAGTTGTAAGCACGAGAGCGTGCATAGATGACTTACGCCCCCTTCGATTGCCTGTTGGATAGCTGGTGCTTTGGAAGTACCAGTCGCAATGATTACCACCTCTTTGGCTTCCATTATAGTCTGCACCCCCACTGTAAGCGCCATGTGTGGAACTGCGTCCAGGTTATTGTTGAAGAAACGAGCATTGGCAACGATGGTCTCATATGTAAGCGTCTTGATGCGTGTGCGACTGGTGAGACTGGATCCGGGCTCGTTGAATGCGATGTGACCGTCACTTCCTACTCCTCCCAGGAATAACTCAATGCCACCGAGTGTCTTGATTTTCTCTTCATACCGGCGGCATTCCTCAGTCAGGTTTGAGGCGTTGCCGTCTAAGATGTTGACATTCTTCGGATCGATATTGACGTGGCTGAACAAGTGTGTGTACATGAAGGAATGATACGACTCTGTATGGTCTCGGGGCAGACCGACGTACTCGTCCATGTTGAATGTCACGACATGTTTGAACGAGATTCTCCCTTGCTTGTATGCTGCGATCAGCGCTCGGTAGATTGGTAATGGGCTGCTACCCGTAGGTAGCCCGAGGACAAAAGGACGCTCTGCTGTTGGCCCAAACGCACTGATACGTCCTGTGGCGAGTGAGCGCGGCTCGAGGAGGGCAATGGTGTCGCTTCAACTCACGAATAAGATAATCTGCAATGTACCGTGCCGCCTGCTCGGGCCGCTGTCGGATAATTAGACGCATCTCTGATATAGTGCTCAGAAGCTATGTATCAAGTCCAGTATACAAGAGTATCTTGGGTTTGGGTGTACTTTCAGAATCCGGCTTGCACTTTTCGAACCGGGTGGTCTGCTGGAGGGTGGCCGGGTCTTTCTACCTCGCATTGTGGGACTCTTCATCCTACTACGTCAGCCCAGTTCCAGGGTTCTGCCATCGTCAGACTCTCGATTCTTGCCACTTGCTGTCAAATGCCTGTAAAGCTCTATCGAACTGTCGAGATATCTCCGGCGAAAACCGGTGAACCGGAAGTTGCGGCGACCCTGGGTGGCACCAGATCCGGGTTTACCGGCAAACCCCTGTAACTATCCACGGCCCAGATGATTGGATGATAATGAGTGTCTCGTGGGATTGATCCCTGTCGTGGACGTACCCCGCGTATGGATGTGGAGTTTGAACGCAATCCCTCGCAGCCTGCAGGCGTTGAGCGTAAAGCCAAAGGTCCTGATTCTACAGCCAGTGACGCGGAACCACAAGAAGCCTTCACAAAATCTAGATAATTTGAGTGCATGGAAGTAGAAGTGGCAAAAGTAATCGGTGCATTAACTAAGCCTAAGTACCTGCACACAGAATCCATACGGCCATGCGATGATATTCCCCGGAAAAACAACATCACAACCCAAAACACGCGCCTACTCCTCCTTGGCCCTTGCAATCTTGGCCTTGTACTGCTCCTTGCCCAAGAACCACCAGACGAGGATGAGAATGGGAATTCCACCAACCACCACACAAGTGTAGTTCATGTTTTCCACTGTAACCGGCATGTTGTATGGGAAGCTGAAGAAGATGATGGCAAACAGTAACCATCCTACGGCCACACCGTTGACCAACCAGCCCCATTTCCCCATATGGAAGACGCCCTTGTGCATGTTGGCGCGGCCCGTCAGCATGTTGGTGGAAATGGGAATCAAGTACGCGACATTGTTGATCGTAACTGCGGCTCCGAGCATACTGTTGAACGCTGTGCTACTTCCCAGATAGATACAGCCTAGGGCGGCAACGGCGGCGGCGACGAAGAGTTGTGCATTGAAGGGGATTCCAAACCGTTTGCTGACGCGGGCCCAAGTCGAGGAGAAGGGCATGGCAGCATCCCGGGCAAACGCCCAGAGCACGCGCGAGGTAGAGAGCTGCGATGAGATCACGCAAGGCCCGAGGGCAACGAAGAGGATAAAGGTCAGACCAAACGCACCCCCAGCGGACTCGGTGACCTGGCGGAAGAGCTCAGCCAGAGGCAGCCCTGTGTTTGTGGTGGATAGAGCGGCAAAATCCTGCACGCTGAACATCAGGGCAATCAGGTAGGTGAGGCCAGTCGTGAAAGCAATAGTCAAGGTGATTCCAATAGCCAAGGGTGCATTGCGCGAAGGCTGTCATCGGTCAGCCAACGAATTAGGTGTTGAGGGCAAGGATCTCACATTGGGCATCTCCTCTGTAATATGCGTCACGCCGTCCAGACCACCCAGACTGTACAACGGATTGACAAGGCCGGTGATGAAGCAAATGACATTGCTGTCCCAACCCGTGTTGTTGACCCAGGTCCTAAAGACAAATTTCGGGCTCTGATGCGTGGGAGCACACGCCACGACAGTGATGAGGACGACCAGCCAGCCAATTTGAAGGTAGAATAGGGAGAACTTGTTCAAGGCCGGGATGATCTTGTTTCCAAAAAGAACGACCGAGGCCGTCAGAATGTTAAGAATCTGGTAGATGATGAACGTCTGCCACGTTTTGATCTCGATGTCGGGATGGTACAGCGCGTACAGAGCTTGGACTGATCATCATCAGCGATGGTCAACCTCCATTTGAGAGGGACAACTTACCGACTTGGGCAAAGATCAGGTTGGTCGAGGCTGTGGTGAAGATCCCTAGCGCAATATTAGTGCTGGACTGCAATTGCAAGTCTCCATGACTTACAGCCTGAGACTGTTAACCAGCCGGTAATAAAACTCAGGAAAGCACTGAACTTCTTGGGCGCAACAGCAGCGATCCAGTGGTACATGCCTCCTTCGGTCGGATAGCTGGAGACGAACTCTGCCAGCGAGGCGCCGAGAAACGACTGCATGATTGTGACCAGAATGAAGCCGTAGATGATCGCACTCGGTCCGCCCGCATTGATCTCCGTCACGATGCTCAGTCCAAGGCCAGTCCATGAGATGGTCGTTGTGGAGGCAAGGCCGATCAACGACAGCGTGCTAAAATGTCGCTTGAGCTCTTGAGTGTGGCCTTGTGGTCAAGTCAGCTTGTGAAAATATTGTTCATAGCTGTCATCAACATACCCATCTGAGCCAGGCGCAGCTCGTCTGCATCCATCTCGGGCGCGTCCTTTGCGTGGATCATCGCGTCTTTGGCAACAAAGTCGTCCATCGTTCAGGTGAGACGTGTAAGAAAAAAGACGGGTGACGGTGTAACGAGTGAGATATCCGACACAACAGGCGGTGACGACTATTATACGCTGGTAGAAGATGTCACACGACGCGATGGAAACCGTTATCAGCCGCCCGCGTGGGGCATGAGGTTCCCCAGATAAAATCCGCACAATAATAATGGTCCCAGTGATAGGGCGCCGGTGTCCACCGGGCTTCGCCGGCTGTTGGAGACAAGCAATCTGGGCAATGCTTATCCGGCCCCTCCACACTGGCGATAACCGAGGTCATGTTACTGGGTGTGGATAAAAGGCGGAGTATAGTCGGGATTTGTTTACATTGTATCCAACGACAGGAAAAATGCTGTCAGGGATCAATCTCTGCTCCCTCTTACTGGGCGCCACCCTCGTGCAGTCTGTCCAACTAAGCGACCATGTACAGGCACTTTTCAACGAGTCCATGGCAATTCAGGACGCCATTTATGACCCATCCGTCTCATACCTCCGCTACTTTTACTACCCCCTCGCTGCTGGTACGCACGAGACCAGGTCGACAGTTTGGTACTCTGTCGGACTCCTGCACCGTAACCGCGACAATGATGTCGACGAGGCTGTCAAGATCCTCCGGAACGTCATTGGTGATCAGGAGAAAAATGTCTCTGCGCAGTGGTATGGGGATTACACCGTCTACCCTGAGCAACCGACCGTCAGCAGTCCAGCCTATCCCCCGGTGGTGAGTTTCCTCTGAAAGATGCAGTCGCAATGGCTCACTATGTGATAGATCTATAACTCTTGGGATCCCAACTGGAGGGGCTTTATCGGCACCGCACTGATCATCATCTACGAAGAGTTCCGCAGTCTTCTGCCCGAAGATGTCCAGGACTTGGTCCTTGAAAGTCTGTACAACAGCACGATAGGCGACAGCTACCGAGTCGGTGGTGTGGATGGTGACAACCTGTATCCGGCCTACTCGAATGCTTGGTTGATGAGAACGGTGGTCAGCTCATGGACTGGCCGCAAGCTGAACGACGCCAACATGACCGCCGCAGGAGATGCAGATGCCCAAGCCTTTTTTGAGCTCTTTGATCGCAATCAGACCTTGTCCGAGTTCAACGGTCCAACCTACGCCGGCGTCTCTCTTTACGCTCTCACCATCGCCGCCAAATATCTGCATTCGACCAACTCGACCATCGGCCAGAATGCTGTACGTGCCATCCAGCAAATCTGGGACTATGAATCTCGACTCTGGAATCCTCACATGAGGAATATCGCTGGGCCGTGGGATCGCTCCTACGGATACGACATGAACAACTATGTTGCTATCATGTCCATATGGCTGTGGACGTTGATCGGAAAAGACGGCGTCTGGAAGAATAGCTCTCCAATCTGGACCATGGCGCATGCGGATGACTTTGAGATTGCCCCAGTGATTGCTGTACTGTCCGACTTTCACAGCGAACTGATTCCGTCGTGGACCGTGTCCCGATTAAAGACATTTGGCGGGCAACATACGTACACGGGACACGCCTATGCTCCGCCCGCCGACTACGAACCACGGAATATCACGACTTGGCTGTCATCAGATCTGACAATTGGTACCCAGTCATTCAATCAAAGTGTAGTTGGAGGCTTCTCTGAGGACTCCAGTTCGTTCAGCCCATCCGTCGTTCAATGGATTCGCTCCGACCAGTCCATCGGCTACTTCAACCTGTATCCAACCGAGACCGCTCTCAAGGCCGAGGTAGCTCCCTACTCACTGAACCTGACATATCCTTTGGGTAATTCGTCTAGCACTTTTACCTTTGCCGTTGCTTCCAATCCCCTCGGCAAGAAGCGAGATCTCACTACGCTGGGCGACGTGGATGGTATCAGGATTGAGGTTGGCGGCACCGTCAATCCGGACCCCGTCATCTCATTCTGTGGCCTAGTTGGTGGTGACTGCGAACCCATTCAGTAAGTCATTTGAGACCCTGTCTTTCTGTGTCTCCTGCTCATAACGGTATAGTGGATTCGAGTTTTGGAACGTCAGCTTTTTCATGCCGGCGAATAGCAGCGAGTCCCCGCAGATTCAGTTAAAGTTCAATCTAGAGTGAGGACAAAGGGTATCTAATGAATATAACTGGTGCATCTTGTATTTCAATGCGAGATGCTCTCCGTACCGAGGACGATTATATAGGATAACGAGAAATGTTCGAAAATATATATAGCTCCACGGCGAAGCCTTGTTGCAGACTCGCACACAAGGCCGAATATGCACGCGTACAAGCCCCGAACAAACACACACAAGAGAGTAAAATAACTCGTCCGCAACTGACCGAGGCTGAACCATCTGGTCTGCACATGCAGGGATGGAATGTCATCGATCGGGGCCGTCGGCCACCGAAACCGCCGACCCTCCGATAAAATGACGTAATCCACAGCGTCAAAATAAAAACAGGCCTGCTGCCTCGTCCCTTGCGCTGGGATCACAACAGCAAGTCAAGAACGGCGAAGCAGATGCGCCTCACGTTTAGAAAAGACCTCACTACTGCCTTACTCTGCACCCAGCCAGTCCGGTGTCTCCCCGCCCGCCCCTTGACTGTCCGTCATAGATTCTCTACTGCTACCGCGACTTCCATCAAAGCCTTTGGTACATTGAACATGGCTGCAGCAAGAAAGGTTCATCTATCTCCGCTCACAGATAGCGGCATCTGGAGTATGGGCGTGACAGAAGGTTCTGCGAAGACGGCCAGCGAGGTGCTCCAGGAGGACTTGGAGAAGCACCATGTCTTCTTCAACAATATGGGATTCCACAGTACGTCAAACTTTGAGACAGCAGGGCTTATAAATGATGACGAATAGACCATATTGTACACCACATTCTGACAATATACGCACTTGGCGCATCTCCTGCCGATATCAAAACCGCCTACAACAGAGACAAGGCGTATCAACGACGTACAATGCCGATGGACGAGAAGGTCGTAGACTCCCTCTATGACAAAGGCCAGTTTAAAAAAGCCCTGGGAGAGGAAAAGAACTACCCCAATTTCCTAGAGTTCTTTCAGCGTGAGCTTGACCGGAAGGGCACCGAGGCTGTGTTGAGTGAATATGTGTTTGCAGGGGATGAAAATGCAGAGAGCATGATGGCGCGACTCTTTGGTGGTATGCTTTGAGCGATGTTTGTGACTAGGATGAGTGCTTACGCAAACAGGGCTGTTGCATCCTATCATTCATCTCGGCTTCGCGATCGAATTCAATCAACCGGCTATAGTCGCCGAAGCACTCGCTCAGACGGCAGTCCACGACGACTGGACAGGACCGCGCTATCTGTGGCCCGCGGAGAGGACTGCAGGGGGAATTGGCAAGCGAGGTGAGAAGACGATGCTGCAGCTGCTGGAAGAAGCACGCGGGAACCAGAAGCTCGCCAGGTCTGCCCACTGGGATGATGGGAATAAACTGCGCGATGGGGTTCTGAAGCGAGCCCCCGATGAGATGATCAATATTGCCTCTCAGTATACGGTTTCCGAAGACCAGATACAGGAGAAATTTGTAGAGATGGTCAACACGTCTGGTCAGTGTTCGAACCACACAAGAAGCTGTGTTTTTGTTGACAATGTCCAGTCTACTTCACGAGTGCCTCACAGCGCCCGAACAAAGTCATCAAGTTTGACTTTTTCCACATTCATGCCGTGAACTCGTCCATATTCTTTTCCAAAATCCTGGCTCTTCCATTTTTACCCACGCGCACCAGGCTTCGCCTACTAGAGTGGAAAGGACGTATGGACCTCATCATGTATATTTCCAGGAATGCTCCGGAGCTGTACCTGGAGGAGATCACAAATTACCCAGTGACAGCCGACTGGGATACTATAATTGCACATTGCAATCAACACCCCGGTGACGATGGGCATTTGTCCAAGCTGGTAAGAGCATTGAGGAACGCGGAGGAGGTGTGCAAGCCCTATGCCGGCCAGGAAAAGGAGCGAGGGCTCAAGATCACTGGAGACTCGTGGTTGAAGATTGGAAATATGGGTAAGATGGGCCATTTTTAATCTTGCGCAACGCTGACGAGTGCCTAGTACATGATTCAGTCAAGGGTCAGGATGCGATGTGGGTTCGGTCGACAGGCTTTGACGAAGCTTGGGTTGATTTCGAGGATAGATCTCGACTCTAGTTTAATCTTTGATCCATTGGATATGAGAAATTCATTTGATGATACCTTGGCAAAAACAAAGTCGCACCAAACAGCATTATATTCAGCATGCCAGGAGGCCAGTAGGCTAAACGTATTGGACCATTGGCAAAAGATATCGCCCCCAAATGGCGACAAGCAAAGTGCCAAGATTGCCTTATTGAAAGCTCTGCCGAGAACCCTTTATTGTCTTCGTGCTTCCAATCCACAGCAATTCGCAAGCATAGGAGGGTTTGACCACCCGTCCCTGGTATATGACCACAGTCCTGGGGCCGGCCTCCGACGAGTTGGAAATCCCCTCGTACTCGCCGCGAAAGCAAACCACGTCGAAAATCTCCTTGTGCTACTGGGCGACAAATGAATCGGCCACGCCGCTAAGCCTGCCCAACTGCGCGTGGCGCTCAATGAGGGAGCGTTTGTTTCTCATAACCGTCAGGCTGTTGAGATGTTTGTGCACGCGGGGGCCCTGTGCGCCGCTCATGGATTTATATCGTACGCATCTGCACTGTCTCGAGCTGTGCTGACCGGCTTTGGGGATATTATCCCCTATTTGCTCAGAGTTTGGGTTGAGCCTCTGGGACCGCATGGCGACTCCGAAACACCGACATCTCTTCAGCACGAAATCAAAGCGAGTCAGCCTGGTATTGTGAGAATGCTTCTCGACGCTGGGCACCGGCTGATTGATGACAACGGATTATGTCTCATTGCAGCACAGGGCAATAGTGCTCATGGGTATGTTTATCGATCGGGGATTTGATATTTCAGATCTGCTGGCAGGGGGCACTGTTTTCTGCCATGAGGCACGGTCAGGTCGACATGATCGAGCTGTTGACTGACGAGGGGCGAACCCGTACCTGACACATGAGGTGTGGATGTCGACCTTTGAGATTTGCCGATACAGTACCATTGGGCTTGCGGTGCAGTTCCGGCAGTTGGAGACCCTGAAGCTGCTGCTTGATAAGGGGGTGACTCCGGAAAACCGAGATCTGGAACTGGCCAAGGATGAGCGGTTTGGCGATGCTGTGGCTCTGTTAAAGACCTACTCGCTTGACCACGTGCCAAATAAGCAGCGTCTTGCACAGTTTTTAGATGAGAAGATACGGGAAAGACATGCAGCCGATCCCGAGGCTTGTAACCTGGAGATACTTACTCCCCTTGAAGACCTGCAATTTACAGCAGGATTCGAGTCACTGCGTGATCCAGCCGGCTGCTGTCCCGTATGTACCTCTGGCGCAGCAGCCGGGAATATGGAGCAGACTGCTGCAGGGAGAAACCTGATACATGCTTCCTGGTAGAAAGAGGACACACCTCTTTTGAAAGTGGACGCCCAGGGGCTTGTACCCGGCCGAAACGTACAGCTTTGTAGACTCCCCCCGAGGAACATGCTTTCTTTAATCGCCCCCTCGCGAAAAATGATTATCTTAAAACATTCAAGGTTAACGGCGTTTTACCCTAACCCATGTCTTCCATCGAAATACACCCTCTTGCAAAAGGCCCATACTGGAATACTGCCCAGGACGGTCCCCTTGAAATAACCCGTATTGGGAGTTGCACCAGTGGGACCCAACATGGCGATTACAGCAGAGCCGGAAGAGGCAGATGAAGGAGAAACACCACACTGTGGCTGACTGCCCCGCTCCTCCCATCACGGGCTGGATTTGAGTATCTCGCTGCCGATTTGCCGGCCGCTTGGTTTGGATTTACCGTGGAATAGCGAGTAAGGGAGCCCGACTGTACTCTGTTAGATGTGGCCCTCCATATTTATTCTTGACCAGCCTCCACTATTGTTCCTTCTCATGCATAAAGAGGTAGGTCGGTGAGAGGATCCTGATTGATGGTATTATTTTTCCGCCACACCTGGCCATCGCCCGACTCTCAGACAACGCACTATTATACAGGAACTGCACGGCCATCATTGATAGTAATAATGGTAGTGCCAGGTCCGTTGGGCGTTTCTGTCGGTTCAAATAAATTGGCCGCCAGGGCCTCCAGAGACTTCACATCCCCCTTGGAGTCCTTAACATCCGGAATGAAGAAGTACGTGACCAGAAGGCCGAGAAACATGAAGGCGGATAGGCTACTCCGTGATTAGATCTCTCGTTGATAGAAGGAAAAGTCGTCTGCTCTCACCAGAGAAGGGCATAGCCCAGCCAATTTGTCGGATCGGAGCCGCTCTGGTTGGATCCATGTCCAAAGTTGATGTAGGCCAGGAAGCACTGAGCAATCACGGAACCGAGCTTTCCACAAGCTGCGGCTAGACCGTGCGATGTGCAGCGGAAGCGCGTGGGGAAGATCTCAGCTGGGATCTAGCAATCAATCTCATTAGCACGAGCCGGTGATTGGGGCGGTGGGAAAGCCAAATCCTACAATATAAGTTGTTGTATTTGGTCCTGCATACCGTTGTTAGTTCGTCTAGCCTCGGAATTCGGACACGGAAATGTACTGGGGCCTTACCGAAGTTGAAGAAGACCTGCGACAGAACATAAAAGACAATCAGAGCAGACGAATCGTGACCTCGCGCCAGCGGCCGAAAGGTCGCTCCAATGAGGAGATTCAGGATGAACAGCCAGAAGAATCCGTTCAGTTGCATCTTGCGCCGGCCCAACCGGTCAATGGCAAAGATGGCGAGAATGTTTCCAACGACCGCCCCCGACGACACAACAACCATGCTGCGGTACGAATTCTGAAAATACGAATCATACAGTGGCGGATCTTCAGTACCGCTGCCAGACCAGATTGTTCTGATGATGTCGGGGCTAAGCAGCCCAAGACCGTAGAAAGGTATGTCCAGAAGGAACCAGCAAGAGCAGGTCGCAAAGAGCAGTCTGAAGACTCTGGGTTTGACAGCAAACGCTTTGAACGCCGTCCAAAATGTCGGCAGGTCAACAGGGGGGTTGATGCCTTGTGCCGCTGAAGACTGAGTGCTGTTGATACTTGGGGGATAGGAATCCGGCCTTGTGGTGGTGGGAGAGATGCCATCTTCGGTGACTTGGCGCATCGGTGGCTCAGTAACGCCTTCCTCGGAGCGGAAGAAGTATGAGGCATCGGCGGCGGCCTGTAGGCTATTTTGGGTGACTTCTGCGGTATATCGCGGGGACTCAACAATGGTTAGTCGAAACCACAGGGCAATGAAAGCTGGAACCGCCCCAAGACCGACAATCAGCCGCCATATGCGGTCAACATCTCGGATGCACGCCTCGCTGCACATGGTCCCCGTGATATCTTGCCTCAGTTGGTGGCGAAAACCGGCCACTGCGATGAGGGCCACGATGTTCGCCGCCAGCGCACCAAGCGACTGGCAGAAGAAGACGGCGGCAAGCATCTGGCCTCGAATGCGAGTAGGAGCGAATCTGTGGATGATGAGCAAGGGCTCCTCGTCGTAGAGCACGGACTCACTCTGAGCATATCACTGCGCTGAGTGGATAGTCGCCCCCGAGCCCCAGGCCCATGAAGAAGCGCCAGAAGATGAGGAGCCCGATGACCGAGATGGAACCAAAGGCTCCCTCCGACGAAAGGGCCAGGCCGATGGTGGTGAAGATCAGAACAATTAACTCGAGACCATACATTTTGCGCCGGCCCCAAATGTCAGCAGCGACGCCAAACATGATCTGACCGACCAGGGCGCCGCCCAACGTGGAAATACTCAAGGCGACTTTGTAGTTGTTCTGCATATGCTCGTCCTCTCCCTGCCAGTACACGATTTCGAGCATAGGGACAACCATGTTGACCGAGAAGATCTCCTCTGTCAGCGAGCGCCACCGCGACAGGAGATGACAACTTACTGCGTAGGCGTCGGTGAAGAAGCCAATACCGGCGACGATTACGACCCAAACCCATTCCCGTCGCCGCGCGCTCTCCAGTCGCCCGATCATGTACTCATGGCGTTGGGCCAGCTGTGACGCTTTAGCTGCCAGCCAAGACGCTGCTGTCAGGTTCTTACCGTGTGGTGCTGGAAGTCGTCATAATTTCTCCAGGGATTAAGGTGTAGAGTAACGGACGGCAGTATCGAGGCCATTTGTCCTGCTATCATCTCACTGCTGGTGGACAGATTCTCAAGAGTCGGCGCATGGTTGGGGAGAGGAGTCTGCTGCTCATAAGGTCCGCATCACCCGAAGGCTGAGCACCGTTGCCCGACACGAGGCTCGGCCAGGATCAGATCCTACGGCGGCCTGGCCATTCGCTTCGACTTGCTAGGCGTGACCTAAGGCTCAACAAGAGACTCGAGGCCTTGAGGCGTGAAGCTTGCTTGTTCTGTAGCTTAGAATCCTAATAGTCTTGCCGGAGAAAAGATGAGTGCGGCTCAAGCCAGAAGTGGGACAGCATCGACAGCGATGGGATACGGTGATTGACGGGTCAACTACAAGAAAAAGGGGGCGGAGATGGCGCCGAAGCGTTGGGAGCGTCTGGATAGCCCACGTTGTGGTGTTGTCGAGTCCCATTGGCCGAGGCCGCACCAGGACAAGAACGTGGAGGCGGTGCTGCAGGATCTCGACTTTGATTGAAATCATCTTGCAAACTGCACAGTCCACTGCTGGCGCACATTATGATTCAGATCATGCGGCCATGGCTCAAGCGCATTGCCCCGAGACTCCAGCAGAACAGCAATGCCTGACGAGGGTCCGAACAGTCAGACAAACCGTCTTGTCTTGATAATTTTCAGTCTCGCTCGTATCTCCACTTTGGCCTCATTCCTCATGGTTTCGGTTCATACCCTGGCCCCCAGCACCTTCTGAGTCCCTGAAAAAGTCCTTGCTTTGCGTGACCTGTGCTTCGTGCGCCTGTTGGTGGCTGATATCCACGAAATGAGCTTTGGCTGGAGTGTCGGGGATCTGATCCAGGGCGCTGCGATCGCGTGGGCAATTTACGAGAGCGTCGGCAACAGGGAAAGATCGGCAACGGCCGAGTTTGCTGCATTTCAGACGGAATTCGGCCTCATCAAGGCTGCTTTGGAGCGTCTTCGAGATGTTGCTGCCAATTGCCCTGGCGAGGATCTTGACCTGGGAAAAGGCTACGCTCAGACTCTGCAGCGGTGCGCCGGCTTCATCGCAAAGCACAAAAGTCTGGCTTTGGAGAACGAGACCTCGGCGGTAGGTGCCAAAGCCAGGCGTTCCAGTTTGCACGGCAGATTTCTAAGTACGTGGGACAAGGTCTCATGGCCTTTTGAGCGTGAAGAGGCCGAGCGACTTCGGGGACAGCTGGAGCGCTATGTCCAGATTGCCATCCTCAAAGTAACTGCCAGCACCAGCGATAGGACTCGCAAGATCGCTGAGGATAATCTAGAGATACTCAAGGCTGTCAAGTACGTGGTTCGCCCCACAGCCACCAGGTTCAACTCGCTAATCTTTTCTTCTCCTTCTTTGGCAGGACGATGAGCGTGCAGGTGTCGACGATTCTCCGACGATGCCTCCCCAACGACAGCACCCCCGACGACGCTGCTCTCGACGTCAGATACCTCGCCAGACTCCAGCGCCGCCACCTCCCCGCACTGCTCGACCCGTTACCTGGCTTGAAAGCGATCCTTGAAGATGAAGTGCTCCCCCAATCTGAAACACAGGCCGCCCTACACCGTATCAAAGACATCACGGACCGGCTGGCCCATCTGGCCTCTCGTCTGGACACCATCGGAAGACAACCCACGCCCTCGCCAGAGCGCCGCCCCCTTCAACACACGCATACAAGCGACAGCATCGGAAGCGACACAACCATTGGCGCTCCAGTGGTTGACCTTTTGGACCAAATAAGCGACGAGGTTCGAGGCGCCCTCAGCAAGGTCGGCTATGAACATACCCTTGTCCCCGCTCACCACAAATCCAGCCTCTATCATGGGACTGGGCTTGCCTCCCAGGCACTAACTGACGCAGTCGAGGACTGGGATCAATTCAGAGATTGGTTACAATTTCAAGTTGTTCACTCCCTCGAGGTCCAACCGGGAAATGAAGATCCTTTACTAGAGACATGGCGACGTCCATCTCCTGAGCCACAACACCCTCCTATAACACCTCCTCTAGGACTATCGCCCCCCGGCCACTCGTACCTCCGAGGGTCTCTGACATCACGGACGTCCTCTCCGCACGATGCAACCCTTCCTCTATCTCGGACTCCATCAGTCGAATCGAATTATCCAGGATCTCCCTTGTCGATTGGTTCGGGATGGGAACGCAGACCCAGCACACAGTCTCTACCATTAACAAATCACCCTGTTCAAGTGTAGGTCCACATTTTCCCAAGAGCATCTGCCATCTTACATACGTATAGATTACTTTTGGACCGGCATGGTGCAAAGCTGGTGCTTCCCCCAATGAGATGCGAGGTCATTGCACATTTCAAGGGACGGACAAATGAACCGGAAGTGATTGAAGGGACCGCCCTTGAAAGCGTAACCAAGTTTACTCACTGCCTGCATCGTGAGAGCTCATTAGACACCGCCGAGACTTCGATGATACCCTACTTGGCGCACAGTCGCCACGGAAAAGCATTGTTCAAGTCACCGTTCTGCATCAAATTCATGGGATCTCATAGTACACAACTCGAAAGGCCTGGCAAAGACAAAAAGAAGTGGCGCATATCTCCCGTCTACATATGCCAAGATAAGGAAGGTATTAGCCTCTGAGATCCGCCCAGTGATGAGCAAGTCTAACCAGTGTGTATAAGATTTCGACATGTTTCAGAGCACCCTGCTAGGACGCCGCGTCCTCTTTCATGGAGATGTGACCCGCATTTATTCCAATACGGGCGACTACTGTTCGCAGGAGACTGTACGTGTCTTGCAGGATCGCCTTACCGGTGCTACTTCCATTCTCTACTTCTCATCTCGAAAGGATTCACCACATGTCCTCCCACACTTTGTTGACCACTCAGGTACGTCAAACCAAGCTATCCGCATGGCACCCATCTCATGTTCCGATACAGTGACCGACTTTGCCACCCCTAAAGCAGTGGAAAAGTATGGCGTCAAACTCCCTTTGCTATGCGCACAGCGTGACGCATCTAGCCTGCTTCCGCGCCGAAACTCGGTAGAGAGTACAATGACAAGTGTTTCGCAAAAATCGGGCAACTCCCTGTTCTCCGTCGGCTCGAGCGCTGGATCTGAATCCGGGCGCAGGAAGGAAAAGTGGCTGCAGTTTGATTTTGAAAATGCCCAAGGTATGTCACGAGATCCTTGCTAAGGCCGCTTGTAATGTCCATCTCTACTAAACATACCTCGAAGATGTCCAAAGCTTCATAACAGCGCTGCGGGGGCAGTTATAATTAATCCTTCTCCTTAAACGAGGTTGAAGTCGCTTCATACTGCATGATTGGTCTTCCCATCTCTGCAGCGGAACGTATCATCGGACGAACAGTCTCTTAACGGTGTCTCTGTTTTACAAAATATAACTATGGCAATCAGGTTTCCACTCAGGGGGGAAATAGAATATGAGGGGAGCGACCAATGTAGAGGCGTTTGCTTTGTAAGAGAGCTGCCATGGCTGAATAACTAACTTTTGGGCCAAGGCCGGGGGGTATTCACTGTAGTATTGACTCCAATCGCAGAGAGAGATTCTTCCAGTAGCGTTGAACCAGCCTGGCTAAAAGCCATCTTAGCCTCCTAGAAATGAGTTGATAGCGGAGCGTTCAAGAACGTACCAATATACAATGAAGAACTTGTTATTGCACAAGAGTCCTGAGACCCATCTGCTATATCTTGGTACGGTAATGGTCGATGGCTCATAGGAGCGCAACATGTGGAACACTCGGCCCTACTCAAAAGAACAGAGGCGTCGTGTAGCTGGAACAGGGGAGCTTTGTGTCGCCTGATACTCGAGTCCCCGGTAGCCTGTAGCGCCTGCCAAGTACATCACTGCGCACTTTTGTCGGCATTTCCCGTCTCCCTATCAAGACCATCAACCATGACCGAACTTTTGTCACCGTGCCCTGTCCCATTGTGCTTCCACCTCACAACACCAACCATACAAAGCAATCCAACCGCCATAGCTGCACAGCAGATAAACCCGCTTCGATACTTTGGAGCGTCGACCTGCTGCCAGACAATTTGCGGCAACCACGCCTGAAAAACATGCGACATCGTGTTCATTGTGGCGACGACCAACGCGCGCTCTTCGTTGTCGTCGGAGCAGATTTCTTGTGCCCAGCTATTCCTCCCAGGTAGTAACATAATTAGCAGGAGAGCGGCATAATTTCTCGCCTGTTAAGCAGCACCGTATGACAGCAGTGATAGGACAGAGGAATGAAGGCGAAGCAACGGACACATACGCTAAGCAAAGCCCACTCAACCCGTATCCCGCCCCCCAAAGAATATAGCAAGTCCATTTTCCTCCTACTGAAATGTTCCAGATCGCTAATGGAACTGCGCATGCGAGGTCCACTATCTGATACAGTGTTAGTTGCTTGAATTACTATTTTGAGTCACGATCAGGGACTGGGACGGATTTCATCAGCATATCTGAGAATCTACATACTCCTCCGCATAGAATTGGAGGCCACCGTCGCCCCCTAAAAAGGGAGTCGGACAGCCCTGGTATCAGATAACTTCCTGTGAGCAACAAGATTTTCAAGAAGCAACGACCAAATAGTGGATGCGCTTACAGGCATATGCAAGTGTTGTTATCACTTGGACTGCATACGTCCCCGACGGGTAGAGGTTGATATTTGGAACCGAGTACTTGGGATCCGCTGATGCTTTCAGATATATGTAGCCCAGTTAGAATATAGTTGAAGCGCAGATATCGTGAGTGGGCTAGACGTACTGTTGAAAAACTGGTTGTGATGGAATGGCACAACTAAAAGCTCTTGTTTCCTGTTGTTAGTCTGGTTATTTCCCCGAATTCTATAAGAATAATTGCTCACATATACATCACAACGAGGAGTGGGAGATGCCATGATAATAAGATTTTTCTCAGCTTGGCTCTTGAAAAGGGCTCCCTGCCTTTGCGGCCCTCTAACCTCATTCTCTGGCGTGCCAGTGCCACTTCCTGAACACGGGAATTAGCTAGGGCCTATACGGTACCTCTTGAGCTCATGGACGACATACCTCACGACTCAAATACCACGGATTCGCAATTTCCGGCACATCGGGGAGCAAGAAAAATCCCAGGACGCCGATGGGGAGTGAGGCAATACCGTCGATCAGGAACAGCCTATAATAATGAACAAAAGTGTCCAGGAATATAATTGATACTCTTTCAAGGGATAAACCTACCACTGCCAGCCTTTAAAGCCGCCAACACCGCGAAGCTTATAAGCTCCGGCCATTATGCAGCCCGAGAGCATGGTTGCAATGGCACCACTTGCCTGAAAGATGCATGAGCGCTTCGCTAACTCGTCCTTTCGGTACCAAGAGCCGATAATATATTGCATTCCCGGGTAGAAAGTACTTTCAGAAAGTCCTACAGCAATATGAGGCAAAAATGGCGGTTAGCTCCGCCCTGGTGACCATGAAACCGCACGAGGAAGGATGAGTCAAGGCAATACCGATGAAGAATCTTAAAATATATATTTGATCCGGTGTGCGACATTTCGATAACGAGAACGTGAGGATCGTCCATATGATCTATACGAACGCGATCATTAGGCAAATATCGAGGGCGGGCAAGGCTGCTGCGGTACACACTTCCATGGCAGGGAGCCAGTATCGGGGGCGAATGCGGGTTAGAAGTAGGTTGCTCGGAATCTCACCAAGTGCGTAACCCACAGTCCAACAGGCTTGCATATAGTTCAGTTCATTCTTATACAAGCCCAGGTCTTCTTTCCTTCTCCATGTCAGCTAGGAAGACGTGTATCCCGGTGTTGTGGGTTCTCACATCCCAGACACGAATGCGCTGTTGATGTTGTTCTGGTCGAGCGTTTTCACGAAGTATCCTAGCAAAAAATGTGACGTTAACAAAACAATGCAGCTGATAGGGTTGTCCACGCCACCTACCCAGTGTTGCAAAGGTAAGAAGAGCGACATCCAGCTTGAAAAGAAACCTCCTCTCTTCGGGTGACTTGTCAAACGTGTCCCATACACAACTTTTCCAACTCGACTGTGGAAGGGCGGGTTTTCCGGTGTTCTCTGGATCATTTGAACTGACAACGTCCTCCTCAACACAAATTTGGGTTGCTTTCAACATAATGAGCTTCCGGAGGCGGGAGTTGGTTGTTACAAGCGCCATTGTGCGCGGGGATTCAGCGGCTTTATAGATATTCGGCGAAATAAACCATGACAAGGTTAATCCTATTTTAATCTCAAGTCGAGCACCAAATCTATTGAAGCCTCGGCTCTCGAGGAGTCAGCTGGATGCCAAAGAATGCAGGGGTAAACGCCTGTTTACCACACCCTAGATTCTAATTAGGTCTAGATGCGTCGGCGGGCCTGAAGAATGAGTGAACCTGGCTTACACGGGTGTTTATGCAGTGCTAAAAAGCGGAATGGGAATCGTCGCATACGTGATAATCCATACAAAGGGCTAGGTCTGCGCATTATAGACCACAGGGCACAGTTGGCCATGTACCTAAGCTTGCCCACAATTAGCTCACTTCTGTGATTACTGTTGCTGCAGACATCACTCTGGCTGCCTCGGCGCTAAGGCAACACTGCTTTGGCAGGTGACTAATCAACGCACACAAAGATTCTTTAATCACTGTACTTAGTTTTGTTCCTTCCTTATGCTTAGAATTTGATATAATTCTCGCCTACAAGGTCACCTTCCTAGCTGGAGAACAGTCGTGTTGCAACTGACGGCCGACTGCTGGTTACTTCACAGCCCTTGCCTTTTTATCTCCAACGCGGCAATGGGAAGTAATGGACCAAGATAAGGGGAGCCCTTGATGGAAACTCTCTCTTCAAAAGGCGAAGGATTATATGGAGTTTATAATCTAGTTCACCTATTTTAGCAGTGGGGCCGTTATTATCCCAGAAGTCCCTGAGGTTGCAGTCTTAATAGAGATGCTTCTTGTTGAATTACGGCGTGCGTCTACTACCATCTATGCTAACGAGTAGTGGTCTGGCTGGACTGCTGGTTCGTTTGATCCCTTCAAAGCGCCTAGATGGTATCCAAGGACAAATCGGGAACTTCTTTTTCACCTGAAACGTAGGATGGTGTCGCACGGCTGGTGTCGTCATCGCCTTGAGAGCCTTGGTACATACGTGGACTCTACCTGTATATCTTAGGATTACTGGGCACTGATCACCTGCTTGAGAGCCATGCCTCCTGCTCGGAAAGCGTATGTATTGGCAACCAGGTTGACGATAGTACATATAACGACACGCTAAGACATGTCATGGGAGGATGCACATGCGATTTCATTCGGGTCGATATCTCAAAGACAATTGAGATTATTGAGGGGGGCAATATCCCCCTCGCCAAAATTACCATAAGCGCGGATAATCGCGTACGGCTAGACATGACCCCTTATAAGCCAGGCATAAATTTTATCGCCATCTCTCATGTGTAAACGTTCTTGTCTTAAAACTCTTTCTTGTTTCTCTAACCCCTAGATTATCTTTCTTTATTATTCTCGTTATTACTGAGTCCCAGTCCCATTTAAAAGGTGGTTGGTTACATGGACTAGGGGATCCCGATGAGAATGCCCTGCGAGAATGTTAGCTGAAGAAACTACCCGCTATTACTAAATGGCTGCCATGGAGATTTGAAAAACTGAGATGGTGTTTAATTTTGGCTTGATACTCTCTGCCTACCTCTTCGCCCTAAAATCTGGAGGAAAATAGCCATGAGAGATATGCGGCAATGTTATGCAAATGCGAGCATCGTGCTTGTGCTTGACAAGCATCTACAGGAATCTAGTTCTCAAGCCCTCGCAATAGAATTGCTGTTACGAATTGCGATATTGGACTGTAGATTCAGAGTTTAGACTCTCCAGGAAGGGTTCTTCGTTAAGAGGCTCATGTTCCAGTTTCTCGAAACCGCAATCGACGGCGCGGCGCTGTGTGCTACGATCGTATCTCCAAGCTACAAGGCAAAGTTGCAGGCGAGAATTAATCAAATTCTAAGCATGAAGAAGAAATAAAACTAATTATAATGGTTAATAAAAGATTTATTGTGCGGCACTTAGTTAGCTAGTGGTGGTTACTTGCCTAATTTCCTGCCTAATTACTAAGGCTATTTACTAAGTATTAATATAGCAGCCATTACATAACCCCTAGTTAAATTACTAGTATATCCTTAGGCTAGGTAAATCAGCTAATCCTATATCCTTTACTATTTAGCGTCTCCTGCCTCTCTAGGCATAACTTAGTTCATAGTGGTTACTACCTATAGGCTAGGTAGTATTAAGAGTCTTAACCTTTACCTCTAAAGCACCTATCTATTTAAGGTTATAGGTAATTTTATTACTTATAGTTCCCTTACTATAAGTATAAATAGGCTACTTTCTCTCTTAGATTCTTACTCTTTCTTCCCTATATCTTATCTAACTTTTTTTCTTCTAGGGCTAGTAATTTTTCTATCTTTACTAATTTTCTTTAGTAGTATAGGGCTAGTGATATTTCTATTACTAGCTAGGGTACTATATTATTTAGCCTTATAGCTAGTAGCATGACCTCTAGTATTAAATAGTTAATAGAGGATATATTATATAAACTTTATAAATATTACTATAAGACCCTATAATCCTATGTTATTTAGCCTTAGGATATCCTACTATACTGTGAAGGGCTGAAGCCGGACTTATATTCAATCTAGCTAGGCCACGAACTGTGTATGAAAAGCTTAAAGAAAGAGAAGTTCTCTAGTCGCGTTCTTCCCATCAACATGCCATGGTCATGTGTGCGGGCGCTAGCCCGTGCCTGGTATCAGGCACTAGCCCATGATAATACCCCCCTCCTAGTCTAAACCTTATAAGGGGTACGACAACATGGTTATTATTATTAAGTTAGCGCTAAATTACCTCTTAAATAGGGCTATATTACTTCTCGAAGACATCTAGCACTATGTAGTCCTAGATAAAATCTAGTTTTATCTATATCTCGCGTGCCTACCCTACCTATTTCACTAGTACTTTATTATAGTATCCTTATCCTATCTTCCTACGTTGTATAGCTAGGATGTGTTTAACTTTATATTCCTCTTCTCTATTAATAAGTAGTAGGGGTGGCTGCGTATTATCCATGATTTAGGATAGAAATGGGTCTATAGTAGCTAGGCGGACTAGTTTAACATAAAAGACTAGGTGTATACTAGTAGGTATATTAAGCTGAATAGTATGTAGTGATGGGACATCTACTACCTAATAGCATGCATGCAGCCAGTCTAGTTTCTTTAATAGTTATTGCGTGCGTATGTTTTAGAGGTTTAACTAAACCTAATTATCTTTCTTATACATAGGGGCGGCCTATTATTATTAGTTCGTTTACTCCTCTTATTAAGCCTGCGTGGAGGCAATAGTAGCTTAGGCCTAATTAGTAGCTTCTTATAGGTGATTCACAAACGTTTTGCCTACTATTCTTAGTAGTATTAGGACGTCCTATAGCTAGCTTGCTTTATCTAAGCTAATTAGGTCAACATGATATCCATGCATAAAGAAGAAGGGTGAGATTCCTATTAAGGTAGCGTCGCGATTATTAATAGTAATAGTAACTATTAGTAGTAGGTCTTTCTAGTCGTCTTGCGCGTACGTAGTGAATATACATAGGATTCATTTAATCTCTTAGTTAGCACGTTCTATTGCGCCATCTATCTAGGGGTGGAAAGTAGTTAATAATTAGTATTAAATTAATAGTCTTTTATAGACCCTGCCCTAGAATATGCTTATAAACTAGGGTCTATAATTACTTATAATAGCTAGTAGAACTCCATAGTATATATAAAAATATATAAGGAATACCTCTGCCATGTCCTCTATAGTTATATTCTTTATTCTAATTAGGATAATACTCTTTATTAGCTAGTCTATTATTACTATATAATTTATTACTTTTATAGGTCTAGTAGGCGGCAGTCCTGTAATAAAGTCTACTAATATCTTAGCCTAGATTTGTTAGGGAATTAGTAGTAGTTTTAATAGTCCATACTTAGTATCGCGCTATACCAAGCTCTATCCACAGACCATATAATTCTAGAGGAAACGTTATACATCTTTTACTACTCTAGGCTAGAAAAACCGTTGAGATAGTATTAAATAGGTGGCGTCTCGCCTAGGATGCACTATTACGTGCGAATCATAAATCTTCTATATAATCTATATACGTAGGACTTTATTCTCTAGAATCTATACTTATTATCTAAAATAGAGTAATCCATGGTTATTAATATAGCACTCTAATAGGCTTGTCTTAATATCTAGCTTAGGGATTCGACGTTCTCCCTCTAGTAAAGCATGGGAGATTTATTAGTATACTATATTAGAGGCCCTTGCTTTTCTCTATTCTATTTATAGGTCTAGTTCTTTAAATAATAGAATATCCTTCTTAAAGTTAATATCTATCTTTACTAGCTATAGGTTTACTTGTCTAGTCTTAATCTATGTCACAGGCCTCGTCCCGCTTAGGTCATCGCCACGTGACAATTCTCTGTATATAGTCGGTCCCGCTTCGCGGAACCTCTATTAGTTCTCCATGCTTCGTATTTTAGTTTAATACGACCTTGTTCATCAAGAGACGTTCCTTACATAATACAAAGTATCAAACTAAGCTCTCTATTCATCTCTCCACATCGTACTTCGTCTCTGCGTCTTAGTTTCATCGTTCCACGACCCCTGTATAGTTATTATTAATAATCCCTGTCACTTCGCCCCTAGCGTTACCCCACCGCATTAGAATTCATCCCTAGACTAATAATATCTATTAAACCCATGCTAAGCTTTCAACTATGTTCCCCGCGAGTAAATCCTCCTAAAAATGTTCCCACGCGAGCTCTGTGGCTAGTTGTAAGAGTCTTAAAGAGAAGTTGATCAGGTATAATATCACCAAGGTAGATATCGAATTAGAACAAAACTAATCCTTGCTTCGCAAGATATCTGGGACCTTCAGGGGACCTAAGTAACCAGCTATCAAAAGGATGACGTTAAGTTGAGGTCTCTCAATCTCCTTAGTCAACCTCTCAGCTCACCCCTCAGCCAACCTCCTTAGGTTGTGTGAGCGGATCAGCTAAGTTAACTAAGTTGATTAGTCAACCCCTGGCTATCGGCCCTTCCTAATGAGCCTGATCCCTCAGGC